CCTTCCACCTCAAATACGTTGAGCTCATGTCGAAGCAGGACGAGCTCAGGTACTTTGTGGAGAAGTTCATCAGCAACGAACAAGACCGTGTGGCCGCGGTCCATCTCTTCCCCACGATGGTTCAGTTTCGTTTGGCTTTGCTCGGCACTCAAGAGGTCATGGAAGCCGTCTCCACTGAGAAGAAAACGGCAACCCCTGCCCAGGTCTTTGATGAGGCAGATGAGGAGATCCTCATGTGGGTCCATGCAGGAATTCTTGAGGCCAACGAGGAAGCCACCCGGGAGGGAAGGCCGATGCCCACAGCTTTCACTGATGAAGAGATCAGCTCCATCGTCCCAATTGACCCTTCGATCGAGGACTATGAAACCGAAGAGTTCAGGGCCCGACAATACCTTCAAGAAGATCTGAATCAGGCCGCTGCTGATGGTTTCTCAACCACAACCATTGAGTCGATCGAGATCAATCCGGAGAACACTGATGTCGAAGATGATGTTGAGGTTGTTCCCGAGTTTGATGAATGGGACGTGATCCTGGACGAGAAGATCATTGTCAACCCCCATGATGAGAAGGTCAAGGAAGATGAAATCTCGGAGGACAGAGCCAAGGAGGTTGCGGATCTCAACAAGATCATCGAGATCACATCCACTGAGGCAAAGCCTTCGGGAACGTCGGCCGATGACCCTGCTACTGCAAAAGATGCACCTGCCAAGGTTGACCAAGGGGGAGAAGACATGACTTCATCGAGGATTTCGACATGGAGCGTGGTTGGTGGTGATGAATCCAAGCCCAGCGACATGACTTCTTCCAGGATCTCAACATGGACCGAGGTTGGTGGATCTGAAGCCACTGCCATGGACGTTGACTCTGAGAAGAAGGAAGGTGCTGATGCGGCCCGGGAGGGTGTGCCGACTGATGCTGCAGTTCCTGAGGCTTCTGCTTCTTCCGAACAGCCTGCTGACAAGACTGCCATTGTCGACCTGACCAAGACCGAGAAGAAGGTGGAGGTTGACAAGCCAGTTGGAAAGCCGGCCGAAAAGAAAATGCCGAAGAGTGAAAAGCAAAAGGCACCAGAGTCCAAAGCGCAGCCCAGACAGAAAGCGCCGCGACTCAGTGTCGAAGCTGATGCAGCCCTTCGCAAGTTGGAAGAAGCAACGGAACGCCAAGAGGGATCAGTATGGTTGGACCCCAATGACATGATCAACAGAATCCCCAAGGAGTATTGCGGCCAAGGGCGACTGAGATTTCTTTCCACAAAGTTATCTTATGTTCTCCGTGGACACGCATTGAGTTATGATGCTCGCAGCCCAGACATCGATCCCATGGATCTTTCGATGGATTTCGAGGCGGTGATGAAGACGATGGCCCACTATGTCTCCTACCCGAAGATCAGTGAGGTCCTGTCCATCGTGCGCAACAGTGACACCAGGCGCTTCCAGGTGAAAGTGGCTCAGCCCGATTTGCCTGAAGCAACCTGGAAGGGTTTGCCATGGAAGGTTGTCGCCATCAGAGCAGTCCAAGGACACAACCGTGCAGTGGTGGAAAATGCCAAGATTTCATCGCTGGTGAAGGAAGTGTTTACTTTGGATCCAACCTTTACCAAGGCCGACCTCGACACGCCCAAGTTGCCAAGGACAAACCTTCGTCCAGACCTTGTGCCGGAGTTGATGGCTGCACTCCCAAGGGTTATCTACCATAGCTGCGACAGGCTCGCTATGGAAAAGATTGTTGAACATGGTCTCATCCCAGGTGGCTGGCCCCAAAGAACAGGAAGGGCGCATAATTTCTTTATTGCGTCACATCCGTGGGATGATTCAGTCGGCGGCCGAAAGCTCGCGGGGACGCGAGCCGGAAAACAATACTACATTGCCTTTGACACCGAGCTCATCGTCCAAAGCGGCTGTCGATTGTTTCGCACAGACGAAGCAATCATTAGCCCTGACTGGATCTCCAACGAGAACATCATTTGCACATATGATGCTGTCAACAGGGAGTTTGCCTGGGTGAATCGCCCCTATGAGATCACGCGTGTGGGGTACAACAACAAAATGAAGACCCACAAGGACCAGGACACTCCGAAGAAAGAAGCCCTGTCCAAGAGCCCGTATGCAAACGCCAGGGACAGTTTGAAGGCCTACCTCATGAGCGGCAAGTCCATTCGACCCGGCCAGATGCAGATGACCGACTCTCCGGAAGAGCTTCCCCCACTTCTTCGTCGACGTGAAGGAACTTCAGGACCCTTTGAAGACAAGGTGACGTTGAAGATGGCCTCCTTTGGCGCTTTGTCCAATGCCGAAACCATCCGCAAGGGCAAGGGCCGAGGAAAAGGCAAGGGAAAAGGAAGCCGCCCGGGAGGGCTGGCCCAGCGCTCAACAAATGCTGAGGATTACATCTACAGCTCCAAGATTGAGATGCAGCAGGTCAGATGCCACTTCTGCGGTGAACAGAACATTGAGGGCACCCACAAGTGTCAGTCGTGCTTCAAATGGCTGATTGCTTGGTCGGATGGAAGAATTGCGACAGAGGTATGCCGGATGGAAATCTCGGCCAAGAAAACCAACAAGGTGTTTTCCCTGGACAAGATCGATTTTGAGAAGCAGCCTCGTGCTCAGCGAGTTTCTGACCGCACCCGAGCAGATCAACGTCGAGCTGGACGAAGTAACTTCGGAAATCTCAAGGACGCTGCTCAGACACATGCGGGAAGATACACAAAGCTCGGCTTCAAATCGATCCAGGACCGCATGGAGAAGGACCCATTTTATTTGTTCAACAATGCGGTTGGCCAGATAACCCCTGACTGTTGTCAGTTTTTGGAGGATCTAGCAAAATGCATTTCCCCTGATGTCGGCCGTACCCGAGAGAAGCGAGAAAAGCAGCTGGGAACAGGTGTCAGCACTCGTTTGATTTTTATGCCTGACTTCAACAGAGACATCCGACTCCCGTTGGACGTTACAAAGGAAGCCATGGTTGCACATCATGCGCGTGTTTTCACGCTCCCACAATTTGCTGTTCTTGCTGCGGACTTGCTGAAAGCGAGGGGGGAACCCACGCCGATGTTATTTGGATGGTCTGGCTCAATGTTGCCTGTGGATCAGGCGTCAGCCCAAGATTGTTTCTTTGACCTCGTCGACTTTGCGAAGAGGCAGTGGAAGGAACAATACAATAACATCAAGGGTGAGGAACACTCCTTCGTGGATGAAGCCACTGCATCAGATGTGGCTGAGTTTCCATTGGCAAGGTCCTCCAAAACGGGTACTGGCGAAGGGCGAGAAGGATACCGGCGTCACTTTGACCCGATTCAGAAGCCAGCCAAGGGCAAGGGCAAGGGTTATGGTCAGCAACAGCGCCCAATCTTTCAGCAGGCCATTGAATGCTGGAAGTGCGGTCAGTACGGCCACAAATCCTTTGAATGCCGCAGTGGATGGAGCCGAGGGCAACAGTGGGGTTCATACGGATCTTACTCAAGCCGCTCGGGAGGGCAGGCCCAATGGCAAAGCTGGAATTGGAATCAGGGCTACTCTGGCAGAGGTTGGACTGCTGATCCTTGGGGAAGATCTACAGCATCAAGCTCCTCGGCAGCACCTCCGGAGCCAGCGCAGCCGCCTTCAACAGCAACGCCTGTGCCTGCCACAGCTCCTGCTGCTGACGACCCTGCCCAAGCAGCCTCTGGATCAGCTCCTGCAGCAGAGCCTCCACAGCAAGTGCCGAGAATGCCGCTCGTGATTGCTGAGGAGTACTGCGAGATCAACGGCCAGCCGCACTTCAAGCGCACCTACAATGATGGGACGGTAGAGTATGAGTCGTGGTAGATGTTTCACATCTTGTGCCATGATTTTATGCCTACCGGAAGGTTTGGCCGATTGGATGAAAGCTGACCCATGGTCATTCAGTTCAATCGAATTGCACACATTTCCAAAAACATGAAATTTCAACTTGATTAACTTGAAAATGTTTCCCAATTGCTTCAAAAGAAATTGACACCAGCATCCGATCCAGACGATTTGCGTGTATATAGCCGTGTACATAGGCCTGATACAGTAGCTTTCAAGTCTCCAAGGCAGTGAAAGGAGTGGTAATGCTCCTATGCCTTGGCGGAAGCCAGGCCAATGTCACTTTTGCTTTGCTTTGCAGCTACACGCCATGTCAGGGTCCAAAAACACTTGCATTCGACCTTTTGCCTCATGCATCCGATGAGTTTGAGACTAGTTGCACGACTATGTATAGTTGCCAGTGATGATTTTTATTCTAGCTTGCCCGCTCTCAGGTCACATCTGGCGAGCGAGCTTCACCTCTCCGTCCTCCGCTAACTCTGCGGGGCGGCGGGGGGTGTTTTTACATGGTCTCACTGGTTGTATATATGCTGTATACGTCGTGCGTGGCTCAAGAAACAAGCGTCTACTTGTAGTTGCATTGTGGCTTGGTAGACCTGTAAAACAAAACTTACCCATATGTGTTCCTTTTTTTCCTTGGTTTTACTGTATCACTCTCTTAGTGGTTCTTGGGTTCAAAACTTGCGTTGTGTTTGCAGAAGCTCTTGAGGACTAAAAACATTGTATATATATATATATATATTTATACTGTATATACACCTTAAAAGTCAAGTCTAGTGAGCCTATCTTAGCATCATCCCTGGATGACGATTGGGTAATTCCCTCCTTTTCGGGTCGCGCTTCGCGGGGGGCCCTATCTTTGACAGGATGGCCACGACATGTGACTGCAGCGATAACATGAGACACTAGCTTCCCTCTTTTATTGGATCAGTAGGTGTTTCATGGTGTTTAATGATGTTTAATGATGCTTAATGAAGTTTTAAGATGATGTACCCTCTGTTAAACTAACATAGCTATGAACAATCACCATTTTAATATGCAAATCAACTCTAAATGGGCCATGTTCAATACCTATGTTAAATTGCCGGAGGGTAATATCCAGTATACAGCTTTTGAATATCTTCAATATGCCGCAAATTTAACCATGTGGCAGCAGGGATTCCCCCCTCCAAGGTAGCCACTTTGATGCTATCCATAGGTGCATGAGCGGCGAGACAAGTGGCGTTGCATTCTGAACACATCCCCAACTGACTGGATGTCTAGTGGACTATCCTTTTGTTTCTGCTACCGTATATGTATATAATACACACAATATATGTGTATGTATATATATATATATATGTACACAATATGTGTATATATATATAAAAATGGAAAATCACCAGCCAACCAGTTAAATGACAAATATTTTGTGGACTACCAAAGATTGACCATGATAATTGGAGAAAAAACAAGAACACCCAATCGGTTGATGTTCATGCTCCGCACACAGAGTCATAGATCATAATGCTGCACAGCCCTACACAATGAATTGATAATCATAGGTGTAAGTACACAATCAAAGATACAGAGATACTCATATGAAATCATAATATATGCATATATGGCATAGTTACATGCACTTACATGTATCCTACATCACACCCAAGACACAACACGTATGTATATTTTTGTTTTTTTGCAGAGAATCGATGGACAACGATTTAAAATATATATATATAATATATATATATGCATTTCCAAATTGAATATTTTGTTTCAGCACAGATTGTACACACAAAGCCACATCAACAGATGCGCGGCAAAAAGGGGTCGAAATCGTGGGATGTTTGTTGCAGGTGTCAGCCATCAAGGATCGGTACGGCTTGGCCATAAACCATACAGGATGGTGCCCCAGTGATGTGAATGTTGGACAACCCCCATGAAAACTATAGTAACTATAGTTATATCATGTTATATCTACCATAAACATCCATAAACCATAGTTATAAAGCTAATTATAAGGAAACTTATAGTTATATCTACCATAAACCATAGTTATAAGCTAATTATAAGGCAACTTCATTAGCTATCGAGCCGGGGGCCCCATCCCGTAGAAGTCACCAAGTTATAATCGCACCAGCCGCCAGCCTTTTGGGACGGTCAACATCACCAAACAACAACATTCCACTAGTCACTAAATTGATAAAAGACTATAGTCGATAGATCTATATAGAATGATCTAGACAATATTATTAATACATATACATAATTATATATATACACAAGTATCACTGGTTTATCTATTTCTATAGCCATGGGAGAAAAACTTGGCCAGGCTTTGGCTTCGTGGTCGAGGGGACCTTTCCACCGGCCGAGAAGGACTATGACTACGACGATCTCGAACGGTGCCATGGGTCCCAATGGTGATGAAAGATGGGGATCTCATAGTTATGAAGATTTTGGATTTATAATCCATAGGATCCATGTATGCTATCCATGGTAACATTTACCATCAATATACCCCAAATGTTAGCATATATACCATACATGGATCCTATGGGTAAGGGATACAATGTCAACCCTGGATTTTGCTAAACCATTGTTTATGAAAAATTAGGGAGGTACTCCTCCAATAGTCATTTCATCTGATACTTAATTGGTACCCTCCCAATTAAACAGCCGGATTTCTGGGGTTTATTAATCCAGGGTTGACATTATAAGGGATATATATTGATGAGATAGAGATTAATGGAGATTGTAAGGGATAGCCATTCGCTGGGAAATCCATATGGCAGCCTGGCTGGGAAATCCCCCCCAGGCGCTCCAGCCCCATGGAATCATTGACGGCCAGGGGATAACTTGCTGCACACTATGGAACTGAGTACCAGGGGGATAACCCAGGGAATCCCAATAAAACTGGCAATTTGAAAATCTGGTTGGTGGTGACTGGAACCATGGAATTTTGAATGACTTTCCATGAAAAGTTGGGAATAATATTGGATAAGCATCCCAACTGACGAACTCCATCATTTTTCAGAGGGGTTGAAACCACCAACCAGTAATGATTTTATATGGAAATATATGGAATACGTGGTTTTTTCATGGGGCATACTCTGATGTCGACTACTTTGATGTGCACCGTGGTGAATAAGCGTTGTCAACCATAGTTGGTTCACCCAATTGGATAGATCGTGTAAATATACATTAGATGGATATCGCAATGACATGTTAATTAAATTTAATTCATACAGACCTTAGATTTGACTATATTTGTATATATATATATTATATATTATATATATCCGAGATAGCTGTGATAGTCCAGAGGCTTGGATGTTGTGGTTGTTGTTGTTGTTGTTGTTTTCAGGGGATGATCCCAGCTTTCTCTGTACAGTCGGGTGCACGTTGTTTAGCCCTGAAACAGAGCTATCCAGAAATTTATCTGGTTGGTGGTTTCAAAGATTTTTTTTCCATGTCATAAACAAGGGATGTCGTGCTTCCCATTGACGTGACTCATATTGAAATCAAGATGGTTAAAACATGTTAAGTCACCACCAAGCAGTTATCTCATCCCATTGGGGGGTTCAGTTCAGTTTTTCCCTACTGCCAAACATCCCATGGCTCCGTTTTTTTCACATTCCACAATGACCCGGATACTGATTTTTCACGGCGCGCAGAAAAAAACAGGGTGTTTTGACATGCAAAGAATCCGGGCGGTTCCATAGAAGCGTAGCTTCCATCTACTTGAGGACACTGAGACATTCTGACACAGAATTCACTTGAGGTGCAGCTTCCCTGTCATTTGAGGCATGCTCATTGGACCTCCTGTTATTTGTTTTAGGATACTCCGTGATTGATGATATCCGAACCTATCCCAGAACTGAGAATCTTGCCGTAAAACAAGCATCAAGGGGGGATGACAAGGCTTATGCCCGAAATGGAAGGCAACTGCTCATCGTCTATGCGGTCTTGGCAGCTCTATCCCTGGTTTCTCGGCAGCGATATTTCCGGATCATAGGGGCGTGGCTCAAACTGATTGACCTCAAAAAATGGATGCGAAAAAATAATTCTTATAGTACATATATATATATACACACATGCATACTATTACATATACTGTTAATTATACCGTTATATATATATATGTATACTATTGTTTACATACCTTAGACTCTCATTAAGCCTGTAAAAATGGGACCCTTCTTCGGTATTTGGAGGGTCAAACGGCTAGATATTCAGGAGATGATCATGTTGTGGGCTTTAGCCCACAGAAACCCATGGGTTTTACGCAGGAAGGGATCAGCTGGTCGAATCTAAGCTCCTCACAAGCTGCTAAGCTGCTAAGCTGGCTGTCAGCACACGTGTCGCTTAAAACGGCTGCCAGACTGAAGGTCTGCGGCTATACTCTTTGTTCTTTTTTTTTTGGTCATATGCAATTTGCCAGAGAAGATGTCAGAATACATGTCAGAATATAAATATATATAACTAACCATAAACATATTTCGCATGAGATTTGCCAGATCAAGTGTCAGATTGAGTTTGTCCGGGTTGATGTTTGAGTATTTGCCTTCCAGTTCGTGTCTTACTTCACCCTGCTAAGTAGCCCCAGTGACAGGTCTTCCCTCTTGCGTGCATGATGCTGACCATCGCGGCACGCTTCGAGGTGAAGTTGTGGTAACTTCTAGGGCTTGTGGGAGGGAAAAAACTCTTTGCAAAATTATTCCATTGATTAAATTTAATGTTACGTACAATGATGTGTTTGCATACATGCACGCTTTACATATTCCACCATTTTTGCACGCGGGAGGGTTGTGCACATCTTCGCCAGAACCGTAGTATTTGCATGCGCTTGGTTTTCCAATTGATATTGATTAGTGTACCAAGTTGGTAATGGATGCAAAACATCAAAACGATCAAACTTAAACTGTGCCCCCCAAAAAAATCCATCAGTCATCAAATGTGTAGAAGGTTCCCTTAGCATCACAATGTGTGGCACACAGCTACTGACGTTGCTCGAAGTTTTGGGTCCAACATCATTCCGTCCCAGATGGACAAGTTCTTCCCAAGACATTGGCGTCCCATGGCCATTGTGCGGGTTTTTTTGTAGAGGGTCCAACAACATGTCTTGCCTGTAACCGATAGCCATCTTTCATCGACGTAAGTCACCAGTTTTCCAGCTTTCGGATGATCAGAGCCATGCACCATGGACCATGGCCTCACCATGGCTTCACTGGCCGGAAAAAACCTCGAGGTGGAGCTCTGTCAACAAGATGTCATGGGAGATTTGCAGAAACATTTGCTGAAGGCGGGTGACATTCAACAGGTGATTCGACTAGGCTTTCCATGGTGGCTTAAACCATGGTGAACGGTTACTGTACCCCGCTGGTTTATGGGTTTATTTTTTTTAGGGAGAACGTCGAAAAAATCCGAACATCACATGGATGATGAACAGGGGTACACCCATGACTTAGGAAACCTCCGATTTCAACTGCGATTTTGTACTTGGTTTCTTTTTGTGGTTTCATACAGGGTTTCTGATTCTCCATCGGTGATCCCCATCGTAACTCACCATGGCTGCCATTTGGAACCACATTGGATGAAATATAATTCTGGAGGTGAACAACACCCATTTCCCAGTGGATTTGTCTAGGTGTTTATGGTGTGACTTAAAAACGTTTTTCAAGGGTTGATTTCCGAGGTGTTTTGTGTTTCTAAACACATTCCTAATGTTTATTTATCTGGATGTATTATTTCTTCCATTGCCATGTTTGTGTACTGGAGGGTACTGGCTGCACCAGTGCCAAAGTGTAGCTTTGATCAAAATCCAGGCTTTGTTCATGGCTTGGAAGCTGACTCACTGCGCATTTTTCCATCTATTTCCGGGTGTCTGACTTCAGATGCTTCAAAGCCGCTGAAAACGCACATCCAATAGTTCCAAACTCACCAGAAGTTCCTGTCGACTCGTCGGGAAGGCGCTTCAAAGGGACCAACGCGATGCTGATCTGGTGCAAGGCGCTGCCGGGGCAACGGGGAAACTACAAGAGCTGGAAAGCTTAGTATCAGTTGGTCAACTGAAACAGTAGAAACTCTTTTTTTGGACTCAGGATTCTATTGAATTGAATGTTGGTTTATTTTGAGCCTTCTTTTTGAACATCTGGAACTAAACTTGGAATCTCCACATATTGTATACTCCGCCTAAAACGTACCCGAGCACCTCATTTGAGACAGACATTCACTATTTACAGGAGAGGAGCGGATGAGAAAACAGTGGTGGATTTGATCGCTTTGAAAAACGGCCCTGCATGAGCTCCCTTGCATTGAAGTGTTGGAAATCGAGACCCCCAAAAAATGGTTTCACCATTTCCAAGGCTGTTTCTTGGCCTTGCTTTGGCACCCAAAACCTTGTTTTGGATCCCCGACATAACCATGTTGGAGGTGGGTTTATACAACCTAATGATATCAAAATCCAACAGTAGCCGGGAGTCCCGTTCCAGTATGGTTCAGAGGTCCAGGCTGCAAAAGTTCATGTTGAGCAGATTTTTTAAGAATTATAGATTCTGCCAGTGGTACGGGACAACAAACAACCAAGTGGTTTTAGTCGATACAGTACATGGGTCCCATGGGTTTGTCTGAAAGTGGGATAGCCCAAAACCCCATGAAGTTTGTCAGGATATTCCCAATTAAAATTGCCTTTTGGTTTGGTTGATCCCGCATGTTCGGACGACATCCACATTTTGGAAGTGTGGATTTTCCTCAATGGAGGTGACATTCAATCCTCCTACCATATTTCAGACCATCCGCTGCTTGCCATTCGTTGAGTCCGGCAGGACTCCCAAGCTCTTCCAGAAGTGATGATGAGGAGGTGTCCTGGATTCATGATTGTACAATATTGTACATACATATCCTGCTTGGTGGTTTGGAACATGTTTTATTTTCCCATATAATTATTGGGAATAACCATTCCAACTGACTTTCATATTTTTCAGAGGGGTTGAAACCACCAACCAGTATCTCACTTCAACTATGATTCAATAGGATGTCTGACATAGACTCAATTTATCTCCGAATTTTCAGCATCTTTGGGATGGAGAAGACATGCGGATGATCCACTTCATGTCGCAGGACATATCATGAAATATCTTGTTTTGCAGGGTATCTAGCAGGCTAGCCGCGGTTAGCCATCGTCTTGTTATGCCGATGTTTTTTGGACAAGAGCTCCCAATTGTAAGAGTTGTATGTAGAATCGATATGAATCGATGAGATGTATGAATAGAATTGAATAGACCCTCTGTTTAAGCACCCTTTAGGATGGATTTTCACCCCATGATGAACTCGTACTTTTCCTCAGTCCGACGCTTTGCCATCTGAGCCAGTGTCAGAGATTTCCGAGCTGATACAACTACCCTCTGGTTATGACTAACATAGCCATGGTATAGATGGCCCATAGAAATAGATAGTTTACCTATTAAAAATGGTGATTTTCCATGGCTATGTTAAATAACCAGATGGTAAATCTTCAGCCAGGTAACCAGCTTGGAAATGATCACTTAAATGTAATGTTTAAGATAAAGATTTGAATCTCCTACTAGTAGTGCATCCCTCTGATGATCATGAAAAAACTCCGATGATTTTTCTGACCCCCAGTTGATCAATATTATGGGTACCACTGTTCGAATTATGACTATATTGAGGACGCCCTCTGTTTTAAATTTGTATTTCACTTGGTGCTTGACTATTCCAGACTTGGTATCAAGGCCAATTCTCATTCCAGCCTGGGGGTAAACAACCCCTCAACAAAAACCTGATTGACTGTATAGCAACCCACAAACAGATAGACGACTCTACAGCATTGGATATGTTGATTTTAACGGAAACTGTTCAGGAAAATCTTTAAAAATTGGGGGATTGGGGGTAAGACCATGGTTTCCGGTTAAGATTTTCCCTTAAACCAATCCATTGCTGTGTCCAGAAAGATCCAGAAAGTGCGTAGATTCGATAATTCACCATTTATCATCACTATTGTTTGCCATCAGTCACCATTAGTCATCCCGTGATTGGCCATTAATCACCATTATTCACCATGCTCCATGGTGCTGGAATATTTACCAACATTTGCCCCAAAAAACACCCAGTCATGTAGGTAAATATACCATACATTGAGCAGATGGGATTTTTCACCATGATATTTATCCATCGATTTTAACAACCCAACCCACAACTCGAGGTTTTGCACCGGGCTGATTCATCTTCCCGTGCCATGGACGACATGTTTGTTGGGAGGTGAACAGCAGTGAAAATGGGTTACGTTTGAGCCACAGAAGAGAACACAACATATATATGTATATATAATACATATATATATATATACATTTTGCATATGTGTACAGATATGATCAAATATGTATGTAACGTATATATATATGATTATGTATATATATATACACACGTACATATGTACATATGTATATGTATACAGATACATCATACATCTATAATACATATAGACAAAGGATATCCATTTAGCCATTTAACATGGAATATTCTGAGGACCACATGGCCACAGACTTGGACGGATGTATTCGAGACACCTACTATTGGTCATGTTTGGTCTATTTTTTAGGGCGAACACTTCAGGGAATACTGCCCGGAAATACGGCTTTATCTGGTACACTAGCTCCAGTTTAGGAACCTGAAATTGAAATGGCCATTGATTTATGAGCATAAGTCGGGGGACACCTTGTAGGTATTGGTTCCAAGATGTCATGACAGAAGAAAGCTGGACTTTTCCTCTTTCAGCATTGTCCTTCTGGCCGCATTTCGGTCTCTAGCAGATGTGCAGAATTTGCATCTAGGTTCTGCGAATCGAATCCTGTGCCAACACTATCCCAAACATGGATGGTTTGAACTGCTTCACCTCAGTATGGGTCAGAAGGATTCAGAAGGCACATCCAGGATCCAGGCAAATCCAGCCCCTAAGCCACGTTAGCCGTATTGAAAAGGGGGGTTCTGACGGGCCCAGAAGTCGGGGACTTGTCATCGCCTTGACCGATGCATAGACAGATAGATGGAATGAAAGATACATTGATACATGGATATACACATATATATATAATATGTATGTACATAATACACATATATATATATACTATAACTCGTATATATGTATTATATATATATGTCCATATATACATACATATAATTACATACATACATATATATATATAATACATATATATATATACATACACATATATATACATATATATATACACATAGTTACTTATATATGGATTGATCGGTGAGTGGACAGATGGATAGAATGGATGGCTGAAGGTCTTCCCACTGCTCGGCGCCCGAAGTTGCCCGCGACCCCAGACGACATCCAAAGAAGCGAGGCTTAGCCTCTGGTAAACTAACATAGCTATTGAAAATTGCCATTTATAGTGGATTTACCCATTAAAAATGGTGATTTTCCATAGTTATGTTAGTTTACCAGAGGGTAGCCTCCAGTCAACAATGAAAATGCTATGGAAATGCCAAGGCCCTAGGTTTTCCTGTGGAATTGCCAGGAAATAATTTCCTGATTCATAGTGGATTTTCCATATCCATGTTGCTGGAGACTCAACTAGTCTGATTTGGCAATTGGTCTGCAACTTGTCCGGGAAAAAGAAAAACCGGGAGTATTTATGGTATCCCATGGTATCCATCTATTTTTCCTGGTTTGTTAGTGAGAAAAAATATGTTTGATTATCTGATGAGATGATGATGATTCTTCCGTTTATGGCGAGTTAAATGGGCAGATTAGGATTGATTTTTCGGGTACTGTAGCGGATTTTTGGCCACACCCAGATAGCTGTCAGATCATGGTATATGTGGGGGAGTCAATTTCTGAATTGAGGTTTCCCAAAGTGGGGGTAGCCCCAAATCATCCGTGATAAGTAGGACGATCCATGAAATAAATCAACCAGCTATTGGGGGATCCATCTGTGGAGGGAGAACTAAAGCAATGTACCAGAACAATCCAGAACATATATTTGATGACATATATATATACACACGTATAATCTACATATATATATATACATATACAGATATACTGTACTGTACTGTACAGGACATGCTGCTGCTCTTTCACCTACTTGAAGTCTTTTGCAAGGATTCTTAGCAAGAGTCTTGTAGGGTGCTTGAAGCAAGTGGCTTGAAGCCACCCACCTCCACTATTTTTGCATTGGTAGTGTGTTTGTACCAAGTTGGCCGCTTCAAAAATATGATACTTCTGGGAAGGACCGGCAATCCAAAATAGAGTTATTTATGTGTTCTCCATTTCTTTGTGGTGCAGGTTGTTTTTTTGGGGCGTGCTCGAACGCATATTTTGTTTTCGGTTTAAAACGGACCAAGCACGGAAGCCAAAATTAGCGCCAAAAATCGGGTATCAAACATGGAATTAAACCCGAAACACGTCGACAGAAACTTTAAGGAAAGAAAAACGGCACGGCGCCACAAGAAAATATAATGGCACAGAGAGATGGCACAAAGGACCAGAGATGTTGTCTCAAGTCGCTGGTCCCGGCAATCACAATGTGCCCTGAAATCCAGCAGCAAAGCTCAACGAGAATAGTCAGAGAGGATGCAAAACCCAGGAATGTTCCATATACTGTATATATATATATATGTGTATGCCAGACATCATGGCCGTATACATATACATATATATATACACACATTCAAATTTCTTTTACAGTAAGTATTGAGAGTATGTCAGACTGCATGTCACAATGAGTTGGAGCACACGTAAGATTAGTTGTCACCATTTATGCCAGAAAACATTTTATAATATATGAGCCAGAATGTATGTCAGCAAGCACGCAAAAACATGTCACACGGAATATATCTCAATTTTTTTCATGTCGGTACTTAGATAAACAGCCCACAAAGGAGTTGTCATCTATCCCAGAAGTTCAGTGAAGCAACAATGTGAATCAGGCTGTATGTCAGTAGATTTGCCATAACCCAGGCGCCGGAACAGCCGCAGCGAACCTTTGTTGGGTGTACAGAGCTCAATGACCCGGAGATACGTCCCGGTGCCAGAAAAATCCAAGGTATCTTATGGGTATGTCCCTGCAGAAATGTAAGAATTGCCGTGGGAAACCCAATGATTCTGTATGATTCTCTGACATACTGATGATCACTGATGTGTTTTTTTTTTTTCCGGGCACCTTAATCCAAGTTGGAAAGAGATATCCTATTGTTTTCACATCATGATCAAACTCCACAGCGCTTTCCTATTTGTTGTGTTGTAAACCATAAAAAGGACAGCCGTGTCAGCCGATGGATTCCAATGTGGTGATCCATACCCCTCTTTATGAAGGAAAATGCCTGTTGTTTTCTGTTTGCTATTCAGAATGCTTTTCAGAAAATCTTATTATGTAAGAACTCCGTCAGAATTAAGGCAATTGCCCGCTGATAACACAATGTGGGGCCCCTCTTCTCCCAAGCTGAACAGATGTCATTGGGCTGTGGCTCAGACACACCGGTTGGTAGACGATTAGTTCGGGGGTTGCACCTGCTTATACTATCCAAGATTGATTGGGGGCAATCATAATCCATGGGAAATCCCATTAAACAAGGGCTTATCCGACAGTATGGCAGTAAGAACAGTACATGTTCGCTACAAACCCTAGGTTTGCACGCGGCGAATCCCGCATATCCTTTGACATGCTCAAATCCCTGCGTAAGGTTTGAGTTTTTTACTTTCCAAAACAACAAACCCTAAAACCCTAAACCCTAAAACCCTAAAACCCTAAAACCTGAAACCATACACCCAAAATTAAAACCCTAAATCCTAAAAAATCGATTTCAAAATCACTGCGCAAACCAGCACCACTTCCTCCGTGTGCTTCTGGTAGTTGGACAAATGCAACTAGTTGACTAGCTACTAGCAATATTGCAAGTGCACCTTGGAGGCTAGGAAGACTGGTTCTAGTTCCACTAGGTGCTTCTTGTACTTCTAGTGGCGCTATGATTGCAACTCCTTCTATTTCTGCTTTGCCTGGCACGTGTAGAACTAGACTAGACTAGAAATACCCCGCTCTCTTCCTTCACAGCCATAGCGGGAAAGCCGGCCTAGATTGCGTGTCCCGATCCATACCCCGATCCATACCCGTTCCATACCCGATCCATACCCGAACCCAGTCACGCCACAACAAATGCCAATATGAAAGTCCGATTCTATTACTACTTCTACTGCTGCTGCTTCTACTTCTTCTTCTACTACTACTACTCCTCCTCCTCCTGCTCCTCCTGCTGCTGCTGCTGCTGCTGCTGGCATTCCTACCCCTACTCCTACTCCTCCTACTACTCCTAGTACTACTGCAGCTGCTGCTGCTACTACCATTGGATTACTAGTACTATTTTGACTTTTACTTTTACTAGTACTACTGGTACTGCTACTGCTATTTCTACTGCTACTGCATCTTCTCCTTCTATTGCCACTACTGCTGCTGGTGCTGGTTATTTTTACTGCTCCCTCTACTAGCGGCAACAGTTTTAGCAGCAACAGTAGCAGGACGAGAAGTAGTAGCAAGTAGGAGATAGCAGGAGTATCAGCACAGTTTGTATGCTATGATAAGCTCTTACGAAAGGGTACGGATCAGGCACCTTATGTAAGCACTCCCGATCCATAGTACGGATCACCGTGGAGCGATCCATACCCGATTGTTGACTCGCACCCATATATTATAGTCCAGTGTTGCGAAGCGTCAATCCATCCCATAATCATTATCAACATCAACATTCACGATCCTTGCCTGAATTATACTGAATCACAAACATTAACCTGAAAATAGTTGAAACCTTTGCGGCCATTTGGGGATGATTCCCCATTTGGTGGTTTCCTAAGTCATGGGGGTGCCCCAGTCGTCATGGGTTTCAATACGAAGTCATGGTCATGGCAGCCGGATGATTCGGGGCACCCCTATGGCCCTATGACAACGGAAACCCCCATTTCTACGTCGACACCATAAAACGGATATCCAGATATCCATCAGATTTTCGGAAACCACATGAAACCACCAAGTCATAGGGGGAATCATCATCCAGCTATTAGATTGGGATTTTCCATGAAGTAAACCAACCAGCTACCCTCTGATAAACTAACATAACTATGGAAGATCACAATTTTTATTGGGAAAACTCACTGTAAATGGTCATTTTCTATAGTTATTTTGACATAACCAGAGGGTATTGGGGATTGATATTCCTCGCCCGAGGCGCGTAAGGATAAGGGATTCGTGAAGGGCATTCGCGAAGCGGCCGCTCGGTGGAAAACCCATGGGGATTTCACCATGGTGGAAAACCAGGGAAAGTCTCTGGTAAACATTGAAAAAATTATGCGAAATCACATGCTATTCATGGGTAAATCAACTATTTCGACTGGCCCATTTTCAAGTTCGCAACTGTAAACGTTTACCAGAGGGTATAGGAAACTATATGGAATTATGGTGAAAAATGGAATTGAGTAAGAACTGACAAAGGTAACTAGTAGGATAGTTTACTGTTTTTATGTTTAGTTGGTTGCTAAAGAACATTCGTGCGATGGCTGTCATGATTCGTGAGGATTCCCAATATGACCACTGGATACCACTGGTCATGCCGTGGTTCCACGATGTTCCACGCTTCATTTTTTTTTGGACCGTGGCATAACCCATAGGATCCATGTATGCTATATATGGTAACATTTACCATCAGTATACCCCAAATGTTAGCATATATACCATACATGGATCCTATGGGTATTGTGGCCATACCCTTAGACTCTTTCGACTAGACTTCCAGAGACTTCGAGTTTTTTTTTTGAAAAATCAAACAAGATGGCACTTGGTCACCCTCAAGGAACCCCCCTAAACCCTTCAGGGACGCTTCACCATCGATGAATTTTCTGGTTGGTGCTTTGGAAGATTTTTATGACTTTCCCATCATATTGGGAATGTCATCATCCCAACTGACTTTCACTCCATCATATTTTTCAGAGGGGTAGGTCAACCACCAACCAGTATTTATTATTAACCATCATTAACCATTATTAACAATCATTAACCATTATTAACCGTTATTATCAACCACCAACCAGCCAAGGTCAAGGGTGGTGTGAAGTTTGATCCTCAGGGGAGCCTTCTGGGACCCTTATGGGACCGGACCGGCCGCTACAGCCAGAATGGTGAACTCCCAATGTTTGACAGGAAAAAATTACTTTACTTCGTGTGATCCCCACCATGACATTTATACATTTTCTTACTGGCAAATCTTCTGGCATTCTATCTGACATATCTTCTGACATTCCATTTGGCATTCTATCTGGCATATCTTCTGGCATATGATCTGGCATATCTTCTGGCATATCTTCTGGCATTCTATCTGGCAAATCTTCTGGCATTCTATCTGGCATATCTTCTGGCACTCTATCTGACATATCTTCTGGCATTCAATCTGGCATTCAATCTGGCATATCTTCTGGCATATATTCTGACATATCTTCTGGCATTCTATCTGACATATCTTCTGGCATATATTCTGACATATCTTCTGGCATATCTTCTGGCATATCTTCTGGCATATCTTCTGGCATATCTATCTGGCATATCTTCTGGCATATTTTCTGGCATTCTATCTGGCAAATCTTCTGGCATTCTATCTGGCATTCTATCTTGCATATCTTCTGGCATATTATCTGGCATTCTATCTGGCATATCTTCTGGCATATATTCTGACATATCTTCTGACATTCTTTCTAACTTTCTTCTGCACATTCTTTGTCCCATATCTTCCTACATGAGGTCCGGCAGGGAACACTTGGCGTGGATACTCGCGGTTGAGGTCCGGCAGGGAACACTGGGCGTGGATGGTCGTGGTTGAGGTCCGGCAGGGAACACTGGGCGTGGATGGCCGTGGTTGAGGTCCGGCAGGGAACACTGGGCGTGGATGGTCGTGGTTGAGGTCCGGCAGGGAACACTGGGCGGGGATGGTCGTGGTTGAGGTCCGGCAGGGAACACTGGCGTGGATGGTCGTGGTTGAGGTCCGGCAGGGCACACTGGACGTGGATGGTCGTGGTTGAGGTCCGGCAGGGAACACTGAGCATGGATGGTCGTGGTTGAGGTCCGACAGAGAACACTGTGGATCGCGGGTCGCAGTTGGACGAGGAGGACGAGGAGGACGACGAGGAGGAGGACGAGGAGGAGGAGGAGGAGAGGAGATGAGGAGAGGAGAGGAGAGGAGGAGCAGGCAACTGACATAAAATCTAACAACCCTCACCTGGCAGGTGGGGAACAACATCAATGGAGGTGAGTTGATATGTGTATATATATATGTATATTGATATATGTTTATCTATATTAACATATATTAACATAAGATTAATATATATATATATATTAATATTGATATATGTTTATATATATAAACATATATTAGCATAATATATATATATATATATTGATATATATGTTAATAAATTTAAATTAACATATATATATATATATTAACATAATATTAATATATATATATATATGGTTTTAACAAAAAATATATAAATATAAATAAATATAAATATATATATATATATTACATAAGATTTATATATATATATTGATAGATGTTTATATATATAGAATATATTAACATAAAATTACTTTATATTTACATAGTGATATATGTTTTTTATATATATATATTAACATATATTAACATATGTTAACATAAGATTAATATATATATATATATATATATATATATACACATATTATATATATATTAAATATAAACATATATTAACATATATTAACATATATTAACATATATTAACATATATTACATATATCATATATTACATATATTAACATATATTAACATATATTAACATATATTAACATATATTAACATATATTAACATATATTAACATATATTAACATATATTAACATATATTAACATATATTAACATATATTAACATATATTAACATATATTAACATATAAACATATATTAACATATATTAACAAAAGATTAATATATATATAAACATATTAACATCAGGTTTTTAATATTTGTTGATATACATTGATATATGTTTATATATATATTTACATATATTAACATAATAGATAGATTATATATATATATCCAAATATTGAGATATTAATATAGGTAAATGGATCTCTAAGTGCCAGATTAGACTGCCAGTATTTTGTCGTCCAGTACTTCATCCAGAGTTTGGTGTGTACAGTACCCACCACGAGCCTGGAAACAACTTCTGCAAAAAGAACATTTACCTCAGCTACCAACATAAACAACATTTGACTAGACATTTTTATACATTTTGCATATATATATATATACTATGTACATATACAACATATATAAAGTTATATTCAAGGTATCTAATTCCAATATTAATGTATTTGGGTCCGTGATAAGCCCACTAGGTAGACCCATTACCCACCACAACCAAAATAACTACCGTCTCCTACCATATATATATATTTATATATACATTGAACATAACTACCGTCTCCACACCCAAATACATTAACATCGGATTTAGATACATTGAATTTAACTTTATAACATATAAACATATATAAACAATATACAATAGTTATATTTATATATATATATATACACTATGTATTTGCATACGATTGTTTCTCTTCCTTCCGGTCATTCCAGCATTGAGGAATTCGGAACACGTCCTATTTGTATTTGGCTCATGCAAATCCAAGTTTGCTGGGGAAAGAATTCAGAGCACTAGGCTTCTGCAACTTGAACCTGTGTCGGAGATTTGGGAACCGTCAGCTACAAAGTGGGGCCTCCAAACGATAGCTAAGTTGGTGAACATAACTCCAATTTCACTATAGTTTATGGTACTTATAACGAACTAGTTACTGGGGATTATAAAGCAACTGACTGGGGGGCCCACATTGTACCAGTGTTCCCTCTTGGATCCTCTGGCTTTGTCTAGCCGGTCGAATTCCACGAGTAGATCAGTTCCATAGATCAGCAATGCATCTGCCAGGCGTCAATTGAGCAATTTTGAAGCGCTCTTTTTTGAAGAGAACGTGGGTCACATTGCTGAAGATGAGGCACTGGATGAATGGCAAAAAAAGGTGAAACATGTAATGTCACCAAAAGAAACCTCATGGTGAAAAAATGGTATAAATCAATATGGAAAATTCATCGATATTTTCCATTTGTTACAGCCCCATGCACATCACCTTCAGGTGGGTTTACCAAACGTGGTGGTTTGGGTCATGACCAACAATCTGTTCGCAGCTTTCGCAAGGTTTTGCGCAGCGACACGTGAAGCACACTTTATGCGTGACATGTGACCATAAAAAAAAATAGCTTGAGACACTTCTCTACCGATTGGCAGCTTCGGTCGGCCACAGCCTGTTTTCAAACAAGCACCTAATTGGAGGCGATTTGAAATGAATTCAATGACAATACATGGCAATGTTCTCCCATAATTTGCAAGCTATCCAAGACTAGCATTGCATTCGCATCTTCATTCGTAGGCGGGTTCTTTTTCTAAAAGCTATCTCTTGGAGTGGGTAAATTGCCGCCACCAGGTAGGAAGGTTTGAACTAGCATTGGTTCAAGTGAAAACCTGCAGGAACCCCCTATATTTGATGGTAAAAACACACACATGGTTTGTCTGTTAAGATCTTCCCTTCAACCAATCCATTGCTGTGTCCATTGTGTGTAGAATAAATCCCTTACTCATCACTATTGTTAGCCATTATTCACCTTTATCCATCACTATTGTTGTTAGCCATTATTCACCATTATTCATCACTAGTATTCACCATTATTCATCACTATCATTAGCCATTGTTCACCATTATTCATTACTATTGTTTGCCATTATTCACAAGTGTTCATCGCTATTATTCACCATCATTCATAATTATTCACATGTGCTCATCGCTATTATTTACCATTATTCACAATTGTTCATCGCTATTATCTACCATTATTCACAATTATTCACATGTTTTCATCACTATTACTGTATTTACCATTATTCACCATTTATCATCACTACTGTTAGCGAGTATTCACCATTGTGTATCTATCATTCGCCGTGATGCGCCAGGTTCGGTTGCTGGCTGAAGGCTTGTTGCAGAAGGTCGCAGTATCGCCGCAGTGAATGGCTGGATGGTTTAACCAGTAGAATGGGCCTTTGCAAATGGATTTTCAAATGGAAAAAAACATGTCTGGTTGGTGGTTTGGAACATTTGGATTAGTTTTCCATATATTGGGAATTTCATATTCCCAACTGTTCATATTCCCAACTGACGAACTCATATTTTTCAGAGGGGTTGAAACCACCAACCAGATGAACCATGTTTTTTTTTTTTTTTGCGAGCTGGCTGATGAACATAGAGTGGTAAACAGATACAACCAGCGGTAACCCAACATGTTTCACAACCAATGAGTAAATGAGAGTACAGGGCTGTGAATGAAATGCCATATTATATATTGTCTAGGTAATTTACAACGACCTCACTGCGACCTCACTGGAATGATGGTTTATATACGGGGAATTATCCCAATATAGCCGAACATGTCAGCATATTTCAGCTGAATTGCCTATCGGTATTACTATCATTGCTGCTACTAGTACTTTGCATATATATATATGTATACATAATATAGTTAATATTATATATCATTTTTCCATCCATTTTCTATACATTATATATAGTACTATTATTATATATATATATATACACAGTATACACACAACATCTCTTCGATTTGTCTTTGACATGCTCCCGGGTTGCCTCGTGACTCGTCCTCCTGTTGTCTGGTTGGACGGTAAGGGATCCACCTGAGCGACACAACTGACCTACTGACCTGCACTGTGCTTGTGATCCCAGCAGTTTTTTCACATCAGAAAATATCATTGTAAATGGAGTGATATATGCAAACTGCTAGTAGCAATGATAGTAATACCAGGATTACTATCATTGTTGTTTTTTTGGGTTGTGATCCTCAGTTTCTCCCAGGTCCCAGAAAAAAAAACAAACAAACCATTTTCCATCCACCTCCACATGTGAGGTGAATTACTACCATTTTCTCTACCCCATTGCGCAGTTGTTTCTCTGGCCTGGCCCTCGGTGCCCTTCGTGTTTCGTAAACCGGAGAAGGAACATGGCTCCTTGGGAATGGTGGGAATGGTGGAAAATAATGCAAATAGTAACTCTTGATATAGTCATAGTCATCAACGGGTACTACCTTCATCTTCATCATCATCATCATCATCATCATCACCATCACCATCACCATCACCATCACCATCATCATCATCATCATCACCATCATCATCATCATCATCATCATCCTATGGTAGTAGCTAATAACCCCATAATAACACTGGGTTTACCAATGATGGAGTAGTGGGAATACTCGTAATACGTTTGTATTTGTTAGGTTATTACATGTTACTATATAATCCAAAATCAGGTGCTGGCGGTACATCAACACAATGGTAAATTACATGTCTATGTTTTGTTTTTCTTTCCCCGGGGTTACTATATAATCCAAATCAGGTGCTAGCAGGATTGTTAATCATTATGTGTTTCTTCATTTTGACTTAAAGGCGGAAGTCAGCGAGTGTTCACCACTGTTTGGTCATGTAAAAGATCCCCAATGCTGAGCCCCGCAGCCGTGATGTTGTAAAGAATCTGCGACTCAATCCGTTGATATTTGGAAGCTTCCAAAGTTATAGGCAGGGCTAGCCCAAATCATCCAGTCGTTTTTTTGGATGACCATTTCAGTATTGAAACAACCATGGTGACTTGGGGTACCTCCATGTTAGGACACCTACATGTGTTGATTTTTGGCCGTGATGTTGAGTGGCAAGGTGCGGAATGTTGAGCTCTGTATTGGTTTGCTGTGTCTTGCTGGGCTTGTACTACAAGGCGACCATCGGGGATGGTCGCTGAGTCGTTGTCGTGAGTTGAGCATCTGGAATCTGAATCTATAGGGGGGAGGATTGTGATTACCACAATGCATGACATACCCTTTGGTAATTTAACATAGCTATTGAAAATGACCATTTATAGTGGATTTTCCCATTGAAAATGGTGATTTTCCATAGCTATATATGTTAGTTTACCAGAGGGTAGATCAATATAATGTGGGTAAAACAATGTCATTTTTACCACCCATTTTCCTGGAAATGGTTTACACATAGCACCTATAGAAATGGTGATGACTGGGGATGGTTTATTATTGTTTTACCCACATTACATAGATAAAACATGATGAAACTAGCTCAGTTGAAAGGGGTTTTTAAGAGCTGCTGCATGTCGTGGAGTGCTGATGTTTGATCAAGCAGTGCCCCGACTTCGGGGGAGATTAGTGATGACTACTGCAGTTCTTGCATTGTCTTGTCTTGAGGGTTTCCTAGAATGGGGATACACCAATAGCTGGATGGTTTATAATGGAAAATTCTAAAATGGATGAATTAGGAGTACCCCTATTTTAGGAAACCTCCATTTCTTCTTACATGATTCATTTGTTTTGCCCGCTGAACCGGAATTATCATACCAACAAAATCACACTATTATCACACATGTTTTAAAAATCTTCAGAGAACTAGGCATGTTTGATCCAATTTCAATTGAAACATGTTCAACATGTTTCCTCATTTTGGAAGCCATCGAATTAAAGACCCTCAATGTGACACATTTTGTCTTTACGGTGAACATGGCTGAAACATCAACACTTTGGACGCCATTTCAAAGCCTGATAACTGCACTGATTGGTGGTTTGGAACAGTTTTTTATTTTCCATATATTGGGAATTTTCATAATCCCAACTGACGAACTCCATCATTTTCCAGAGGGGTAGGTCAATCACCAACCAGTTTTTGTCTGAGAAAACACTGGCACGGGTGACCAAGCACAAGGAACATGACATAAATTCACATCATGTGGGCATAAACCCAGCATTTGGGTCTGAGCATAGCTGGCATAGCACATCATCGCACCCATCAAAATGGTGATTTTGGGGATTGTTTATTATTGAATCACCATTTATTATTATTATTGAATGATGGTGATTTATTATTGAATCAAAATGGTGATTTATTATTGAATGATTTTTGGATCCGCCACTTCACAAGTGGTTACTTGGATTTGCTGAAGATGAATTGTTGTTTTTTTCCATGGAAAATCAGCAAGGGTAGAGACCCTTTCGAGCAGGCAAATTGGCAAAACATGGGAAATCCACTACTTGGGTAATCTATAGGGAATATGTTTTACAGTATTTTTTGGTGGTTCCTTAAGCAATCCATGGTTAGGAGTGAGCTTTTCGAAGCTAGTGGTTTTCCAAACACATGAAAGGCCAATTACCCTGAGACGCCCTGGATGTGGCTCGGGAATCTCAGAGTCGAGGCAATGTGAAAATAGGGAATTCAGATGGGATTTTTGATGATAAAAATAGATGTGAACATTGATCAACCAGTGGATTTCATTGATATATACCCTCTGGTAAATTAACAGTTGGACCCTGAAAATAGCCTAGTTTTAATGGAAATTAATCTTCCAACCCCGATGACTGCCAGGGTCGAACTGTTAATTTACCAGAGGGTATATATATATATGTATCTAATTCCCATATTTTCCAGACACCCCCATATCCCCATACTGATCGGCCCTGATCAGTTTTCACATTTTTCTTTGTTCAGAGTCTCCGGGGTTTGAAGCGACAGCGACCTCCCAACAGTGGGAAGATTCAGCCCAGTCTTGACGGGATGAATGGGTTATCAAACAGCATCACGAAAAAATCTGGGGGTTATTCACAATCTATTGTTATATTATAATATGATGTTATATAACATATCTATTATTTGGAGGATTGAAATAATAAACTTGAGATTTGAAATGAATTAGTTGTGAATTCTGGATCATAACGGACCAGGAATGGCATAAAAAGGGATTGTTTTTACCCGAAATGACCAGTCCATGGGTTAGTGAACCGACCGAAATTGACCCACCAAATGTAGCAAGAACGGTGAAGATTCCACAAGCTGCACCTTGCTGGCAAGGTTTCCAATTATCCACTTAAGTGCTATTTGGATTACTTAAGACGGCCCCAACAATTGTATGATGTACGATGTATATTAATATATATATATATATATTTAAATGTATATATATATATGTATATATGTATATATATACACATATAAATTGTATATACAATATTATATATCATATATTGTATATGATTATATAATATATTATATGGCGTTACATAATCTGGATGTACTACACAACATGCATTGATTCATTTCGAATCTGTTCTGGAACGACCAACAACAAATTGCGGGTCCTTGGAGTTTCTTTTCAGATTGAGGCGAAGCTACAGCGGCATCTTGGGCTCTTGTGCTTTGGGATGCCACTTGGAACGAAGGAATCTGATGGCCGGTTCCAAAGTGATTATTGGATACGATTGGGATAGTAGCAGCCTGGACCCCTGTACTCCGAGATACTCCAAGCACAGCAATCCATGTCTTGTTCCTTTTTTTCAAATGCATCTTGCTTGGCTTTACTTCAGCATAATTGTGGGGAGTAGCAGAATTTCGGCCGCTGATATTCCTGTGCTTCGGCCGTGAAGTCCCAGGTTTTGTTGCTGGTTGAGGTACCCCTAAACTCAGCCAGGTTTATCGTTTCCCTTGTAAAATTGCCGGGTTAAGTTCCCCATTTTCAGACAAACAAAAAATATCACATCAAGCTGGTGATGCGTTATGTGCCAATTACATGTTCCAATTTTTCCAGTTAATTATATCACAGTTGTTTCCCCCGTAAGAACAAATTGATTTTTTATTTCTGATATCTCAACTTTTTGTTGGTGACCAGTCAGACCATTTTCGGTCAAGTCTTCTCCTTTGTCTCATGCCTGACTTTGATTGAAAAACAAGCTGTACCCAAAAATCTGATTGTCGACCGTACCTCAGTCTCCTATCAACAGTTGCCCGGTTGGTGGTTTGGAACATTTATTATTTTCCCCAATAGTTGGGATGATGATCCAATCTGACTAATATTTTTCAGAGTTGTCTCCAATCAACAGTTGCTATTTTGTGGTATCGCAGGTATCCCCCAGTTTGGACAAACCCTACTATCTGTTGGTCAACTCTCCATAGTTTTTGCTGAGCAAGTCCTGCCTCTTCGCCCACATGGGTGTGTCTGACATTGATTGTTTATATATAATTATATATACTGTTTATAAATGATATGCTATATCTAATATTATATATATAATGTAATATAATATAATATAATACCTCAAATATGATTTAATACAATATAATAGAACATAATATAGTTTATATATATATGATCTATAGAATATCTATTTAATACCTATTTAATAATATATATATATATGATAATATATATATATGTGATAATATATATATATGATTATATATATATATGTATAATACAATATACATAATAATAATGCTATACATATATAATATCATAATACATATATATATATATAATATAATAATGATATATATATAATATCATAATATAATATAATATAGTATAATATAATATAATATGTATGCAATATATCTCTATGTAATATAACTATATTATATATTTTATTATAATATATATATATATAATATCTCTATGTAAAATATAATATATAATATGGTGTAATATCTATATAATATATTTAATGTGATACAAACTAAATACAATATAATATATATATATAGCATATAATACTGTAGATCGATATATATATAATATACTATGATATACTATGATTATAATATAGTTTACATATTATATATAATATCTGTAAAATATATAATATCTATAAAATATATAATATATACAATATGATGTAATATAAATGCAATAAATTGTATGTAGGATAATATATATATATATAATATAATATATATAAAGTATAATATATATATAGAATATATATATATATAATATATATAATATATAATATGTATAATATATATAAAGTATAATATATATAATATATATAATATATATAATATATATTATATATATAATAAATATAATATATATAATATATAATATATATAATATATAATATATAATATATATATAATATATATAATATTATTTAATATTATTTAATATATATATAATATAATATATATAAAGTATAATATATATATAGAATATATATATAATATATATAATATATAATATGTATAATATATATAAAGTATAATATATATAATATATATAATATATATAATATATATTATATATATAATAAATATAATATATATAATATATAATATATATAATATATAATATATAATATATATATAATATATATAATATATATAATATATATAATATATATAATATATATAATATATATAATATATATAATATATATAATATATATAATATATAATATATATATATAATATAATATATATAATATATATAATATATAATATATAATATATAATATATATATATATATAATATAATATATATAATATATATAATATAATATATATATATATTTAATATATAATATATAATACAATATATATAGTATATATAATATACATAATTTTAAATATAGTTATATATAATATATATATAGATGTTATATAATATTATATGGTAATGAACATAGGGCAACATGTTTTTTAATGAAATAAATTGACATAGTCTTGTTTGGGTATATACCCATTTTTTGGATCCGCATATCATATTCTGGGTTGTATATCCCATTAGGTCATCATTACAACTTTATTAAATCCAATTACATTAAATTACATTGCATCATATCCTACCTTATATCTGTTGAACCACATGTTTGATGGTGTATACCGTTTATACCATTCATTGATGTCAAACTTAGGGATGGTTTATGACGTTGTAACCACATCACAGCAAGAATTTGTTTGTGGCATAAGGTTTCTGTAAATGCAGGTACCACAAATGAACCATTTTCATTGTTTCTTTCCCCCATGGATCATCCAGATTCCATCGGATTTTCCGATTTTCCATGAAATTAACCAGCGAGCTTGGGGATAGCCCCATTTTTGTTTGAAACCTCCATATCTGAGGTATTTTCTTCTTCTTCTGGATCAAGTCTCTTGGACGTAGACGAGGAAAAGTGGGACGGGTAATAATCAACGAGAGATTTTGAGCCTCCAGTAAACTAAAATAGCTAAACGGGTTTAATAGTGGTTAAATAATGGTTAATAATGGTTATTCATGTTTATTCATGGTTATTCATGGTTACCCTCCGTAAACTAACAATATGGAGGTTTCCTGGAATGAGGGTACCCCAACATGGATGGTTTATGATGGAAAATCCATCTATGAATGGATGATTTGGGGGTACCCTTACTTTAGGAAACCTCCATGTAGCTATAGAAAGTTGCCTATTTATAGTTGAATTAGCTATTTAAACATGGTGATTTTCCAGAGCAAACTGTTAGTGCAAACCAGAGGATAGATTGAAATGAACAGGAACCAGTTCACCGGTGAAATTGTTGCAGATTTCCTGATTTTTCCAGATTAATATTTTCCAGATCCAAATATGGACTTGTTGCACGCCTAAATCAAGGCTTTGTTTTTTTTTCACATGGACCCAGTTCAGCAACGAAAATCGGTGAGATCGATAAAAAACTTTGTTTGGTGGGCCCAGTTGGCTAAAAACTGAAAGTGACATGGGCTGATCATGCTGGTAGGATTGATCCTTGATCCAAATTTGGTTACATTTTGACCCGCAGCTGATGGAAACGAAGTTTTCCTGGCTTTAGGATCATGGTGAAAATGATGAGTCATTGGCCCCATTGGCTTCAGTGCTATAGCCATTATAGCCGTTCGAATGGTGTTGAATCGAAAAATCATTAGTCATAGCACTGGCTTTAGTTTTCATGGTGTTTACATGTGTTTACTAATCGAATGTGCTATGGCCAGTGCTATGATTAGTCATTGGCTGAAGCGCCGGCAATTCCGGTGGTGCTACCTTCTTCTGACGAATGTTTCAAACCCCCTTGCAAGGAGAAACCCATGTATATACATTTATATAGCATACATATATATATATATACTTATGTGTATATACTTATGTGTATATGCTTATATGTATATAGTATACACATTATACATATATATATATACATTGTATTTCTATTTGCATAAATTGGTACCTCCATATATGTGTACATTATTCATACCTACATACAGACCTGCATAGCTACATTCCCTGGGGTCTCAGGGATCCCATTTAAATCATATCATCATCGCCTTTGATCGCATGAGGTTCCGGCTCCGAACCAAGCAAATCCAGGACGGACCTGATGTCACTGGAAAAATCTGAGAATTGCAATCGGGGAATCATCGAACATTTGTGGCCGATTGTTTTTATTTGTAAGAAAATCGTGAATCAATGTAATTTAGCCAGATTATATAGTTATACTGTACTGTTAATTTCTCATTGGCAATATGTGATAACTTTGGAAACTACATAAAATACATAGATTTAAATCCTCTGTTTGGTTTGAACGTGGACCAAGTATTACCTTTATAAAAGAATCCATAAAGATTCAGATTCCAGTCTTTTTGTGTTAAATGAAGCCCGCAATGACATAATTAATTGTCAAAACCCATGGCCTTCCCTGTAATTCTTGGGACAAGAATGAGATCAGTTCTCCTTGGATTCATTAGACGTGGCTGTCACTCGTACTACGCACGAAAGATGGATAGCGCAAAAGAAACCAGAAACATGTGACATATATAATACAATATTACACATACACACGTGTCTCACGTACATATGCAATATGTATACATATATATATATATATATGAGCAAAAGGCTAAACTCTCCGTGTAGGAGGTATGTATTCGAGCGCTCTCGTATGTAAAAATATGCATCTTGATATGTAAAACGATATAGTGAAGTCCCAAAAACGATAACCTGGGAATCATATTATATGTAAAAGCATTGTGGGAAGTGAAGGGGCTGTGTACATGACATGATGGTGGATACCTGTTCTATAAGCATGTAGATCATCTAGGCTCTCAGTTGTGGGGTACACGTCATGCCCAGCTCACACTACGGAAGATGTGCAAAAGTATGCTGACACTCTTGATCCTGGCCAATTTCTTTATTTCTGATTACTGCAAACGGTTTTGTATCCAATCACGTATTGTTATGTGGTAACTAGCTGGATGACAACAGGTATCCTTTCCAACTTTCCTTGGTTCATGCCATTTTCCCAAAAATGTTTCCCCCTTTGAACGATAACGAAAACGATAACTAAACGATAACCATTTCTTGACAAAATGTCCTTCGCTGATGGATGGCCCAGATGCCAAAAGATTCTTGAGACCTTTGCCGTTTTATATTATCACTTGCTCATTGCGATCTTTTCGCTGCTATGCATATTCTTTTGCAGCGCTCCACTGCTTTAGTCAATCCCGGTTCATCTCGGGCACAACTGCACCTGCAGGTCCGGCTTGACGATCTTTATCCTAGATGAAGATAGCCAAGGCAAAGGCGTTGGACCAGGTCGATGGTTTGCTGCGCAGACGCTGGCGAGTGAATGAAAGGCATGGAGCATGTCGCTGTGAGAGCTCACCCGGGTTTCCTCCAACAAACTGAATTCAAAGCTTGTTGCAACTGTGATTTGCAGTTGCGCTGGCAGGTATCACACCACACCCACCATACAGTTGAAGCGCTGGAAAAGAAAGCGCAGGGCAGTCAAAGATGCCCAAGACGCGAAGTGGAGGTGTAAAAAGGCTTTCCGCATGCAGTTTGCCAGGGGATGCGGATGATGCAATCAGGATATACTGTAAAACGATATAGTGAAGTCCCAAAAACGATAACTTTGCCCCGAGATCGCATTTTTCAATTGAGGTTTTGCCGATCGCTCATATGTATGTATTTATGATATTATATACGATTTATATATATATATATACCTTAGATATATTCGGTATGTCACACAGAGGACTTATCATCAGATAGGCACCGGAGCATCTGCACCTTCACTAGCCTTTGTTGAAGCAGCAGGGACCATTTTTTTTGCCTCAAAATGCCCCAGAGAAATCGGTACAACATGTAAAACCAGTCAACATTGAATTTCAATAAACTGGCTAAACAATGAATTAAAACAGACTCACTCAACTTTGGTGAAAGGTAGTTTAGTACAACACAACATGTTTTCTTTTCATTGGGATACAGCCACATCCAAAAATTCTCCAGTACGTTGTGCAGGTCCGGCAGAAGTCCGGTCAGCCTAAATCGGGATTTCCGGATCCCAACGGGAGACCAGTTGTTGTACCGTTATTTTGTACATGGCTTTGTCCCCCAAAGGTGGGAAGATTCAAAAACTCAACGGAAAAGATTCTCTCAGGGATGATGAACGGACTGGGTTTTCGAAGGTTTTTTTTGCTTTGGGTATGAGTATGATCACTTAAATTCTTGTGTGCTCATTACCATCTGGTTATGACTAACAGTTCGCCATGGAAAGATCCACCATGCTAGTAATAGGTAAACCATCTATCTCTATGGGCCATTTTCCATGGCTATGTTAAATAACCAGAGGGTATATTTAAAAAAAAAACACATGGAAATGCCATGATTCAACACCTTTATCCTGCTTCGAAGATCGTGTGGCTCATCTGATATTGTTTGATGCCAAGTCACTGGTGACATCAATTTTTCCAACTGAATACATACTGTACCCTCCAGTGACATGACGACCCTGCCAAATAGGGGTTGGAAGATGAGTTTAAATGACAAAATTGTTTATTTTCAGGGTGGAACTGTTAATTTACCAGAGGGTATGTCTTGCATTTGCATATTTTTTTCTGCATCCCTGTTTGTTGAAAGTTGATTGCTGGCTTTATCAGCAAAACAAAATGTACTGAAACAATCATGCAGTAAATACCCTCCATCAAATTGACATTGATAAGGGGAAGCCTGTGGTTTTCCCTAGAAACTGATCTATAAATCGTGGACTTTCCTTATGGCGATCATGACACCTCGGAGTGAGTTCACCAGGGGATTCCCTGAGAAATATCCATTTGGAGGAAACCCTATGTCATGGGAGTAGCCGCAAATGGTTGGTTTATTTTATGGAAAATCCCAATCTAAAATGGATGATGTAGCCCTATGACTTAGGAAACCCCCATTTGAAGCCTCTGAAAATCACCTGGTATTTCTCACATTAAAATTCATCCAGATTTATCTGTATCCAGTGGGCTTGGAGGGAGCGGTGAGCGATATGAAAAAATCCCCGGCAGTTGGAGCTACGACTGGAGTTTCCCAACCTGATAGACACGGTGAGTGGTCCGGTTATCACATTTTGTCCCCAAATTCCTCTAGGTCAAATGACATCGTGGCCAAGACCATTTCTGGCATTTATCGTGAGGCTGCTGGGTAGAGCTGGTGGGGACTTAAAAGTAGGTCTCCTAGGCTGGGTTAGGGTTTGTTATATCATACATTTTATACGTTCAATTAACTCTAATGTGTATATATATATTGATCATGTATCATGTACGTAATGTATTGTAATTGTATTGTATTTGTAACAGCCACCATTCAAGCCAGCCGCTGACCTTGTAAATTGGTGAAGGAGGTGGACATTGGCTGTACCACCGAAATGGCAATGTTTATAGAGGGAAAATCATGACTAACCAATGCATTAGGGGGTTTACAGTGCTACCCCAGGTAATGGTGACATGGTCTCAAAAATAGGATATACAATGATATACAATGATATACAACTCAAACAACAATAGAATTCGGTACGCCATTTTCATAGAAACCCTATGAAAAACCAGTGATTTTGGGATATCTCCTATGTCCTCCATGGCTGGAAAAGCCCACCACATCTCGATGATCCCTATCGGGTATCCCTGATGATTCTCCCATTAAAAAATAAGGATCCATGAATATTCTGTCAATATCCCTTACAAATCCTCATAAATCCTGAAACAAATCCGTTAAAACAAAAATCCTGAAAGAAATCTGGAATCTGTCTCCCATGAGATCCTGTATAAGTTTCATCCTTTGTCGGTACAACTTTTGTTTCCCCAGCGATGTCAGCTGGGGCGCCAGCAGAGCGTGAGGATTCGGGCATCACGCCGAGCACCCTCTTTGCCAATGCGGAGCCTCTTAACCTGCCAATTTGCAGTTTCCCTCCGGTAAACTAACATAGTGGTTTAAAAGTGGCATAGTGTGTGTTTTTTTTTTTAATAGCGGTTCGGTTTAATGATGGTTAATAGTGGTTCAATAGTGGTTTAATAGTGGGTTAATAGTGGTTTGATAGTGGTTAATAGTGGTTTGATAGTGGTTAATAGTGGTTTAATAATGGTTATTCATGGTTATTCATGGTTACCCTTTCGTAAACTAACGTATGGAGGTTTCCTGGAATGGGGGTACCCCAACATGGATGGTTTATGATGGGAAATCCCAATCTAAAATGGATGATGAACAGGGGTACCCCTATGACTTAGGAAACCTCCATTTGAAGCTATTGAACATGGCCCATTTTGTGCGTTGATTTACCTGTCAACATTGGTGATTTTCCCTCGACAAACTGTTCGTTTACCGGAGGGTCATCTATGGGTTTGTGGTTACCCTTGGGTAAACATATACAGATGTCGAAAACCCATGGTTTCCGATGGACATTGATCTACAAATGATGGGTTTTCCACATCGATGTTAACATCCAGAGACACTGTGTGTTTGGGGGCCATCAGCCATACACTTCTCACGTAGCTAACGGCTTTTTTGATCTTGGAAGTTGCTACATGGCTAGGCACAGTAGCTGGTTTGATTATAATAACCCATGAAACATCCCACTTGTATCCACTTGTAAGGGAGTTGGTTGAGATATCCTCTGTTTCCTTTGTTTCATGGAAGTAGATACCTCTCTTCAAACGAGTTGTTTATTCCAAATGGTATCTGAAAGAGCTTTCTCCCCCCAAAACCCATGGTCTTCATGGCGAGCTCCCCTAGCGGCCCGCCATGTTTGATGACCTAAAAATGGTATGTCTTGTAAAGAAAACACACAAATAGTTCCATTCATATCACTGGTCCCTCATAAATCCTCCTCAATCCTTACAAATTACTTAGTTCTCCTTATGAATCCTCATAAATCCCTTATATATATATTTATACGTATATATATATATATATATATCCCTATATACATATATAAACATATTATATATATATATAAAGCCCTACAAATTCCCACAGATTTTCACCGATGGCTTTGAATCCCATTTCCGCCTCTGAGGCCAGTCTTTGGGAGTGATGCGGAGGTGGAGGCTGCTTATCGAGGCGGGGTACATGTAGAAACGCTTGGGACGCCAAAATATGTCTGGTTGGTGGTTTGGAACCATGGAATTTTATGACTTTCCATTCATTTGGGAATTTCATCATCCCAACTGACGAAGTCATATTATTCAGAGGGGTAGCACCAACTAGATGTGCATTTAGTTTCCCTTTATATATGTAATACATATAATTTGTACTATGACATGCACAGACTGATTGATGGGAAAAAAATAAGCACCACTGTTTGACCCGTGCCCGCGCTGTTACTTGATATTTTCAACCCCATGGAGAAGCCCTGAAGAAGCCCTGAACCTCCGGGCCCCTGTTTACATTGGGAGTTGCAGGGGACACGCCTAAAGGTAGTGGGGGTTATAAATCAACTCGTAGCTTGTGGTCCTCTGGTCAGGTGCGTCTCATGCACTGTAACTAGACCGACAATGCGGGATACAGGATATGTATGACGAAAAATGATATGGCACTCTTGGGACAGGGAGAGTATGTTCAGCGGATTCGTAGTTAGTGGGGAGTGGGTTCGTCCACACGCTCCCGGACTGTTATACACTTCCCAACCACTACATGATGGATGGTTGTTGACATGATGATGTGGTTGACATGCTGTTTGTGGGAATGCTATAACTATGACCATGACCATCGTCCATAACTCAGAAGTTTTCAAAATAAATTTCTGCTGAGAAATATCTTATATAATCATATCATATAATATATATATAGAACAGAAACATAACTGAACCATGTTATATCTGTGCTTTCTGCGAAATGCCAGATGCCTTTGGCCGACCAGCACAGGCGCGGCGTGTCTGATGAATTCGGTGGTTTTGTTGAAATTAAATCACCATCCAAAAAAACAAAGAAAACAAACTCAGACGTGCGGATGGTAACTACTGTACCTTTTAATAAACCAACAGTCTGGGAACTGGAAACCACGGTCAAAATTGCAGTGTAAATCAACGAGATGGCCATGGGCCATGGCTTCCATAGTAAAAGAAAGCATGAACCTTGTTTTGTGTTTTTGCTGGGCCATTCAGCCATTGGAACCATGTGTATGAATGGGTCCACATGTTCTTGCAGGTGTAACCATCCATGAAGTGCGAAGTTCATTTTTGATGGAGGAAACAAAATCAATTACCTGGCGTATTTCATACAAAGTGGTGCCCCATAGTTAGCTAAGTTGGTTTATAAGTTCAATAACTATGGTTTTATAGAAGTTATATATCTACGGTTAATGGGATTATAACCCATTATAACCCATTTATAACCCATTGATATCTATAGTTAATCGGATTATATCCCATTTATAACCAGTTATAATTAATAAATGACCATAACTGTGGTGGAGGGGTATTTCATATAACACTTAAACACACTTGTTGCAGAAACATTCAGGCCAGCCAGGAAAACGTCCCACTTTTGTCCCAGTTTATGGTACCCAAGGCTGCCTTGATTTTTACTTACTTGCAACTGCTGTGATTTTATGTGATACAGCAATACAACGGACATTGAATATATATATATATCTATCTATCTATCTATTTGTCTATCTATCTATCTATCTATCTATCTATCTATCTATCTATCTATCTATCTATCTATCTATCTATCTATCTATCTATCTATTATCCATTGTATATGAATATATATATATATTGAAACCATATACACATATAATATTTATATATATATACACATTGTTTTGTATATATATATATATTTATATACCAGGCAGTTACTTCTGACCTCTAGTGGAAGCCACTTAGACCCAAAGTGCCAAACGGTCACTTACAAGATCAATCATGCATAAGTGACCTCGTTTCATGAATCCTTAAGTGACCTCTTTCCCTGGCTGATCACATGATTTCTGCGTGTCACTTGCGTGTCACTTGCGTGTCACTTGCGTGTCACTTGCGTGTCACTTGCGTGTCACTTGCGTGTCACTTGCGTGTCACTGGGGTTTCGAGGTGGGATGAACCGAGGTCACTTAGGACCCTGAAAAGGTCACTTAAGCCTCGAAAAGGTCACTTAAGGATTGGCTGTCTGCGTGTCACCTGCGTGTCACTTGCGTGTCACTGGTAAGCCACTTTTTGGTTCGTTTCCTTAATTGACCTCGGTCTACGTTTTCCTTAACTGACCTCTTTCTAGAGGCCACTTAGCAGAAAACACAAACAAGGTCACAGGGAATTGTCTGGTATATTGTATTAAATACTAATATATATATATTGAAGAAGCTGGTACATAATATAATATATATATATTGCATTATATATATATTATAGTATTTTATCAAATATATATATATATATTATATATTATATATATTTTATATAAATATATGACATATTATTTGTATATGATATTATATATATACGTGTGTATAGTGTGTATACACACCAATGTTTTTGAACGTGCAAATGTACAATTTCAGGGTATGCTGTGAAACAACATTTGTCCATGTTCCTACCATGGTCACCATGGAGCATTGCACTAAGAACTCACCATGGTTGCAAAACAATTCAACAAGATATACTCTATATATAAACGTATATATAGCGCAATAACAACTGCCCCAAAAGGTAAAACATTCAAAGTACTGTAAAAACTTAATAAAAAATCGTGATGAATGACTTTTCTATTTTTTTGGGGTTTGTTATATCATATTTGTAAGGATCCTCCCAGAGGTACGCCCCAATTCCCAGGGCTCTCAGGAGACCGATTACGAGAGCGCAGAGGAGCTCTGGAACAACGGATTTCATGGCCAGCAGGGGCTGGAAAATCGCGTGGTTTGCTGCAAAATCCTCCATTCAGTTCCATTCTTTTTTTCATTTAAACATATTTAAACCACAGTTTCTATGGCCATAGGTTCCTAAGTCTCAGGATCAAGGGTTTTCCTGTTTTCTATGGCCATGGGTCTCGGATGTCCATGTATTCATGGATTCCATCGCCTGTGATGCCACGGGGAAACTCACAGCAATTCATGTGGTGCATGGATGTGAATGGTAAATCCCCTTTTTGGATGTCTGTCTTCATTTGCATTCAACATTTAGATTATTGCATGTTTTCATGTGGGTGTGTCTCAGACATGATAATCATGATAGTCCCGCTTCAGCCGCTATACGATTTTCGTTTCCGCCCATCTCAAACTGGGAGACAAACACATAGCTCGGAGAACATCTGCAGAAAAGGACAAACCAGGGAATTTGTGTCTAAATCATTGTCTGCATTTTTTGTTTATTAGTTTTTCTTTGATCTTCCTTCTTTTGCGGTTTGACATCCCGCATTTCAAGTTTTCTTTTTGTCAATTTGTTCGTTCTTGTTTGCCTTGCTTTGTCTTTTTGCAACAATCTATATATTCGATGTTCAGTTTGTTTTATGTGTTCTTATGTTTTATGTGTTATTTTACGTTCAGTTTTCATTTGTTTTCTTTTGTCCTCATGACACATCATGATACATTAATATACATTATCTGATTGGTGGTTTGGAACATTTTTTATTTTCCCCTATATTGGGAATAATCATCCCAACTGACGAGCATATTTTTCAAGATGGTTAAAATCACCAACCAGTTATGATTAGGAGGAGTTTCATCAGCCGTACGCCAATCGCCGGGGCTCCAAGGCGCTCGAATGGGGGATGGTCACCCCACATGTTGGGCGCAATTTTTATGGGGAAGATGTTTTTAGATGAGGTTCTAAAGCACTGAATGAAAGGGATACTCTAGATTTCAGTCAAAGCCATATGTCATGCTGATTTTGGGCAAGTGTTTTTTTTGACTTGTAGGATGAATGTGAAATGATTTGATATGGGGATTTGATTAAGTGTTAGCCAGGAACATCAGGAACATTGGGTCGGTCTGAAGATTCTTTTCGGGGCAGTAAAACTATGTAAAACGAAGTAAAAAAAAAACGACTGGTATCATTGAAACCTCCTTTTCAGGCTGTAGCTATCAACAAGCCCCACCCTTCTCACTAAATCGCCCCGGGTGTTTCTATCCTTGGGCCCCCATGGACTGAATCCCAGTGGGTTCGCCCAGAAATGGGCAGGCAGCGAAGCGCTTGCTCTGGCCAGCTACAACTGAGGGCCACGGCCACCTAGAAACTAGCGCCGTGTAGGAGACACGGTGATGGTGACATGGTCCAAAAATCATGTACAATCCACACAGATCAATGGAATTGGGATGAATCAGGTTTCCCATGTTCATACGTTTTATACACGCCCGCTGTCACAAGATCATATGGATTTTAAAATTCTGTCAGTTGGGGTACACCAGGATGGGCCAACAATAGAAGAACAAGGCAGGGATGCTTTACCACCACAAAGTGTTGAGGAACGATGGTCCAGAATTAAAAAAAAACAGACATGATCATAATGTGGTAAACCATGGTAAAGCCAATCATATTTCCATAGAAGTTTACTGTTGGGTATACCCCTATGACTAGGATGAACAAAATCCCCTTTTTTGGTTAATGGGATGGTGACTATGGCATTGGATTTACCACATAAGCACCGCACCCATTAATGACGACATTGGAGGAATCAATTTAGATAAGGTGGATATAGAATGATGATGTTTCCAAACAGACATGGAGATACAAGCAAAACACTAAGGAACCATCAGTAACAAAACTTTATGTAATAATTATAATTATAGTGCTTTGTTTGGATGATTATTGCAGCGACATCAACGATGGTGAAACTTCAGGAAACGATCTATGTTTGATGACACCCTCGGTGTCCCTTAGAATTATATCCCTGGTCTCTTATAAATCCTTCTCAAGTCCTTATAAATCCGTATACATCTGGTTGGTGGTTTCAAACATTTTTCATTTTCCATAATATATGGGATAATCCTTCCCATTGACTTTCATATGTTTCAAGATGGTTAAAACCACCAACCAGACATCCATTTTTGTTTGTGAATCCGTGAGTCTGGGATGGACGTTAATCTTTTCTCCAAAGACGGACGTCTTGCTCGTTGGGCATGCCTTTCCAGCCATGGGGGCAAAACGATCTGATTCCGGGCTTCAGTAGAGCTGTATGTACATGCTGCCAATAATGTGTATATGAGGGTTTCATAAAATAGGGGATCCCCAAAACCATGGGTTTCAATACTAAATGGATCTAAATGGTCGCGTGTTTGTTTTATCCACATACATGGACATGTTAATATAGTGCATATCTACACAGAATATACATGAATATACAGAAATAGAAAATGCGACTACAGTTCCCCTGCATGAAGGATGCTGAGATGTACATCGTAGGGATCGGGCTTGCCCCATTTTTCCTCGGGGAAAGAAACCATCGTTAAGTCGCTAACTGCCACTAGTTAGAGGCTCATATGTAATTAGTCCTGCCACTGACAAAGAAGGGTTGTTAGGAGGATAGGATTAGTCACTCACCACCGGTGAAAGGGAGATGAGCGCGGTGAGGTTACATTGAAGCATGAGTCTACTCCAAAGCATGGGTGGAGTCATGCAGTGTCACCGGAAAAAAGATGCCCAAATTTTCGAGGGATCCCACTTGCAGGGCTTCAGGTGGGTTACCATGTTTCATTTATATAATTGATACAATATTATGCTTCAAGTAATTGATACAATATTCTACAATATTATATCTACGTATATGCACTGTAGAATCTAGAGTACTACTTGAATCAGTTGTCCAAATGTGTACATGTGTGTATATATATATATATATCATTAGCTGAGCCCCCAAGCGAGCATAGATTGGCAACATGCTTCTCAGATTTTCGATATATGTATATATACATAATATATATATATATATTATTGCATGGTCGTAAGTGCAGAAATTGTTGATTACTTGCAGTCATGAACTCATCCCTTGTGCACTGCTTTCCTGTGATGATCTGTGATGCGTTTTCCAGATGCTATTTTTTTTGACAATCATCCATAGCCATGACACGGTATCCTTTCAAAGTTCCGCGATTGTCCGCGTTTTTGGACATCCAGCATTTGTCATTTCGTGTGGTAAGCTGGCAAAGATATGTTTCAGTTTGCAAGCAACTACCTATTCCCGCCAAAAACCCTCGAACAATCGTAACAGTACTAAGATTGTTGGGTAAAATACCATTTTAAAGGGTACTTGGAGAGTCTAGGTACATGTTCTTGCTCCATTACATGTTCTTTGGGTCTCTTGCCGGGGAATGTTCGAAAGAATCACCTGTTTTGCCGCAGCTGGTTGAGCTGTTTGGAGTTTGCTGGCCACAGTGGTGCCCTGATTGATCTTGTTGGTTATAGATCAAAAGGTACATAGATACAATACTTGGGAATATAATGGGAACACAATGGGAATATCAATAAGTTGTCAAAAGGTTCATACCATACACTATTTACACAATACTTGGCTGCATGATGATTTGATACAACATGATACAACTAGCTGAGTTCAGACGGATTCAATGCCGGATGGACGTCGGAAAAAAACAACTCAGCGATCTGCGGCTGAGCCAAAGGTGGTATGGCCATGGCTGGTTTGACGACTGGATCCTAAACGATAAAAACACAACTGACCTCTAATTGTCATGAACAACCATATTCTTGACCCAAAAATATTGGATGATAGTGTTTCCATTCCATAATGGTCATTTTCCATCCAATATTCAACCTTTGACAGACATCTCGATTTCGGCAAATGACCTCATGGCACCTGGAGGCTACGTTTCTTCCTGACCTGGACGGCCATACGATGCCGCGCAACTGGACGTGTTGGTATTGGTCATTGGCGTTGCCGTAATCTGATCCAGTCCTTCGACTGAAGTGATGATATCTGGTGGATGGGCTAGCGAAATCACCATGATTTTGTTGGGCTTTCTATCATCCCAGGTGGTGCAGGATTTCGTAACCATCCACAGTATTCGGTGATGGTCAAAAAGCAGAAAAACACAGCTTTTTGTGTATTGACTGTATTGACACATTGACATGACGTGAAGTCTTGAACTGTTTGCGGGCCAAGATAGGTTGATGTTTTAAAGACACATGGTGAACCAGTGATAATTTTGAATATATATAATGTATTATTATGTAACATGCTATGATATAATTTTACTGATAATATCATACTGTGTGATTTATTGGTAAAATCCATGACGTGCCGTTAATTTCAACATGGTTGCCCGGTGCGGCCTTCTGGGTAGGTCCAAGTTATTTCAACGCCGGGCTGTAACATAAATTCACTTAGCCAAGTGCTGTATCAACATGTACAACTTTGTATGTCAAATTATGAATATATAGATATAATAAATATATATATATATATGTATATTATAATATAATTTCTAATATAATATATAATATAATATATAACATAATATATAATATAATATAATATATAATATAATATATAATATAATATATAATATAATATATAATATAATGTAATATAATATATAATATAATATATAATATAATATATAATATATAATATAATATAATATATAATATAATATAATATAATATATAATATAATATAATATAATATAATATAATATATATTATAATATATAATATAATATATAATATTATATAATATAACATAATATAATATATTATAATATAATATATAATATAATATAATATATAATATATAATGTATAATATATAATATATAATATATAATATAAAATATAATATATAATATAATATATAATACAATGTAGTACAATATAATATAACATAATATAGTATAACACAATATAATATAGTGTACTACAATATAATATAACATAATATAATATACTATACTATAATACAATATATTATTATAATATAATATATAATATAATTTGATAGAATAGAATAGAACATATATATATATATACATATATACATATATATAAATATATATATATATACAGCATATGTACAATATAATATATATATAATATACATAAGATATACACATAGATACATATTTATATATACACATAATATATGCACATAGATACATACATATATATATAATATACAGTGGGTAAATTGATTCAGCGCGCTAATTTGGAATGTGCCTAATTTAGATGTTTGGGAATGCTTCTGGCATCTGTAGCAGTTGTGTACTTAGCACACTTGACTGCCATTTATACAGATTACTGTACCATCCGACCATCCACATACCCAAACAATGGCGAAAGTATGCTAAGAACTACTAAAATGTTCAAGATTATAAGGTAAAATGTAACGTTTCAGGGCTCACCCAAGAAATTACATGTTTTCACCGGTAATTGTTTTATGCTCTTTGACGGGCCGTTGGAAACGCGGATGTGTGCCTCCAGGATTGAGAGCAATGCAAGCGTTCCACCAGAAGCTGGAGTTACAAAACCCTCAAAATGGGTACCCTCTGGTAAACTAACATAGCTATTGAACATGGCCATTTATAGTGGATTTTCCCATTAAAAATGGTGATTTTCCATTGCTATGTTAGTTTACCAGAGGGTATGGTTTAGAGATTTAGACCACCAAACAATACTGTGGATGGAGCAAACAAAACCACACCTTGAATGCTTGAAACCCTATAAATGGTGTGTTTACCACCTATCAACTGGTGCAGGATTTCGCAACCATCCACATTACGGTCTGTTTTGGGGGACTTTGGGGGAAGGTTTATTTTGGTTTTGCCCCTCACTAGGAAACTTCAGGTCTATACGTCTGGTCAGTTATGACAATCGCCTGTTTGACATATTCACATCTATACCCTGTTGGACATGTAATTGAACTATGTGTATAATCTATTGTTCTATATCATATATTGTGAACGTGAATCATTTGACGTGATTTTTCCTGTTTTGAACCCCTTAAAAAGGGGCCAAAACCGGCCGAAAAAAGGATTCGTATGACTGTGGTGTTTTTTATGGGCGCAGTGAAAAACCTCCAAGGCTTCACAGTCATCAGCCTATCTTTCTGCGCAGCCTATCATTGTAATTGGTGATTTGGGGGTTTCCAATGTCATTTGTAAGTGGTTAATAGTGGTTTGATAGTGGTTAATAGTGGTTTAATAATGGTTATTCATGGTTATTCATGGTTATTCATGGTTACCCTTTCGTAAACTAACATATGGAGGTTTCCTATGTCATGGTGGTACCCCCAAATGGATGGTTGATTTCCATGGGAAAATCCATCTATAAATGGATAATGAACAGGGGTAGCCCTATTTCAGGAAACCTCCATTTAGTCATTTACTGTGACTGTCCCATTTTTAGTGAGTTGAAGGCGAAGCATTTATCTCAACTACAGCGACTTCACCGCTGCCACATTAAAAGAAGGAAAGAACATTCGGTATCATGTGGTTGAGTAGGTGGAATTATCCCAGACATGCACACCATTTCGGGTCAGGCTTGGAAATTCGTCCAATTTGTTCATATGTATTTTAGTTGTTACTCAAGCAATTCATCTTCGATAGATTTGCAGTACCATTGCAGCATCACCCCCAAATACACTGATTGTCGATGGAGCACCTTACCAAAATCAGAAGCTCAGTTCTTCCAATGGCATGGATGAATCACATTTTGATTTGATAGTTTGAAGTACGTTTAACATGTTTCGGGCTATTTGGAGGATCTAAGAACTTCGACATTTCTTGTTATTTATTCATCCCACAGTCAGATTCTCTCATGGGCGTTCTCCTCAGAATTTAATGGCAACAAAAAAAGACACCAAACATAGTTCTAGACCCTCCGTTTGGACCCTTAAAAGTGATGCTTTTCTCATCAGTTTACTGAACATTTTAGAGGGTTTTAGTAATTTTTTTATCATTTTTCCATGGTATTTGGAGGGTTTTTTTCGGGCCTGGGGTTGTTTTTCAAATAAACCCAAAACAACCAGGGATTTTTTTGGCGGTCAGGGTGGATAGAGAAGCAATACATGAACTTCGCGGTCTGGTGGGTCGACTTTCACAGAACTCAGGTGCCATGCCAGTTGTGCGGAAAAAGGTGGGTTTTTGTCATGTGAAAAATCACAATTTTTAATGGGAAAACTCACTATAAATGGCCATTTTCAATAGCTATGTTAAATTACCAGATGGTATATATATATATAATGTTATATAATTATAAGTTATATATATATGTATTATACAGTATGTAGAAATGAACCTATGTAGACTGCTTGGAGATGATTTCAATCATTTTTCTAAAGGCAACATTCCCATATTCAGAAAATCTTTGCATACCCAAATGTTCATCGTACTCCAGACCTGGGTTTTGGTATGTTACTTTATTTCAGCTTAATGTGAAGTGAATGGTTAGGCCAGTCAAATGTTGCATGGTGTTAAAACAGCAACACAAATCTGGTGTGTCTGTCGAGGTTTGGGCTGGGCTTGGGAATTAAATTTTTGGCCATTTGTACTGGCCCGGCCTGACCTGCGCACTCCACAGGTGTCATCGCATTCACAAAAAACATACTCAGAAATCCTCGCACATACTAAGAACGGGTATCGCATAGCACAAAATCATCGTATTCTGGAAGCAACAAAAATCATAGTTGTTTTTTTCGTCTCAACATGTTTGTTTTTTTTCCTTTCTTCTTAAAGAAGCCTGGAATCAGGTATTTCTGATGGGGAAGATGGAGTTCCCTGAATCTGAAGTTCGCATTCCCATTGGGAAGGTGGACCCTAAAAGCCAGACATATGGTGATTTTCGCAGAAAATGAGAAAGTCCTCCAGGGGTGTCATCGGTTTTCCATGGTTTGACAGTCTTGTTGAGCGTTTTTTGGTAAAAGACTCGGGGGTTATTTCATTTGTTTGTGCTCAAAGGATTTTTTGTTGGGGCAGGAACATGTACCGTCGACAATGCATATGTCAGAAGAAAACAGCGCTTGGCTAATATCATGAAACTCACATTTTACTTGAATGTGGCTTTTGCAATTTTATGAAATTTTCCCAGCTATTTTGGCATGGAATATAATCGGCCCTAGAGTATGGCAAAACGCGGCAGCGCAAGTTATGCGACGGATCTGTTTTCAAGCCACAAAAAAAGGGAACTAGCCACAGTCATGGCCCAATTAATGGTTATAAATGGAATGATATCCTATAGCATCCTATAGGTTACATATACATCATTATGGTTGTTTTTGGCCATCACTGCAATAATTATAATAACAAATTGGTTCTTGACATACGCACACGTACAGACTGGGATTGAAACAAAGGCTCAGAACAATTGGTAATCAATCATGGCTCGCAGCTGGCAATGGGAAAACACGGAGATATTTCACCTGGAAAAAATAACGGGAAATCTTACCCCTAAAGCAGTGATTCTTTCTATTAGAACCGGGGTATGAGAAAAATCCGAATGAAGATACATGACCAAGTAAACCCATAAGCAATAAGATTTTAGCATGATGTTACCAACAAGACAACGAACAGTAACTGATGAATAGTTCTTGTAGCCGGGTTTTAGTTATATATAGTCATGATTCTCTAGTTGCGAACTTTAATGAAACGTCTTTACGATTGTGCAGGTAAACCAAATTCCAAGACCAATTTCCAAACTATTTCCTGTTGATATATCTATGATGTCATTTTTTTGAGTAACACGTTGTATATATATATATGTGTGTGTTTGATAAGTGTAAATGTCCCTTAAATTGCCGTTAGAGTCTTAGAACATTTGGTCATATCCACTCCGCTTCGGCTGTGATGGTCAGTTCGCTTACCGGTGAGTTTCCCATTGAAACCTCTATCATTCTCGTAGCCAGTATACTACAGTTTTTTGGATCCCCAGTCGATAGTTGGCTAAGTTGGCGAACAGAACTCCAATTTTTTGCCGATGGTTTTTGATTATGAAAAAACATCTTATCACATCTTATAACATCTTATCACATCTTATAACATCTTATAACATCTTATAACATATTATAACATCTTATAACATCTTATAACATCTTATAGCATCTTATAACATCTTATAAGTATAGTATTCATGATGATTATAAACCAACAAACATCGCTTGGGGGGGCCCCATATTGAATAAGACTGCGCCTGGCTCCCAGGCTTGCCTTCCATTGCATACGAAGGGCACACGTACACTCTGGTCTTCAGGGTTCACTGGCTGGAGTTGACCTAGTCTGGGAATTAAAGGTGATGATATGTGATCATTAACATTCCAGCTCCATGATATTCCCATCTGATCTTCAGAATCTTCAGAGTATTGCTTGATATTCTTTGTTCAGATATACTGTAGAATTGGTAGTTTTACATTGGCAGCTTTGATTACTGGAGGTGGCGCTGCGGCTAGACTATTGGGTGGTGGAGTCTTGCTAAGTTGCTTAAGCCCACTTAATTTCTTCCGCACTGTTTCCCAACTGTTTGCGTTTTTTCAAGGTGATATCCCAATATAATATACGTATATATATATATTATAGCTCGTTGCTCATACGTTCCACCATCCGCAAGAGTAAAACAACCATGAAACAAGTATTTCTTGGTGAAGGATGAGTAAATATGGAGTTATATCCGCACCAAAAAAAGGGTCGTTTCGGTTATCATTTGTTGGACCGTTTCTTGTGGGGGCACCAAGGTGAATTGAGCCGTAGCATATCATGTTGATCCAATCAATATCAACATATATCCCCATAAGAAAACACTATTCATTGCTTAAAACCAGATCCCATAGGATCCATGGTGCTGGTATATATGCTAACATTTGGGGTATATTGATGGGATCCATGTTACCATATATAGCATACATGGATCCTATGGGTTAGAAAACTATTTTTGGGATGGTTCAACGAGCATTTTGGCTGATGAAACTAAGGACTTTTTGGAGGGGCACAGCTGCTCCGCTGCACGCTGGACCATGGAACTGCTAGTGGCGCAGCTGGCTGCGCAACGCATGGAGAACAGGAGGGCCGCAACGCAAGAACTGGATTAAGAAATGGGGGGATCCACCAAGTATCAGATGGTGTTTTAATGGTGTATATATATATATCATTGTACTTGGTGGTGGATCACCCTAATTACTAAGTAGATTGGTTCACCCCCACTATAAGTCTAAATCCACCCAACTTATCCCACAAACATAACCAGAGCGAACTAAACTACTTACGATTCGTGGGATGGTCCACCAAGTATACCATCTAGAAAAGTCCCAGTAATGTGGGAACATGGGTTAAGAACATCATAAATGGTTTTCATTTATGTGGGGAAGCCAATTTTTTTCATAGACCTACCGTTTGGGGATGGGTTATACATACCACCCATGAAAATAGTAATTTGGCGCATAGTTCACGAAATTGGCTTTACCACTTACCACATTAATAAAGGGTAACAACATTTAAATATGTGGAGGGCGGGCCAGACCGCGAGGCCCCAGAGGTAGTATGAAATACCAGTTCGTATATTTGAATATAGTTACTGTATGTTTAAGTGAATTGGATTCCGTATGTGTAAATGGCCGGGCGGGCCAGGGAAAACCTTCCCGGAGTTGGTCTAAAATCCCTGTTCGTACATTCAAAAGTCCGTATATTTAAATGTAGTTACCGTACTTAAAGTGGGGATAGCCCTAAGGTACCACGTTTTATGGGAATATCATAGGAGTACAAGGTTTATATATATATATATACAGATATAGTGGGAAGGACAGGGTATGTAACTAGCAGTATGATATTGTGAAATATTGTGAATGTTTTGGAACAGTTTTGAAAATGCCAGATACCCCTAAGTGGTCATTTGGAAGCAAGATGAACCATCATATTTTGGGGGGTGGGGCCATTTGCGGACAAACCCATTAAACCAGTATCACAGGTCGTAATACCAGTAGCAAGTTTGCCAATATTTGGGCTCAAGCGGCTCAAGATGCTCCTTTACAGTAAACAACAATGAACAAACAGTCAACACGCTCACACAGGTTCTAAACATCAAGGAGCGGTGTCTTGAATGGGCATGGGTAAATTCTCAGAGCTTTCCGCACTCTGCTGAGCGGAATTGATTTCCATCAAGATGGCAAAAAAAAAACGTAACTAAGGAATACTTTGATCCTCCAAATACCACCCAAAAAATGGTATACCTTATACAACAAATATCAAAATGATGGGGTAAAACACCATGGTACTTGGAGGGTCTAGGGTAAATTTAAAAATGGGACCCCTATTCCGTCATGCCCCAGAACACCCTGGATGACATTGGTTGGGTTCCAGTGGAAACTGGGACAGAAAACCACGCGCCGATCAATTCAATCTGGAAATCATCCCAGCATGGCCTTTTTATACTGTTAATTATACAGTATTATGTGTATTTATATAATATAGAAAGATGGATAGATGGATAGATAGATAGATAGATGGATAGATGGATAGATGGATAGATAGGGATAGATGGGATAGGATAGATAGGACAGGATAGGATAGGATACGATAGATAGAACAATAGATAGATAGAACAATAGATAGATCGATCGATCAATAGATAGATCGATAGATAGATAGATAGATAGATAAGTGGATGAATTATACTGACTTCACTGTGACGTCGCTGGAGTGATGGTTTATATATGGGAATCATCCCCAGATGGTCGCACGTTTCAATTATTTTCAGGAAAATGAATTATGATATGTCAGCCATATATACATACATATGTAACATATGTACATTTATTATATATATATATACACTGTACACATATATATATATATATATATATTTATCATGTATGTGTACATATATTATATTATATTATATATATCACCCCTACCATAAGTTTGCAAAATAGGGGTCATGTGACATCCTGCAAAATTTGCAGAGGGTACATGTGTTGCAAAAAAACGTCTAGATGTTCTGTGCGGCCGCGGGGACATCTACTCTTTTGCAAAGGTCACGCTGCATTTTTCATTTTTTTGTGTGTGTTTTTTTGACTTTTTTTTTTTTTAATAGCACTTTTAGAGCCCTCTGAACCCCAAACAACGTTCCTGGTTTTATGTGGTGGGGGGAAACATGTTATTTTTCAATTGTTCAGACCTGTTCAGACCCCTCTGAACCTTTTTGAGCATACATATAACCAATGTAAGATATTGTAAGGGATAACCCTACATGATTTAGCCAGCAAAATCAATAGGTTCAACTTGGAGTCGCTTAACAGATGGCTTGCAAAATATTTTGACGTCAAACCATGACCAAATATGGAGAATACCATTTTGCAGGACGTTCAACCATATCCTTTACACACTCTTAAACTAATACCTCCATGAAGAAAAAAAACAACCCCGGGGCCAGGGATCAACATTGATCCCGGGTGAACTTTCAGTTTTCTCTTGCTGGAGGCAAGCGGTTCAGCCGTTGGCATTGTTCTTCCGCCCACTAGGCCGATGCTTTTGGGTCATTTCAGGCGTCCAGACATGGCCATTGGAAAAACCCTATACGGTATGGCCATTGGAAAGTGGATGTGTCTGAAAATGAGGGATACCTTCTACATATCCATTTTTCATAGAAAAAGTGCGAAAATGAAGCATCAAACTTTGGGCCTGAGTTGCTGCTACCAGGGTGGTTTTCGCCTTTGGTTATTTAACATAGCGAAGTGGAACGTCATCATTTTTGATAGGCAAAACATAATTTAAATCATCTATTTCTATGGGCCATTGATTGTTTCCATAGTTATTTTTTAATAACCAGAGGGTAACATGTTTATTTGTTTATTGGGTGCAAAACTATTCAAAACTTACCACATCTTGTCAGTCTGAAATCGGCAAACCATCCCGAAAGGTCTTGGTTGATGCTGGGACTTTTGCTTCATGGCAGATCTTGGGCCTTGATTTGCCCATCCAAAGATGTCCGAAGTTCCATTCGCCAGTTTTTGTAGGTACCAAATGACCCTGAAAAATACCCCAAACAAATGGTATAAGAACTAAAATCATGGGCTAAAACAGCATTTTCAATGGTACAAACGGAAGGTGTAGGTAGCTATACCGGTACCATGACAGTTACAGCTGTTCATTCCATCCTTTCAGCGTTGCCCATAGCGAATTTCCGGCAACGCCCACGCCAGGACTCTCAGTGTTCCAGGCACTCCTTTGGGGCTCCGGTGCGTCATGGGCACAAGCAGCTTGGATTTGTTTGCCGTTTTTTTTGGACCCAATGAACCCATTCTGTAGGTCATTTTCACTGTTGTTGTGCATAGGTTTTGCATGTATATCCTCCAGTACAGTACTAGTTCCTTCAATTATATGGTAGAACACGGTAAAACAGCCTTTTGATCCCCTTTGAATGGTTTTCCCATAGCTTTTCCATAACTCATATCCAACATATCCCATAGGATCCATGGTGCTGGTATATATGCTGACATGACTGGGGTATATTGATGGGATCCATGTTACCATATATACCATACATGGATCCTACAATGTGAGGCCCCCAAGATAGCCAACTTGGTTTATAACTCCAATAACTATATGGTTTATGGTACTTATAACATCTTATAACTATAGTTACTGGGCCTTATAAACCAACTAACATCACTGGGGGGCCTCACATTGTATGGGTATTGACGCACAGGTGTTTTTCACGGAGATTTCTACGGAAACCTCCGAGGTGTCCCGCTCGGGCTGGGGCACCTTCGCCCTGCTCTCCTCCTTGGCTCGTGACTTCGGTCGCCTGCTGCGGCGTTCACCTGGGCAGCCTGAGGCGTCGAGGTGCCATCGCCATGGGATGTGGAAAATTGCCATGGTTTATAGCATGGAAAACCAATGAAAAGCCATGAAAAGCCATTTTCAACATCTTGTTTTACACCATAATTTAGGTAATCATGGGACTTTTAGCCAATTTTTGAGGGATTTGGAGGGCCTAAGTGGATTCTGAGGGGATTTGTTTTTTGGTGGAAAAATGAAAGAAAACAATATAAACACCACTCAATCTTAAAATTGCGAATGTTCCAGTGAACACAGTCAGCTATTTTTTGGAAGGCGACCTTGGATGATTGGGCTGAAAGAATCAAGTTTGCCAAGCTCATAGATATGCGCTTAGACCCTCGAAATACCCAAAATATCCCCAAATAGAAGGTTATTTGGTTGGTGGTTTGGAACATTTGGATTATTTTTCCATATATTGGGAATTTCATCATCCCAACTGACGAGCATATTTTTCAGAGGGGTAGGTCAACCACCAACCAGTTATTCAAGCATCAAACATGTTGGGTAAAACACATGTCGCGAAATCATGGGCGACCTCACAGGTCACCATGGGTGCTATATACCCTCTGGTTATGTCAAAATAGCTATTGAAAATGGTCATAGAAATAGTTGATTTACCCGAATGTGACGTTCCATAGTTATGTTAGTTTACCAGAGGGTGTATATATATATATATGTATATATATATATATAATTATATATATTAATATATATATATATATTATGCACTATATTCTGGTTGGTGGTTTGGAACATGAATTTTATGACTTTCCATTCAGTTGGGAATGCCATAACCCCAACGAACTCCATCATTTTTCAGAGGGGTAGGTCAACCAACAACCAGTATTAGATTGCGGGTGATGAGCTTGGATAATCAGATCAGTCCCCCGCGGTTTTATTGTGGAGAAGGCTTTCGACAGGAATCGAAATGTTCCGTTGCTGTCGAGGTCCTTCGCGGAGGCTTCGAAATCCTATTGGCCAAAGAAGGACAGTGATGAGATCGACCGTTGTATCACTGGTCTGGTGTAAAAAGTGGGATTTTATGGTGGTCATATGCTGGTAAATGGTGCGTAATACTGGATGAGAGATGGTGTTTTATGGGAAACATATTTCATTGTACTTGGATCATCTTTTCTTAGTAAGTAGGTTATATATAACTTGTATAGCCCGATTTTTTTCAGTGGAAATCCAGAAATCCACCCGACTTATCCCACTTACAACTTAGCAGGGTGAACTAACCTACTGGGATGATCCACCTATGGTTTCATAGAGACATGGCGTGCTGGAAAATCTCCCCATTTAGTTCGGTGATGTTCCCAGAAAGCTCCATTGAGTTTGGGGATTTCGCACAATTACTATGTTTGATTACTGGACAGATGATCCATTTAGTGAGTACCTCTTAAACATGGTGATTTTCCCACCAGCACACAACGTTGGATTCGAAGAGGGTATACGCATCAACTTTGAGGTCATTTTCTTTGGGGACATGTAAGTATAATATACATACAATGCTACATGGGTTGTTTACATACAAATTAGGCACCAGTGGGAGTCATGACGCCCCATGATATTCCTTGATTCAATGAGGAGAGCACAGGTGGAGGAAGGTGCCATTCTTTAACGATTGTCTCGTCCACATAGGCTTTCCAGTTGCTGGGAGGAAATGGAAGACCTTGCCATGGAGGTGCCGAAGATGCTGGAACTTGCGATTGCAGCTAGGCCCTTAGGCAAGCTGGACATGGATCAAGAGGATATCAATGTGGATAAAACAATAAAACATAAAGCACCCATTTGGGCGTGGTTTTTGTTGCACCTATAAAAATGGTGTTTTTCCTGGGGGATGGTTTATGGCATTGTTTTACCCACATTATATGGTATGGATTCGAAGTGATGGAACCAATGGATAGTGAACGCTTATTAAAGGCCTCCTCCAAATATGCCGCGCAAAATGCATTTCATCTGGTTGGTGGTTTGGAACATTCGGAACATTTTTGAATATTGGGTCCATAATAATGTTCCAAACTAACTAATATGGGTTCATAATAATATGGGTTTTGGAAATATAGTCATAACAATTTGGAAATATTGGCTTCATAACAATCCCAACTGACTGACTCTTACTCTGAGTTGTTAAAGTTGTTAAGGTCTGGGTTTTGATACCCTTTGACGTCGTTCGATACGTCGTTCGGACGTCGTTCGAAACAGCTAACCGTGTCCCTACAGAATCCAACAGGTAAAATCTACATGTGGTGAATCACTGGCGTCCCAATATGACGAGTGTTTTTTGTTGTATTTAATACCACTTTGAAGATGTTTTGGGAGTTGCATCCACAAGGTGTTTCCTCATCTTTCACACAGCAAAACTTGCCAAAACAGAGTTTGTCGTACATCGGCGTCCCATTGGGGTTGACCTTGCTTTTGGTCAACTTATTTGACTTCCTGATCCAACGGCGTCCCAATGAGATTTGACACAATTCTGTTAAATTGGTCGACTTTAACGGTTCGGAGTACTATTTTTTCAGAGGGGTAGTAGTATACCACCAACCGGTATTTATTATTAACCATCATTAACCATTATTAACCATTATTCATCATATGGATCATATGGCTAGATCCACCATTATTATTAACCATTATTAAGCATTATTAACCATATTTAACCATTATTAACCATTATTAACCATTATTAACCATGATTAACCATTATTAACCATTATTATTGGGATGATTTGTTGATTGTTAACCATCACCCATACCACTCCGCGAGCCTAGGAGCATTTACAACTCGTGAATCGCTCCGCCAACTGGGACTTTGACGCTGGAAGAGAGAGCGTTTGATTTTCATGGCATTGCAAACTGATATACATATATATATATATGATTAATTAATTGATATAACTATACAAATTAGATATGTAGATTTATACATGTGTACATACATATTTGCCGTATCATAACTAGGTATTTTGGAAATTCATAGACACAGTCGTGCATGGATGTTTTTTTTTGCTCTGTTTTGGCTACCTCATACCTCCAAGTACTTGCAACCTCCAAATACCTCCCAAAAAAAATGGTGAAATGTACTAGGTTACTAGTTCGTTATTGGCTCAGCCAAGCAGCACTTTGGTGTACCAACGGAGGGTCCGGTTCGGCTGGTCACGGCCCAAGTCGATGAGGAGAGCCTCTCCATCCACATGGAAACGGTGGAGGCGGTCGTTCGTGGATGGTCGAGAAGTGCCATCATCGCTGGCATCCACGCTACGACTGCTACTGGGAGAACCGGGACGAATCGTTTCGTCCGGATGGCGATCGTTTCGTTGTCCCCAAAAAAATGATAAAAAATGACGCTATGATGGGGAAATATATGGAAATATAGGTCAATCTTAAAGATCAAACATGGCATCAATTCAGGTTTGGGATTCATGAATTCATGTACATGTACACTGGTCTCAGGGTCTCTGTTGGTGATAAAAAGCTTACTAGCCTAGCCACTCACGAAGTTCAAGGATGACTGAAGGAAGATCAGGCCTTTCGATCGTTTATGGCGTCAAGTCCAGAGTGCTTTAGACGTAGATCCAAAGATGCAAACCTGGTAACCTGTAATATGAATAGGCGATTTCATAGGTGTGTTGTTTTCAGAATATAATTAATGTTATATATTATAGAGTTATAGTTATCAGTTTTATCACCGATTATCACCTATTATCACTGTTTTCTGGAAAACAAGCGTTACTTTGAAAACTCTTGAAGAGTTGGTCACAAGTTGGTCAAGCCTCTGGAGAGGTGAACTGCTCTCAAGTAGCTTGGTGGTCGGACTAGACATGACTACCAGACTGGCTATGATCATATTAGTAAGTGGCTTATAATCATATAGTCAGCAAGTGGCTTAGAATCCCACTTACTTGGTATATATTATTAGTTGCTATATTCATCTGGGGCTTTCCATAAATGATTAAATGGAGGATCCCCAATAGCTGGATGGTTTATCATGGAAAATGGTATTAAAATGGATGATGAACAGGGGTACCCCTATTTCAGGAAACCTTCATATTAGTATATTCATGTATATTCTACTTGGTGGCTCACCCCAGTCAGCAAGTGGCTTAGTTCACCCCAGTTGTAACTAGACTATCGTACTCATAACATCTCATAACTGGGGGTGTGGCCCACTTACTAAGTGTGGTGTGCCGGCACATCCTCCACAAGATCTGATTTCGGCTGGCTCTGACAGTTGTTGTTCAATGAATTATGGATTATTTTGGAAGTTTGGACTGGTGTGCAATTTGAATATGTACACACAGCATATCACAGATATCTAGTATATGTATGTATATGTGCTTTTTCACATACGTATGATAGATAAATACAACTTGATGTCTACTAGCGTGTCCCCATCTGTGGGTCAAGTTTGGGTACTTTTTTTTGAGAGGCCAGCGCTCTCAGCGCCCACAAATCTCGCTTTCAGTTTTTTTTTAGGATGCCCATAGGATCCAGGGTGCTGGTATATTAATGCTAACATGACTGGGGTATATTGATGGTATATTGATGGGATCCATGGCACACCATATATATATATATAGCAGCACCATGGATCCTATGGGATGGTAAATACTAGTTACTGTACTAGACATGACCACACTTTCTGGTCCCCTGATTCCCCTGATTTCCTTGACCCATAGCCGCTATAGCCCTAGCCATAGCCATCCTTTTCGAAAAATGTCTGGATACGTACGCATATTGTGGGGCTGCATCCCATGAATCGTAGGTGGGCGATAATCAAAGTACAACCCAGTGATAAGCAACTTTGCATTGGCCCTTTAAGGTGTTATTTATGGATTAAAATGTAAGAAATTTATGTCTTGTTGGCTATCTATGGGCTATGTATGGAGGTTTCCTAAAATAGGGGTACCCCACATCATCCAAGTCATGAAACCATTTTAGTATTGAAAGCCATGGTGACTTAGGGTGCCCACATGTTAGGAAACCCCCATGGGGGCGTCATATCCCTGGTAGAATGTAGGGGACCGGCTTTGAGGTGATATCTCTCCTACTGCTAGAGCGACAAAGCGAGGACTTCTGGCGTTTGGTCACTTGGTACCCGGCCTGGTAAACTAACGTAGCGAACTGGAAAATCCCCATTGTTAATACAATGTGGGGCCCCCCAGTGATGTTTGTTGGTTTATAAATCCCATTAACTCTGGTTATAAGTATCATTATTGGAGTTATGTTCACCAACTTCGCTATCGTTTGGGGGCCCCACATTGTAGGTAAATCAACTATTTCTATAATTTCCATGGCCATGTTCAACAGCAAACTGTAACAATTTTCCAGAGGGTAACTGGGCCCTCAGAGATGCTCCAACGGTCGTGGAGAAAGGTGGTGGGTGGACATTCTGCTGGTGATGTTCGTGGGATAAGTCGGGTGGATTTCCACTGAAAACATTGGGGTTACCGTCTGGTAATTTAACATAGCTATTGAAAATGGCCATTTATAGTGGATTTTCCCATTAAAAATGGTGATTTTCCATAGCTATGTTAAATTACCGGACGGTATCATCTATTTATCTATTTACTATTAGTGGGATGATCCACCAAGTAATCAACTGGGACTAAGTGCTTAACGCTGAGATATCTGTGTTGAACATCCACTTCCGGGGTGAACATCCACCTACTGACGAATCCGCGGGATGATCCTTAAGATTTTTGGAGACTTCGGCTGGGGAAAAAAATGGGGAGAGTTCCAAAGTGGGCACTCATGAGGGATTTCTATATGCAGATTATGCAGTTACCCTCTGGTTATGACTAACAGTTCGCCATGGTTTTTTCGATGGCCCTAATCGAAATAGATGATTGTCCCAGCGAACGAAACCTCCATTTATTTGGGGGATTTTCCATGGCTATGTTAGTCATAACCAGATGTTAACATTAATGTTCACATACGTCTTGGGAAACCGGTCCAAACAGTTGGGACTCGTTTACAAGATATACATTAAACAAAAAAACATGGGCATTGATTGGGAAAAATGATGAACTATACAGTAAGATGATTTTCTTGGAGGTATGGGCCCCACATGTCCCGACATGTCCCGACAGCATTTCTCCAAGGTGGATGAAGTATTGCTACCCGATGCGGTAGAACTCTGTTTGCCTCAAGCTGTTCTAGGCTCAGTTTCTTGGCTGGCGACTTGTTTCTTGTTGACCTGGAACATGAGCCACATAGAATCACTGTAGATTGTACTTTGTATATCATATCAATACATATCATACAACTATCCTGGGTAAGTTTGCTGATTTGGAATTTAAGGGTCGTTTTCTTTGCACCACAGAGATGTTTTCATTCTTTTTAGGCGACCAAACCTCTTTGTAGATGTTTGTAGTTTGTAGCTGACTCTCAACTTGCCATCCCTCTTGGGGAGTATGATCTAATTTGCCATCATGTTCTTGGGATGTTTCCTTGGTGGTTGGATACCTGATACCTCCAATTTGGGGACAAAATGGTAAGGAATACGATCCATCGCCATGCAGCCAGCGCCACTCTGACGCAAACTGAAAACTGGGAATCCAGCGTTGATTTCAATCCCTGGGTGAGTTTCAGGGACTTCAGAGTTTTAAAAAAGCAACAAAGCGTTCAATTTGAATCGATATCCTTCCTGTATTTTTTTTCTGAAACAAACTCAAGACTCTAAATGGGTAATTGTTCATTTTACCGTTAGAATAGGATGATGCTCTGGGAATCAGTTTCTCGTTTCTCTTGGAATCCCTGGGCATCACAGGCAGTAGCTCTTGGAACCCAATGAGACCACAACTTGCTGAAGTTTGCTTGGTGCAAGATTGATACCCAGATTATGTTGAATTGTGCATTATCTGATAGATACAGAGAAGTTCCATGAAAAAAACCATCCATTAAAAGGTACCCCCATTTATGGAAACCTCAAGAGATATAATAATATACATACTGGTGTGTAGAATGTACCGGAATACATACGTACCTACGTATGTACATCCATTGATACATGAATTTAGTACATGCATCAACACATTACGCACATACATACCAACTATATACGTAGATACCACTAGATACCTACATCTTGTATACATATTGGGCACCGTACATGTTTTCATAATGTATTATGTATGTCACTGGACCTGTGATTCCCAGAATTACTGACGGGACACCGAGGGGCATCAACCCCTGGTTGTAGGTAAACTTTGACGCGAAATGCGTTGGTAAACATCAACATTGGATTTCCAGGGTAGAACTAGGAAGACAAGTGACAAGTACGAATATCCGTCGTTGATGATGACAATTTTTGTTCTTTGAATATCCATCATCATCAAGCACTACCGCTGAAGCCTCCATTTTTATGTACAGAAATGGAAGCAAAACCACCATTTTTGACCGTCCCAATGGAGGGTTCCCCATTGCAATAGGTATGGCCGATATGGCTCAGCTCCCTTCACCAGTGACTGAGTTTTTTGCATTATTTTTCGGTATCCACTTCTAGGCGTCCCATCTTCAAATATCTTCAAAAATGATGCTACGAGATCCACATCGATCGATGTTTATCCGGAAGACATAGCGACCTCACTTGACGAATCCACCATACATGGTTGATTAGAAGGGCCATGGTTTACATAGCGGAGAAATTCTCCCCACCATTAGTATAGGTTTATAAACCATTAGTATAGGTTTATTATGGTTTATAAACCATTAGCACATTTAAGATGATCTGTGTCTGATTTTTTGGCACCTTCAAGATTCGTTGGAGTTTCAAGTGTCAGGAAATCTCCACAGTCTATGTAGTAATTCCAATTGTAAACCATCCCAATCATGACCACAAATGGCTTGTATAAACCATTAGTATAGCTTTATTATGGTTTATAAACTATTGTCATTGGCTTTACCATTAGTATAGCTTTATAAACCATTAGGTTTACATTGTCACAGATCTACCTTGGCTTCCCCATCGGCCGTGCGTCAACGCATCGCTTCCCCAGGTCATTGCCGTCCGCTCTGGGGCCGCGACGCAGCCCTCGTCGCGGCCGCGGCGCTTCGCAACGCGTCGGCCGTGCGCATCTTCCGCGTCGAGCCCAGGCGACGGCTGCTGAGTGACAACCTTCGCAGTGGCTGTCGCGTTCCGCAGCCGCAGATCTGGTGGGTCAAGTCGAGCGCCAAAATGGCTGAGTGAATTTGTATGAAAAACGAGTGAATTCGTTGGATGATGGTAACCGTTTGGGAAGCCATAACAACATCTTATTTTTGCAGGTACCTGGAATTGATGGAGTTATTTGCATCATGGATCATGTTGGTGTTATTTTCAGCACCCTAAAGAAGGCTTTAGATACCGATTCTTTGCAACAAGTCTCACAACGGTTGGATGACGCTCGCTATGTGTATCTATACCTGCACATCCACGGAATTCAAACACGAGATACGAGTGAAACTGATTTGCCCACAACAACAACCCACTCTTAAAGTCCATTATGGTGTATACAAGAAGTACTGGTTGGTGGTTTGGAACATTTTTCCAATTTGTTCCATATATTTGGAATAATAATCCCAACTGATTCATATTTTTCGGGGTAGGTCAACCACCAACCAGAGTATAAAGCCTCAGTCGGAAAGGTTAAATTCCATGTTTCCTTCACCCCTGGATGAAAGGTCCCCAGGTTTTGCGGCAGGGGCTGTCGAGGTGACATGCTCCCCACGGCTTCTTGAAGTTTTCCAGGCCACGTCGTTTCTTCAACGGCCAGATACCAGATACCACCAGATACCAGGGATTTCTTTGGGAAAAACACAGGTTTCTATCCCATAGGATCCATGTATGCTATATATGGTAACATGGATCCCATATTTTACCATCAATATACCCCAAATGTTAGCATATATACCAGCACCATGGATCCTATGGGTATGGTACTGACTCACTGTTCAGGGTTGCGTTTACGGAATATCCCTCCAAGAAGCCTCTTGTCGTTGCATCGTGGGTACATCTGATCATTTCTCCCCAAAATTGGCCTACGGCGTACCGACAGGGCGTACCTTGAAATGACCATAGACACGGCCATCGCCGCTATCCCATATTGGGTTCGAACATACTCCCTATTGGGAGCTATGTACAAGCTTCAACTTAACATGATTCAACACTGGTTGGTGGTTTGGAACATGACTTTTATGATTTTCCATTCAGTTGGGAATAATCATCCCAACTGAGTACTATTTTTTTCAGAGGGGCAGGTCAACCACCAACCAGAGTATAAAGCCTCAGTCGGAAAGGTTAAATTCCATGTTTCCTTCACCCCTGGATGAAAGGTCCCCAGGTTTTGCGGCAGGGGCTGTCGAGGTGACATGCTCCCCACGGCTTCTTGAAGTTTTCCAGGCCACGTCGTTTCTTCAACGGCCAGATACCAGATACCACCAGATACCAGGGATTTCTTTGGGAAAAACACAGGTTTCTATCCCATAGGATCCATGTATGCTATATATGGTAACATGGATCCCATATTTTACCATCAATATACCCCAAATGTTAGCATATATACCAGCACCATGGATCCTATGGGTATGGTACTGACTCACTGTTCAGGGTTGCGTTTACGGAATATCCCTCCAAGAAGCCTCTTGTCGTTGCATCGTGGGTACATCTGATCATTTCTCCCCAAAATTGGCCTACGGCGTACCGACAGGGCGTACCTTGAAATGACCATAGACACGGCCATCGCCGCCATCCCATATTGGGTTCGAACATACTCCCTATTGGGAGCTATGTACAAGCTTCAACTTAACATGATTCAACACTGGTTGGTGGTTTGGAACATGACTTTTATGATTTTCCATTCAGTTGGGAATAATCATCCCAACTGAGTACTATTTTTTTCAGAGGGGTAGGTCAACCACCAACCGGGAAAACATTAGTTTGATGGCCTTGAATCGGGATATTCCATGGATTTAGTCACAGCCCGACTCATAGCCATTGACGGCTGACGGCCTCATCGATCTCACACCGCTTCGCAGGCAGTGTCCACCCTAGATCTACCAAGCTTTCACTATGTGGATGTGGGAGCTGCATTGGGAGACACTCGGATGAGTACAGTACTGGCTGAAAAGCGGCGTAGACCAAAAACAATTGTGTGTGATATACTGAGGGTTTATCCATCTATGATCCTTTTTCCTCTGTAAAATGGAGGGGGTCAAGGCTCACCGTAAAACGTTTTCTTTATGGTTTTGGAACCGTCCAGCCAGGTGATTTTATAGAAAACAGTGTTTTTTTGTGATTTTATAGCCAAGCTCCATGTTTCTGCTATCCTGGTAGGGGGGGTCAAGGCATCTCATTTTATAGAGGCCAAATGGTGGGTGATGGTTTTTGTTTTTCACTTTTTACATGTCAAGAAAAGGTGGGGAAGGCCATACCAAAAAACCTGCCGGTGACCCAATCTCCCAAGATATCTCTATCACAGATTCTTTGCATCAGCCATTTTGGCTGAGGAACCAGCATGAAGCGGTTTGTCGGTTGGTCACAGATTTGAACATGAAGCGGCTTGCCTGCAGACATCAATCAGTGTTCGGTGGCTCAACATGCCAAGGCGCAGGTAGGTGCAGCCACCATGTAAAAATAGCTGAAAGCTGCCTTGCTTGGCAGGTTGGCACAGGAGGTCAGCTCAGGATGCGGCAAGAATGTGGAAGCAGATGGCTTGGCAAAGACAGGCAGAATGGCTAAGTAGTTCTAACTAGTTCCCTGGAGCATCTTGGGGCACAGCAAAGCACAGCCACCACAGGAGCCAATGCTGCACCTCAATAAAATAGGGGTTGGCACAGGAGGTCAGCTCAGGATGCGGCAAGAATGTGGAAGAAGATGGCTTGGTAAAGACAGGCAGAATGGCTAAGTAGCTCTAACTAGCCCCCTGGGGCATCTTGGGGCACAGCAAAGCACAGCCACCACAGGAGCCAGGAACCAAAAAATAGTTGAAGGCTGCCTTGCTTGGCAGGTTGGCACAGGAGGTCAGCTCAGGATGCGGCGAGAATGTGGAAGAAGATGACTTGGCAAAGACAGGCAGAATGGCTAAGTAGCTCTAACTAGCTCCCTGGAGCATCTTGGGGCACAGCAAAGCACAGCCACCACAGGAGACAATGATGCACCTCTAGAAAATGGGGCTCCCTGACCCCCTTCAGGAACCAAAAAATAGTTGAAGGCTGCCTTGCTTGGCAGGTTGGCACAGGAGGTCAGCTCAGCATGCGGCAAGAATGTGGAAGAAGATAGCTTGGCAAAGGCAGGACAGACTGGCTACGTAGCTCTAACTCCCTGGAGCATCTTGAGGCACAGCAAAGCACAGCCACCACAGGAGACAATGATGCACCTCTAGAAAATGGGGCTCCCTGACCCCCTTCAGGAACCAAAAAATAGTTGAAGGCTGCCTTGCTTGGCAGGTTGGCACAAAAGGTCAGCTCAGGATAATAAAATAGGGCTCCCTGACCCCCTTCAGGAACCAAAAACTAGTTGAAGGTTGCTTTGCTTGGCAGGTTGGCACAGGAGGTCAGCTCAGGATGCGGCAAAAATGTGGAAGAAGATGACTTGGCAAAGACAGGCAGAATGGCTAAGTAGCTCTAACTAGCTTCCTGGAGCATCTTGGGGCACAGCAAAGCACAGCCACCACAGGAGCCACTGCTGCACCTCTAGAACATGGGGCTCCCTGACCCTCTTCAGGAACCAAAAACTAGTTGAAGGTAGTTTTGCTTGGCTGGTTGGCACAGGAGGTCAGCTCAGGATGCGGCAAGAATGTGGAAGAAGATGACTTGGCAAAGACAGGCAGACTGGCTAAGTAGCTCCAACTAGCTCCCTGGAGCATCTTGTGGCACGGCAAAGCACAGCCACCACAGGAGAGCCATGATCCACCTCTATAATGTGGGGGCGCGAAAAGAAGACCGGACCCCCTTCAGGCGGGGGGGGAGGTTCAGGGGTTTCTGACCCCCTTCAGGAACCAAAAAATAGTTGAAGGCTGCCTTGCTTGGCAGGTTGGCACAGGAGGTCAGCTCAGGATGCGGGAAGATGGCTTGGCAAAGACAGGCAGAATGGCTAAGTAGCTCTAACTAGCTCCCTGGAGCATCTTGGGGCACAGCAAAGCACAGCCACCACAGGAGACAATGATGCACCTCTAGAAAATGGGGCTCCCTGACCCCCTTCAGGAACCAACAAATAGTTGAAGGCTGCCTTGCTTGGCAGGTTGGCACAGGAGGTCAGCTCAGGATGCGGCAAGAATGTGGAAGAAGATGGCTTGGCAAAGGCAGGACAGACTGGCTAAGTAGCTCTAACTAGCTCCCTGGAGCATCTTGGGGCACAGCAAAGCACAGCCACCACAGGAGCCAAGGCTGCACCTCTAGAAAATGGGGCTCCCTGACCCCCTTCAGGAACCAAAAAATAGTTGAAGGCTGCCTTGCTTGGCAGGTTGGCACAGGAGGTCAGCTCAGCATGCGGCAAGAATGTGGAAGAAGATGGCTTGGCAAAGGCAGGACAGAGCACAGCAAAGCACAGCCACCACAGGAGCCAAGGCTGCACCTCTGGAAAATGGGGCTCCCTGACCCCCTTCAGGAACCAAAAAATAGTTGAAGGCTGCCTTGCTTTGCAGGTTGGCACAGGAGGTCAGCTCAGCATGCGGCAAGAAGGAACAGACTGGCTAAGTAGCTCTAACTAGCTCCCTGGAGCATCTTGGGGTACAGCAAAGCACAGCCACCAAGGAGCCAAGGCTGCACCTCTGGAAAATGGGGCTCCCTGACCCCCTTCAGAAACCAAAAATAATTGAAGGCTGCCTTGCTTGGCAGGTTGGCACAGGAGGTCAGCTCAGCATGCGGCAAGAATGTGGAAGAAGATGGCTTGGCAAAGGCAGGACAGAATGGCTAAGATGGCTTGGCAAAGGCAGGACAGACTGGCTAAGTAGCTCTAACTAGCTCCCTGGAGCATCTTGGGGCACAGCAAAGCACAGCCACCACAGGAGCCAAGGCTGCACCTCTAGAAAATGGGGCTCCCTGACCCCCTTCAGGAACCAAAAAATAGTTGAAGGCTGCCTTGCTTGGCAGGTTGGCACAGAAGATGGCTTGGCAAAGGCAGGACAGACTGGCTAAGTTGGGGCACAGCAAAGCACAGCCACCACAGGAGCCAAGGCTGCACCTCTGGAAAATGGGGCTCCCTGACCCCCTTCAGGAACCAAAAAATAATTGAAGGCTGCCTTGCTTGGCAGGTTGGCACAGAAGATGGCTTGGCAAAGGCAGGAAGAATGGCTAAGTAGCTCTAACTAGCTCCCTGGAGCATCTTGGGGCACAGCAAAGCACAGCCACCACAGGAGACAATGATGCACCTCTAGAAAATGGGGCTCCCTGACCCCCTTCAGGAACCAAAAAATAGTTGAAGGCTGCCTTGCTTGGCAGGTTGGCACAGGAGGTCAGCTCAGCATGCGGCAAGAATGTGGAAGAAGATGGCTTGGCAAAGGCAGGACAGACTGGCTAAGTAGCTCTAACTAGCTCCCTGGAGCATCTTGGGGCACAGCAAAGCACAGCCACCACAGGAGCCAAGGCTGCACCTCTGGAAAATGGGGCTCCCTGACCCCCTTCAGGAACCAAAAAATAGTTGAAGGCTGCCTTGCTTGGCAGGTTGGCACAGGAGGTCAGCTCAGCATGCGGCAAGAAGGACAGACAGGCTAAGTAGCTCTCGCTAGCTCCCTGGAGCATCTTGGGGCACAGCAAAGCACAGCCACCAAGGAGCCAAGGCTGCACCTCTGGAAAATGGGGCTCCCTGACCCCCTTCAGGAACCAAAAAATAGTTGAAGGCTGCCTTGCTTGGCAGGTTGGCACAGAAGATGGCTTGGCAAAGGCAGGACAGACTGGCTAAGTAGCTCTCACTAGCTCCCTGGAGCATCTTGAGGCACAGCAAAGCACAGCCACCACAGGAGCCAAGGCTGCACCTCTGGAAAATGGTGCTCCCTGACCCCCTTCAGGAACCAAAAAATAGTTGAAGGCTGCCTTGCTTGGCAGGTTGGCACAGGAGGTCAGCTCAGCATGCGGCAAGAATGTGGAAGAAGATGGCTTGGCAAAGGCAGGACAGACTGGCTAAGTAGCTCTAACTAGCTCCCTGGAGCATCTTGGGGCACAGCAAAGCACAGCCACCACACTCTAGAAAATGAGGCTCCCTGACCCCCTTCAGGAACCAAAAAATAGTTGAAGGCTGCCTTGCTCGGCAGGTTAGCACAGGAGGTCAGCTCAGCATGCGGCAAGAATGTGGAAGAAGATGGCTTGGCAATGGCTAAGTAGCTCTAACTAGCTCCCTGGAGCATCTTGGGGCGCAGCAAAGCACAGCCACCACAGGAGCCAAGGCTGCACCTCTGGAAAATGGGGCTCCCTGACCCCCTTCAGGAACAAAAAATAGTTGAAGGCTGCTTTGCTTGGCAGGTTGGCACAGGAGGTCAGCGCAGCATGCGGCAAGAATGTGGAAGAAGATGGCTTAGCAAAGACAGGACAAACTGGCTAAGTAGCTCTAACTAGCTCCCTGGAGCATCTTGTGGCACAGTAAAGCACAGCCACCACAGGAGCCACTGCTGCACCTCTAGAAAATGGGGCTCCCTGACCCTCTTCAGGAACCAAAAAATAGTTGAAGGCTGCCTTGCTTGGCAGGTTGCACAGGAGGTCAGCTCAGGATTGGGCAGGAATGTGGAAGAAGATGGCTGGCACATTGCCACATACAGGCAGCCTTTTTCAATCACGAGGTTTAAGGGGAGTGGCTGAAGAGAGGCACTAGCGTCTAGATTAGATCAGCTAGGCAGCTAGAGCGTCTTCCATGACAGCTGCACGCCTTTTACTTACCGCCAATGGCCGGTCGGTGTGGTGTCTACAGGAGTACTCTATATCTCTCTTGAGGCTTGACAGCGTATGTAAAGTGTGCTCAATACTCATGCTATATCCACATAGGATCCAGCCCAAAACAAAAACAGTGGCTAAGTACTGTAGCTCCTTGGAATCTCGGTAGCGCTCCCTTTTCTTGACCTCACTGACAAACTCGGGCTCGAAAGTTTTAATTTTGTCGCTTGAAGTTAGGTCCATCAACCATCTATTCCCATCAACCATCCATTCGTTCTCACGGATTTTGCAAATCATGCCTCACATTTGTTCAGGTCACCTATCTCTCCATATGTTTTGATGATCTGTGCATTTCGATCATAACTTTAATAAGTGTGTTCTGTTTTTTGAAAACCTTCAGCGGATAACTCACCAAAGACTATTTGTCTCAACACATCATAAAGACCAGTGGGGCATGGCAGAAAGATATGTTAAATCTCTTCAAATTTGGAAATGACGCGCATCCAATGCAACAGATGTTTTGCATTCATTTTTTCAAGCGGCTTGGCCCCCAAAAAAATATTTTCTGGTCATATGGAAGGGGGGGTCAAGGCAAGGCATTTTATAGTTTACAGCCTTTCAGCTGCCCATTTCTGGTCCGCCCACTGGTCAAGGCGTGTCATTTTATAGCCAGTTACAATTTTCCTATGAGTTTTCAAAACCTATCCACCTACCCCCTCAGTGACCCCAATTCCTGGCTAGAAAATCACCTGCAAGACCCCCCCCCCCGAAAAGGAACCAAGATCTCAGCGACCCACCATGGCCATGACTTGGCGTTTTGGGATTTACCCTATATGGTTTCCCTATGGATATTTAACAGTGGTTGGTGGTTTGGAACATTTTTTATTTTCCAAATATTGGGAATGTCATAATCCCAACTGACTTTCATGTTTTTCAGAGGTGTTGAAACCACCAACCAGCTATGGATATTTAACAGTTCGCGATGGAAAGTCACGAATTTTAATGGGTAGAGATAGGTAAATCCTCCACTAAAGAACAATTTTCCAACGCAATGTTGAAATTACTGGAGGGTACATGGATTTACCAATCTACGTGGCAAGGGGGTACGCAGTACATGAGCCCATAACACTGAGCCATTTCCATTAACTTAATAACATTGTTTTATTGATTTTTTACGAATTCGTAAGGTAAGAAGCGGCTGATATATGCTGTTAACCAGCACTTCAGGAATTTCACTGCAAACTACTAATTGCCATGCAAGCAGGTTAATGTGAGTTGTTTCCATTGATTGCAGCTGGAACCAGCGAGATTGCATGTAGCTGACATGGACAGCTATATTATTCTTGATTTATTAATATTGACATCATTGTGGCCACATTCGGGTGAAGACCATTGAAGCAACCCAATTGAGACATGAATATATCACAGTATTCCCCGAACAAGTAAGCATCCCCAGATCAAAAAAAAATGTACCCACCAAATGGGTTATACCATGTTATACCCTCCCGTAATCAAGCATGGCAAAGGAAAAGCCACCATTTAGTTTGATTTTGCCATCAAACCTTCATAAAACATGAAAACATCTCCAGAGGGATTTCCCAGCCAGCCTTGTTTGAATGACGAAGGGTATTCGGAGATTGCTTTTACCTCAAACTCCATAACCACTAGGGGTTCACTGAATCTAGGAAAGAGGCACGCCACGGTCATAATATCTGATGGGTGAATGCAAATATGTGGCTTAATGCTCAACCATATTTAGGATTATTATTCCCAATGTTTTTCGCGGGGGTCGCAACCACCAATATAAAATAGAGAGAAAATTCCAGCAATCTTACCTGCATCCTCTACACCCAAGGCCTGTGAAACCTCTGACTCTTGGCAGTTCCGTAGGCCGTTGGTTGCGTGATATCTCCGGATGCGCTTGGATTTTTGTTTCCCTTGAAGTTTCTGAATGAAGAGCTCATCAAAATCGGAATCGCGCCGGGGGCCATGTCTGTTGCCAAGAAGATATAGGACTATAAAGGTCTTAGATGTCGATAGATATGTATTCCCCGGCCCTTCTACCTACATGTAGCTGACGCTAAATACCTATAGCAACCTACAGTATACGGACCATGAACTTTGGTCGCCAACGTTTCCCATCCCATGGTCCCCAAAGATGTCCATTCCCTACATCCACCGTTTCTGGGGAGCGTTTTTAATATCTGGAAAGGGATTCTATATACATTGTTTATCATTTCGGGATCTGCCATGAATATATCTATTATCATATTATTCTATAACCTATTGTGATTTTGTCTATTTTTCAACGTCTATGATCATCTATTAGTCAGTTTTTAATTACCCTATACTATCATTGCCATTATCATATATGCAAATTATCCACGATTATCATCATTTTGCATCAATGATAATCTTTATTGGAATTAATTGTCACTGAAACTGAATCACCAGTTCATGATAAATTCAGCAGGCATCCGGTTCGGTTCCAGGCGGTTTCGATTTTTTTCGGCTTTTAATGTCGACGGTACGGTTCCGTTCTGTTTTTTTTTTTTCCGGCGGCTCCGGTTCGTAGCCGGTTCCGCTAATTACTTTCGTAGCTGCTGTTCACAAAGCGAACCCTTTTGAAGAAGCCCGCAGATTGAGATCAAATTGTATTAATGGTTTAGCCATCCGCTCTTTGCGCCCAGCCGCTAGAGAGCTCATAATCTTCTTGTCGAATGATTTAGACAAAATCTGGCGAAGGCACTTTGAAAACACCACAACTTATAAATTGTGTTTAAACTCCTATATCTAAGGATATATATATATATATATACCCATTTATAGGTATAGATGTTTAATCCCATTTATAGCTGGTTATGGGGCCGTAAGTGTATTATCTATTTTCATCTATTATCATTGAGTTATCAGTATCTATTGCCATGCCATATCTATTATCATTATCACATTTTTTTACTATCCTCATTTGTTGCCATTACCTACAGTTATGGCCCTGAACAGTGATACATGGTAGTTTAACTCCTAGAACTAGGGTTATATTATATGTTTTTAATTTAAATATACAGATGTATATAGAGTTTTATAATCCCACTTATATATATATATATATATGTGTGTGTATGTGTTTATAACTGTGTTAAGGGCCATAAGTGTATTATCTATATAATAGATCTTACACTTATCTATATTATTGATCTTCTAACCATTGATCCTGGGCCATAGTGTTAAGGGCCAATGTCGGCCCAGGATCAATGGTTCTATGCCTTGAGCCTCTTGTCGCTGGCATCTTGCAACCGAGCCGCAGTGACTTGAGCAAAAACGGCTGCCATGGCTGGGTTTATCCTCTGGTTCTGGAAAAAATTTGGAAAATTGATGAAAGTTGCTCATTCATGGATGATTTTTGGAAAATTGCACATTTATTGATGATTTATATATGATAGTTTGTGGTAAATGGCCCATTTATGGATGATAACAATTATGATTTACCTGGTTTACCTATAAAACATGGTGGTTTTCCATAGCTATGTTGAAAAAACCAGATAGGAAGATAGCTTTACTACGGCCACATTGGAGAAAGGATCTAAGGATCCATATGTTTCTATCTAGCTCTGAGAAATGAAACGGTCTATAGTATGACAATAGTGCCTTTCTTTTTTGGAAACCGGATACAACCAAATACTTGGGCAACTGTTACCCCAACGACCATTTGGTGGCTACGATCTTTGACTGGAACTTTCTTTTAGAACCGTGGTTCCAAGCCAAGTAAGGGTTGAAAAGAAACAAATCTTGGGGGCCGGCGCTGAGTTTTACTCTATATGCACCCGCTTTACAACAAGGTTGACATCCTACAGTTACCGTTATATCATAGGATTAGCTGCCAAGTGTATTGTATCCATTTCGAAGATGGTTTGATATGGTTTGATGGGAGTAAGGCAGGGACAACAGCACTGCAACTTGGCCGTGCAGGATAAATGTGGCCTTGACTGACTGACTGTAACAAAAACAGTTTGCAAAATGCAAAATTGATTCCATTGTCAAGAGTAATTCTGTTTGATGTGTCAGTTCTGCAACACACACATGCAGGTGTAATGTCTCTAAATACATGTAAACGTAACACATAGAGTCGACATAGAGAGACGGGGTACGTGGATGCATTGTGGACACTACTCACTACTCGCTGCACCTGGCCATCAAATGGCGTTGGCCCAGGATGCCATTGGCTACAGCAGCACCATCAGCGCGGTTGGGAAGGCGATCCAGTGTTTAGGAGGCAGCTAAAGGCGGGCATCCATATTCATATTCCTTACATAAATGGGAACCAAGGAGCTACTAAGAGTCTCCCGACCATATGTGTTTAGGGTTTCATTTTTTCATATAATCACAATTAGTTGCACACGCACATTATATTTAAATACATATATGTAAGTGGAAGTCTAGGCCCAACAATTTCATTGAACCCCCCATATATATGGGGGATCGAATTTTAGCTACAAAAATGGTTTGCTTGGGTTCCCTACCTTTTGAGATCCCATAGGCAAATTGTAGGGTTTCAAAATTTGCCAAAGTAGGATGGGCTCATTTTGTAGGAAACTGAGCCTGGGCCAAAAACCAGGTGCAAGTTGTAGGGGACTTGGTCTTATCAATTTTTGGCTGACTTTATCAACATGATAGGATGGACTGTGCAAATGGTAGGGTTTGCATTTTAAATCGTAGGTTAGGATGGTCCATGGAAATTGTAGGTTAGGATGGTCCAGGTGTTTTCCAATGTCAGCCGTGTATAGCCCCGTGATGTGTAGATATACGCATATGTATATATATATATAATTATATATATATATATCTATCTATACGTATTTTATATACACATAATATATAATTATATATATATCTTGGAATGGCATGGGGTATGTTGCTGCTAGAGGTCTTTTTGGCCATATATGCACACTAAGGGAACCCCATCAAAAACCCAAAAGAGACTAAAGTAAGCTAATAAAAACCCATTGAAAACCTATGGGAGTTTAGTGGGGAATTTTGTGTTTTGTTTGTTTTTGTCTCAGCTTTGTTTAGGTTTTATTTGGTTTTTGATGTGGGTGCAGCCCATTTTTGGGAATTTGTTGGGTTTTTGTTAGCTTTTCTTAGATTTTATTGGGTTTGTGCTGGTGGTGCAGCCCATTCTTGGGAATTGGTTGGGAATTGTTTGGAAATCAGTTGGTGGTCCCTTGCATGTGCTTGGCCCATTTTCGGGAATTGTTTAGGTTTTTGTGGGAATTAGCTAGGTTTTTGTGGGGGTAAGTTAGGTTTTGTTGGTGGTTCAGTGGGATTATTTGGGAGCCTTTTGGGTTTCTCCAGGGTTTTGATTTGGAATCCATTGGGCCTAGAAAAGGCTAAAAGGCTCTTAGCAGAAACATAGTGCAAGCCATTCTATGAATATATACAAATGCATCATCCAGAATAGAAAACAATAGAGGAACTCGTTGTGCACTCATTGTTCATGTGTGTTTTCAAGCTTGACAGCGGCTTGTGGTACCAACACAAACAATGGGAGCCAAACATTGTGAACAAAAAATGGAGCCTGGGGGAAGGCCGGGACAGAAATGGCTACAACTTGCATACCCAAAAAAGAGGGACCAGGTTTGTAGAGCAAAGATCAGCCCCTACAAAATGCATTGCGTTTTTTACTGAGGCCACTTGGGATTGTCTATTTAATCCAAAGAACATACTTCAAAAAAACCGATGCATTTTGTAGGGACCTATTTTATGGATGGTAGGCAGCAAAGGGTGCAAATTGTAGTAAACAATCCTGGGTACTGTTAAATTGTGCCTACAGTTAGCGGGCCCAAGTGCAAGCTGGAATTCGATCGAGCATCCATATATACCATTGCGGATGATTGATCTTGTTCGGGGCCACGGGCTCCATCCCCAGTTCAAGCAGTTGCAGCTTGAAATGATCATCATTCATGTGTCCAATATTGTCCAATTGTTGATGAATAGCTCATTATAGAATATGATTATAGAATATTATTTATTTCAACCAGTGTCCTCTATATCCAGGCTTCTGTGTTCCCAGGGACGTGTCCGTACAAGGTTGGTTCCGAACTATGTCCGAACTATGTTCGTTTTGACGTTTTGATTTGGGGAATTATACCTCATGATAATGTTACATGTAAAATTTGACGTTTTAGTTGATGTTTTGTCTTGACCCTGGGTACATTTTGAGGCCTGGATATAGGGGACATTGGTCACTGGTTGATATTTCATATAATATATATAATACTATTAATATTAAGTATAATTAAGTCATATTTTATGTAGTATATAGTATTAGTATGCATTTTTCTTATACATAATATAATATATATATATAGTTATACACATTATTTTTACAGTGTGGCTGATCTTCCTGGTGTACACATTTGAGAACACAAACGCGCTTGAATATATATTTATATGAGTTTTGTTTGGTGTTCTTTGTTTTGGTCTGATCCGGTCAATTTCTAAGTCGTCGTCGTCGTCGCCGTCGTCGGCGTCGGCGTCGGCGTCGGCGTCGTCGTCGTCGTCAAAAATTAACAAAAATAATTAACTATAATTAACTATAATTAACTATAATTAACTATAATTAACTATGATTAACTATAATTAACTATAATTAACTATAATTAAGTATAATTAACTATTTATTAACATTTAACAACGACGACGACGACAACGACGACTGGCATTCTGACGCAGGTGGTGCCTCAGAAGAATGGTTTTGATCCCCACGTGAAAATTCTTACATCGTATAATTATATATTGTTATACATTGGTCTTACTTTGGGCTACTGGTTCTTCAAAATTACGTGTTTATCTTGACTAAAACGTCAGTTGCAACGTCATTTACTCCATGAGCCCTGCTTTAGAACATGAACTACAACATCACTTCTTACATAAGGAAATTTTCACAACATTGAGGACAACGTCTACTGCCGGTGTCAACACTGATAGAGGACACTGTTTGAAATAAAATATTATAGATTATTTTCCCATTAAATCATCCATGTGCACCATGGATTTACCATTGCCACGGACCTGGGGTGATGATCCTCGACATCCGGAGTCTCGTGGAAGACTGTTAGGCATGAAGAGGTAACCGCACCACGACTTTAGTACTATGTGTATCTATGAATATATATATATATATATACCCCCCAGGGGATCAAAATACCAGCTATAATATATATATATATATACAGGCATCTGACAAAGTCGTACCTGTTTTAGGAAAAAATCGTTGTGCCTTGGGGAAGTGTGTTTCGCAAAAGTCGTGCCTTTAGCAAGAACGCAATAGGAACTCTGTAGTTTGGATATGTAACCCGTTTTCTTACGAGATCACGTAGCTGATCACTATTAGCATGCAGAATTCCAGGTTGTGGGTATGTTGATTAGTTATAGGTAAGATGGCGTTGAGCTGGTGATATGTGGTGACTCTATCTACTATAACTATTTCTATGTACATTCAAAGTAGGTGCACGGGCTTTCTGTAGAATCGGTTGGCACTACCATTGCAAGGCGAGCTGGACAACAGCTTTGATCCTCTTGAAGGACCTCCGCTCACCTTTGCAACTGCTAAATTTCATGATAACCAAATTGCTAACCAAAATTGCTAACCATAGATCCATCATTCCCAGAGTTATTGGTTCAGAAAGTCAAAACCGGTTGTACCCCATTTTGAAACAAAAAACAAGCTGGTTGGTGTTTTTTTGAACATTTTTTATTTTCCATAATATATGGGATAATCCTTCCCATTGACTACCCTCTGGTAAATTAACATAGACCCTGGCAGATAGGGGTTGGAAGACTAGTTTCCATTAAAAATTGGTGATTTTCAGGGTCTATGTTTATTTACCAGATTGTAATATTTTTCAAGATGGTTATTGCACCACCAACCAGCAAGGTTTCAACGAGCCTCCAGGAGCTCCAGGACTCGGAGCTTTTCGTCCTGGACGTCGTCGCGGTGAATGCCAGCATCACCGCGATGGCTCGCAGCAACCAGTGGCAACGTGCACTGACGCTCCACGTTAACGTGGAAAGTGATGGAATTGTTTAGCTAGTGGGTTAATTACCCTCTGGTAAACTAACGTAGCTATTGAAAATGGCAATTTATAGTGGATTTTCCCATTAAAAATGGTGATTTTCCATACCAGAGGGTGCAGATTTTTTTTTGATGATTAGTGAAAATTACTGGGGATTTAATTGGAATCAATGTGATTCAGATTGATTTCGCCAGCAACACAGGTGATTTAGTGGGTTAAGTTATCCAAGTATAACCCACTTAAGAATCTTCAGAGATCAGAACCACCTACCACTACAGAATTTGTAAGTGGACTACGACCTCTTTAATACTCGTGGAATATGGAATCTACACCACCACGAAACGCACAGGGGCTGGGATGATCCCCGGTGTAGCTTGCTGTGTCTGAAATATGGTATACGGTATACCTAAATATGTGCACTGAACATTTAAGATATTCAATGAAGAAAATGATGAACCATTAAATTTAAGAGTACCTTCTTTCTAGACAAACCCAAATGTTTATAGTTTAGTTTATGGGTTGGACTTTCAACCAGGTGTTTTTATACTATCACTTCAGCAGCACCACCCTGTGATTGACCGATTTGAGAGTGGGTTTTATCCTTGGGATCGGCCGGATGCGGTCCTTTTGCCGAAAATTGGTTGAAAGGAAAGCAGTTGGAAGTTAAAAGACCTTGGTTTCTGTATGCTTCTGTAAAATGTCCCTCAAACCTTCAACCGTTGATCGCCATAGAGTTAAAAAAACCCATGCACTCCCAGGAGTTTGCTCCAGATCCTGCGATCCCCGAAGTTTCAGCTGCATGTTGCGTCCTTCAATGCATGCATCAGCGCGTGTGAAGCCAACGGCTTCTGGCAGTGCCTGGATTTGTCGGCGATAGCTCACTGTGACGTCACTGGAAGGATGGTTAGTACAGTAAGGGGAATCATCTCTTCATGACCTTATTCAGCTATTTCAGCTTAGTGAATTATTGTTAAAATTCTGCCAGAAATTGATGAGGGAATATAAACCTAACCAGCCAAAGATTGTTTGTAGGGGGGGTTGCCGGGCATTTAATTATACAAGATGACGAGAGAGCCATGGATGGTGGAGCCAGGAGAGTAGAGTCCCCAATGCGGACTGGGAGGCCCTGTATGGCCCTGTTTTACGTGGACTTGCATGAGAGTACCAGGGCAAAGTCCAGTCTTGCTTTGTCATCAACTCATATCGATTCTTCAGCGGTTTTTTTGCGGAAGGGGTTCAAAGACTTCGGGGCCCCACCCAGCAATCTACCTTCGAACTGTTTTGATGTTTCAACATGTTTCAACTATTTCGAGAAAAACATGGAAAACACAAGAAAGCAACACCAACACAGAAAGCCCCAGTGTTGAAACCCCCTCATTTGTGTTGTCAGACACACCGAACAATTGCTTCAAAACTCAGCCTGAGGCATGCCATCACATTGTTAGAGGATTTGTGCCAACAGGCCGGGTGGAAGATGTGGAAATCCCTGCACCGCTGCGGCCCCATGGATAGCTAAGTTGTGGAAATATGTAAAATGTGGGTTAACTAGGGATTGGGGCTGATGGCTATGGTAGGATGGGGTCATAAATAAATTGACTCATAACTGCGGTGGGCGCTTCCTGTACACTTTGAAACTACAGCTTGGAACTATGACATGAAGTTTTGCCTTGCCATCCGCGCAACACCAGTGCGAGTTTGCATTAAGGCTTTCTTGATGGCATGCACTTGTAGATTTCATTTATGGCAAGCCGTCAGACAGCTCAACAACAACATGTGGTCCCAAGCCTATGAGTTCTGAAAAGAAAGTTGGATTTTTGCGTTCAAGTTGATCACGGCGCATTCTAACTGTGATGGACCCAACTTGCATGGCCGGAAGACTTGGCTGTCTACTTTTGAACAGGTTGGTTGTTGATTTTTGCGTTTGGGCGTTTCTGGATACTCTTCAGCTTTTATTTGAAAACAAACGGAACAAACACTCACTATGTTATGTTGTATGGATCTCATCTGAATACAGTAGCGCGGCAGATTAGTTGAGTTTGTATGTCGTGGTATTTTTTTGACCCTTCCCCTTCATACCATGTCCTACCGGGCCTCAAGCATCGTGGGCAGAAACTGACCCCAGATGTCATCACCTACTGCTCTCTCATCAGCTACTGGGCTTCAGTGCAGGGTTTGGCCTTGCCATGGATCAATATGGTATGGCTGATGTCTCTATAGAAGGTGGCGGCACCTACAGTTTCCTACAGTGTTCTACCGATGGGAAGTGTTTTTCCTGCATTCATGCATGATCATACATCATCATAGATCAATACAGCGATACATCAATACCATGCCACAATTTACGGACGTGCATATGCACAGAAATATTTACACACATGCAATAAATAGAGTCTTGCATGGACTTTGTTTGAGTTTGTGTTCTTGTCATGTGGCTAAAATAATTTCATAAACCATCCCCCAAATCACATTTTTTATGGGTTGTTTTTCAACCATCAAAAATAGGGTGGTTTATAGCAATATTTCAACCACATTAATGAATTTCTCTAGGTGCCTTGCTGCAACTGTCAACGGGTTTCGTAAGGCGTCTGTGAGAAGGGCCGGCAATGGCGAGTGGCCTGCTGCTTTCTGTTGCACGGCCTGGCTTGATCCTGTTAAGGTTGGTTAAGGTTGTCTTAAACCAGCTTAAAAGGCCAAAGGGTATGAAAAGCCTAGAAAATTAAGAAAGGATAGATGGACATAAATGGTATGCCAGACCGGCCCTCTGTGTTTTCCCACAAAACCCTTGTTGTCTCGGCAATGAGATATCAATGGTGCTTTGGGCAGGCGGAAAGTCAACTGCACAAACAAAACCGGGCCTTCTGTGGGGGTTGATATGTCCATTTCCTCGGTCAAGTAGTGAAACCTGATATTGAGAAAGGACATGTAAGATAGCCTGTAATGATGTATGATTCACGGCAATTTCCCATAGATCTTGGGTTAGGAGTCACACCGGTGAAGTGTTGCAAAAGCTTATATTATCTACCTCCGGGAGTCCAATATGGCAGTCAGAAATTTTATGAAATTTCTAAAAAAGGAGGTGTCAAAAGGACAATCATTTGCAAATAAAGTTTTTTCCCTTGCTATGTTTGCTTACCGGAGGGTATATTGAGCGCCTTTCCCAAGTGAAAATCGTTTGAAGATGACTTTCCTAGGTTTTCCTTTGTCTATATATATCTCTTGCATTGCATGACTGCGATCCCCCCGAAATTGGGCAGCTTTCCCAAAGAGAGGGGCTTGTTGGCAGCGCTGGAAAGTAGGCTTTCCTCATGTTCTTGTATCCTTTGGGAAATGGCCATAATCAAATAGGATGTTTAAAAGGAGGAGGCCTGACCCAGAGAAAAACACATATTCAGCTTTAAAATGCACTCCTTTAGAACAATTGCAGTCATTAATTCAAAATGTAGCCATGCGCGACTGGCCCCAAACTTGTGCATTTCCCGCTTGTAATTGTTAATTGTTTGTAAGTCCTTAAACTTGCTGGGATGAAGCTCATAAGAATAGCAAGAATTTCATGGATAAAACACGATCCAAGCAACTCTGGCATTAGGTTTTTCCCCTAAATTGACATAATTACATTTTTTACTTGAATGTGGCTACCCAAATCATATATGGCTATATATCTCCATGATGTTCCACATGTGCAGCTCGTATTTATACACATAAACCATTAATTTTTCGCGCGGATAGCCATGGCAGCCATGCCATGTTTCACGCACGGGATTCTGGTGGATTTCAACGGGACCGAGGCAGTTACTGAGTTCCCCAAACGTCATCGCCTTCAGTGCTGCAATTAGCTCGGCGGAGCAGCTCGCAAACTATGTATTTATGGGGATTTACTGGGATATAAATATAAATAAATTTATAAATATATAGATATATAGTCAATACGTTTATAAACTATAACTTCTAACTTCTAACTTCCTAATATGTTCCTAAACTAGCTTCTAATTTCAAACTTCTTAATATGTTCATAAACGAACTTTCAATTTCATCTAATTTCTAACTTCCTAACATGTTCACAAACTAACTTCTAATTTCTAACTTCTAACTCGCATGTTCTGAATGGGTATAACTATGTGGTACTTGATGGGGTTTATAACTGATTTATGGCAGCTAAATGGTATGATCTTCCAAGATTTTTGACTAGGATATGTTGGGATGGAATGCATGGGCGTATTTCTGTTTGTATGAAATTGGTGTGCATTTGGATGTAAATATACGTGCTTATATATATATATATATATTTGTGTAGATGCGCACATTTCTTTGTGGAGATACTCAGGAACTACGGATAGATTGATAGATGGACTAGACGACTTGGCCATGGTAATAAGACGGACATATTGTTCCAGTTGTTTTCATGGGCTTCACCGCCCTGTTTTGTTGGCAGTTTCAATGGTCGAAGATGCCTTCCTCCCAAGCTTGACTCCTAGAGAACATGACTATGGCTCATGTATCCACATATATACATATAATACGTGTATATATATAAATATATACTCATAATATATAATGTAAATATATACACATTTAATATATATATATAACATACATAATGTTTAATGTATATATATAAGTTATATATATATGTAATATGTGTGTGTATGCATTTATTATTCTATGATATAAACATATAACTGGGCATGGAAAGTGTTCCTGCATAGCACATGTAGCTGCACCGCTGCGAGGAAAGCACTGCAGTGGACCATTGCCCTCCGTTTGCTTCAGCAGATGCGAGAGATGAGGTTTTCTGGGCCTGGATGGGGCTGGATGGACCTTGAAACATGATGAATTCAGGGATTTAATTTGGGAAAATGGTGATTTAACTTGGGAAAATTGTGATTTAACTTGGTAAAATGGTGATTTAACTTGGGAAAATGGAGATTTAACTTGGGAAACCGGGGATTTAACTGGTGAACATGTTAAAGAAGGGAAACTGGTGGATTTACCATCAAGAACTGAACCCTGGATGTGTGTATATTGATGGTGTGATGTAGCTGGGTCTGAAAACGGGTAAAACCGCCCAAAGAACAGTCTTAACGGGGAACATCATGTTCAACCACTGGATTTGGGGATACCCTATTTTCAAACAAACCCATGTTCTCAGCAGGATTCAGACTTGTCACATTTGTTGATCCATCTCCACATCGATGATGGATGGAGTGTAGCATAGTGTAGCCATCTCGGCTGGGTGTTTCATTTTCAACCATTTAAATATATATATATATAATATATATATATAATTTTCAAAAGGGATGATTCATTGAGATGACTCATATTTTTTTGTGGGTAAAACCATCAACCAGCTCGAGTTGATTCAACTTTCAGCAGGGCGATTCCCTGTCGTGGCTAGTGGCGACCGCGTGCGCTGTATATGGAATCCCAGGATGACCAACTGGGGGCCGGTGATCAGTGGATTTATACAGACCCATCGTAGATCTATTCGCTCAACCTAACCGTCCCAGCTCTTTCAACGAACTGTTTGCTAAGCAGTCAGCACACCAATGCTTGAGAGTTTATTCCACATATTTGATTAAACCCTTGTTCAATAGCTCAAGCAGCATTTTGGTTTCTTAAAGCCCCGTGTTTCATGGTCAAACCCCAATTTTTCACGGTTAAATCCCAGGTTTTCGAGATGATAAAATCAGTAATGTGGCTAAAACAATGTCATAAACCACCCATGACTGGGAATGGTATAGTTTATACCACCTACAAAAATGGTACTGGGGGATGTTTTAATCATTGTTTACCCACATATTTTCTGCTGGGCCCAGGCTCTTCAACTTGGTGGCCTTCAATGCTGCAATCAGTGCTTGCGAGAAATGTGGCGAGTGGCCACAGGCCTTGGCCCTGCTACGAAGCATGGCGCCTTGGCAGATTTCCGCAGATTTTTGTAGATTTCCAGGGGGAAATCTTGGGACATTGTTGTTTTTTGGAGCTCAAAAGGAGGTTTTCACAGGTTGCCAAGATTTAATCCCGGGGTCAAAAAACGAATTTGAACATAGGATATGAATTATAAGTGTGACCGAATGCGCCGGCCAAATGGGTGTTGACTGAGTAAATCCTTGGGTTCAATTTTGGAGTATTGATGGGTTGAGCATGTAACCTTGCCAATTGCATGTTTGATTACCCAAGGGCCAGGGGGGTCAAAACATGCATTGTTCTTTGCCATATTAGATTACCAACTACGTAGATGGAGAACCTTCAAAGCCTCACGGGGTCAGACAACTTGAGACAGAACTGGAGCGATTTGAAATGGGGGAACTTGTGGATGTCAAACTGTTTCACGCCTTGCATTATTCCAGGATTCCAGCAAAAATCTTTCGATTTGGGGCGGGTATTGAATCACAGGGACCTACACTACACTCACCCACACTCCCCCCCCCCAAAATAATAAGGGTTGTAAATTTAATAGTAGCTTATCAAATAGCTATTAGAAGCTTAAACCACAAAAACGGCAAAATTGCCTTATTTAAGCCTTGAATAAGCTTTTTTATGATTTGTTACACAAATAATAAGGCCTAATTAAGGTCTATTTTCTTTGGGCCCAGGTACAGGTCAAAGGGGCAAAATAAGGCTAAAAGTGTCTTATTTTGGGAGCTTGGATTGGTCACCCCACAGATCAAAGTTCATTGCCTGGGAATGCGATGGAATAAGCAATAATTTCCTTATTATTGATTGAAATGTTCCCGTTCGATTTTGACATTGGCATGCGATGACAGCAGTCCTACACAAGCCATCACTAAGGGTTACCTACAGATTCGACCCATCAGAGGACATTACTTGTACTGTCTTACCAAAAGGGGCCCCCAAGCTTAACTGTCTTCACTTCGCAAAGATCCAGGGGAAAGCGCAGCCCAAGAACCAAAGAGAATAGGGCATCAATAAGCCACAAATAATAAGACCTAAATAAGCCAAAAATAGGCCAGCAATAAGGTTTAACATTAGATTCGACCCATCAGAGGACATTACTTGTACTGTGTTACCAAAAAGGGGCCCCCAAGCTTGAGTTTCTTCACTTCAAAAAAATCCAGGGGAAAGCGCAGCCCAAAAACCAAAGGGAATAGGTCATCAATAAGCCACAAATAATAAGCCCTAAATAAGCCCTAAATAAGCCATACCTAAGGTTTACCTACAGATTCGACCCACCAGAGGACATTACTTGTACTGTCTTACCAAAAAGGGGCCCCCAAGCTTGAGTTTCTTCACTTCAAAAAAAATCCAGGGGAATGCGCAGCCCAAAAACCAAAGGGAATAGAACATCAATAAGCCACATATAATAAGCCCTAAATAAGCACTAAATAAGCCATAACTAAGGGTTACCTACAGATTCGAGCCATCAGAGGACATTATGGAGGAACCCACTTTGTATAGCCATTCCTGCAAATAATTCTCGTCTTGGAACCACAGAGAGCATCCAGATGGTGATAAGGTTTACCAACAGATTCTACCCATCAGAGGACATTACTTGTACTGTCTTACCAAAAAGGGGCCCCCAAGCTTGAGTTTCTTCACTTCAAAAAAATCCAGGGGAAAGCGCGGCCCAAAAACCAAAGAGAATAGGGCATCAATAAGCCACAAGTAATAAGCCCTAAATAAGCCATACCTAAGGTTTACCTACAGATTCGACCCATCAGAGGACATTACTTGTACTGTCTTACCAAAAAGGGGCCCCCAAGCTTGAGTTTCTTCACTTCAAAAAAATCCAGGGGAATGCGCAGCCCAAAAACCAAAGGGAATAGTACATCAATAGGCCATGCGATGGAAAAATGCGATCATCAAGCGATGACAGCAGAGGGTGATAAATACTGGGATGTTTTTCAGGTCATCTCACAGAGCTTAGATTTGTCAACTCACAGATCAAAGTTCATTGGCTGAGAATGTGATGGAAATCACAGGAGTAGAACTCATTAATAGACTCTTGATAAGCCCTTGATAAGCCGGTGGGTCGTCTTTGCAGGCGGTTGGTTGAATCCCTATCTTTTCCATGCTTCAGATGCAGCAGCGCCTAGTGGATAAGAGCTTATTATGGGTTTACTAAGAACAAGGATGATGAAGATTGGTCCGTCATGGCCTTATTTAAGCCAAGTGAACTGGTGAAAATAATGGCTTATATTCCTTATTTCTGTTAGGTTCAAACCAGTACTAAACAATGCAAATAAGCACTAATTAAGGTCCCGTCCTCCCAAATCCAACGTTTTCATTAATACCATGGAAATAAGGATATATTGTGAGGTTTTGAACACCGCGCAATTGTTGAAGGCAGAACCCCCGGGGAAATGTTTATCAGGTTGGAAATTTGTAACAGATCAGGACTGTAACCTTCATGTCGAAGTCGGTTGCACTTTTGGTTCCACATCATATCATGAATTTCATCAACAGCAAAATTCCACATTTGAGGTCGCCCTCGTTATCCCAGAAGATGGGTAAGGTTCATCATGCCTTATTTAAACCAAGTGCACTGGTCAAAATGCCCTTATTCCATGATCATGTTCCAGAAGAAAAATAAGGTTCATATGGCCTTATTTTAGCCAAGTGCACTGGTGAAAATAAGGGTTATTATGCCTTATTTCGATCATGTTCGAACCACCATTCAAGCATTGGAAATAAGCCCTAAATAAGGCATTCTCCTCCAAAATCGGACGTTTTGGCAAAAACGACCGAAATAAGGCTATATTGCTTATTATTTTGGGGGGGGGAGTGTGGGTGAGTGTAGTGTAGGTCCCTGTGATTGAAGCGTGGCCTGTATCCACTGATTGATTGAAAAGAAACATTGATAAACACTGCTTGCAACGTTTCGATATGTTTCGATGAATTTGGTTGGACTTCAAAGAATTCTAATTTGGAGTTTTGCTTAATTGCACTGCCAATACTCAAAGGAGGTTGAAATTTGTTTCTTCTGAAGAACTGAGGCTCAACTTGCAGGAGGAAACAGACCAGCATTTCTTCAACTCTTCAACGATTCCTTTTGATAAGCGGTAAGCAGCTTGTTGAACGAGACAACCGAAACTTCAACTATTATAAAACCATGTGCAATCTATTTGTTTCACGCACTGCAACGGTGATGAAGGTGTGAGGTCATGCGGCCGAAAAGGAACACCTGTGCACAATAGCCTCATCTCCGCGACCCCGAGCCATGGCATGTTGCAGTGCCACTTCGTTGACACCCCTAGCCCAGTTCGCGCGATCATTACGGACGCTAGATGACAATGAAAAGCTGCCCATGTTTTTCCCTATGTACACAGTGCCTTTAGGCATGATCGAGCCTCATGAAGCACTGAAGGCCAGAGATGATGGTAGAGTTCAAAAGGAGTATGGGCAATGCGGCATTCGTTTCACACCAGTGGGTTGCCAGCAGCCACCCTGACCCAGAGTGCAAGCAGATGAGTGTTTTGCAGGATGCTCTGAGGGAAATGATGGGCAACTTGAAGAGTGTACCCGTGGATATAGTTTCTGAGCCGCAAAATCCAAATTTGAAGCCCTTGCCCACATCGAAGATTCTCTTGGAACTTGGAACCGCTCTTCTTTTGGTATGATTATTTCTCTTGCCCACAGACGGAAAGGCTCAGGTCATGGAAAAAAAGTCCCCCAAAGCAAATTGCTGGATGCCATCAACAGCATACCGGCATATGCGGACGAGTGCTCCTTCTTTTTTGCTCTTGTACCAGTCTTGGGGAATCGGAATGAAACCAATCTGATCACTCCATTCACCTGGAATAGTAGGGGCTGGTGCAGGTTGGAGAGATCTTGCCGAGAACTCTCCCAAAACGAGTCCTGGATTCAGGTGAAAGGCCCCAATGATCTTCAGCTCGTATTAGGCGCCATTGCATCCATTCGTGCTGGGTCTGGGCCGGTGGGTGAAGGAGCTTTTGCAGTCCCGGAGGATCGCTTGAAACTCGGGCCAGTTCTCATGAAAGCAGTGAAGCGCAAGCTGCTTTGGCTTCTCAAAGCCCAAGATCTGCCAGGTTTTCGCTTTTTGCTGAACCAGCAAGCTTTTGTTTTCAGAGGTTTGGATTGCAACCTGTTCAAGCCTGTTCCGGGTTTTTGAGAACAACCATGTGGATTTGAATGTTTCTCCCCTTGTCGCGAAGTTCTTCTACCAGAATGGTTTCCGCAGCATTTGTGAGATGGACAGTGCTGGATTTTCACCCTTCACTATGCAGTCCTGAACGGCGACCCATCACTGATTCAAGACCTACTGGCACTTCAGGCAGATCCGAACCAAGTCACACGTGCACTCAGGTCTTGGATATGAATCAGGGATTTCACCTCTTGCTATTTGCTGCACCTTCAAGAACAATGAGGCTATCAGTGTTTTGATCTCTGCCAGAGGCAGGGTCACCAGCCGTGCGATCAACAGCAGACTTCTTCAGTGTGCAGCGGCAGTGAACAATGCAGAGGCCGTCCAGATTCTCCTGACTGCTCGGTGCTCGCTTGGGCCGAATGATATGGGCGCCACTCCATTAAGATGTGCTGCTGGCTTTGGGGTCATTGAAGCCATGGACGAGCTCCTCAAACACGGCAACACCAGTTCCCTGGATGCCACTTACGCGCTTTACACTGCAGCATTCCCCACTGGAAGTGCAGAGATGGTGCACAGACTGGTTGAAATGATGGCAGATATCAATGCTCGGATTGATGAATATTTCAAGCAGCCATTTCTCATGCGAGCTATATACACCTTTAAAGTGCTGCAGCATCGCTTTCACAAGGTCACAATATTGAGCGAGATTCTTTTCCATGCCAAAGGTGCAACGCCTTTGATGATATCCCTACTCTCTGGGAATGACGAATGTGCTGCAGCTTTGGTTGCTGCGGGGACAAATCTCAATGCGCAGAACTCGCGTGGATTGACCGCGGCAGATCTGATACGCGGCAGATCATGAGGCTTTGGGAGGAAGGGTTCAAGGATGCCAGAAGGTTTCATTACTCGCACGTGGCCGGGTCGGAATGCAGTTCTGAGTTTTTGTTCGTTGGAGCTGGCTGTGCGCCCTTGGCATGTCACAAGCAAAGTGTCATCTTGTATCACACCAAAGTTTCGCCAAAGCATCATCCCATGTGTCAGCACAAAGGGATACAAAGGGACATGTTGCCGCGGCTAGGGAGATGGTGTGGTGGGACCATTAAGCCAGCTTCGCCATGGTGCAAACCTTTGTTTGACATGTTGGAACCATTGTTGTTCCTCCCGGCGTGATGCTTCAAGCCGCGCATTTCCATTACTCATTACTTTGTAAGTAGTCACTGTAAGTAGTATTATTATCCAGAAATTCCCATTACTTTCCAGTGGGAGTAGTAATTAAATATAACGTTGCCATTCCCCTTTGTCAAGTTTTATATGTATATAGTACGATTGACATATCCCATCATATTCCAGTGAGAAGAAGTGTCACTTCAGGTGGATAATCCCAGTACAGCGGTTGAAACCTGAAAATGGGTGCTGCTAAATTACTTATTTCTTGTTGATCAAACCTCCATTTCTGTTGGTTGCATACGTATTTTCGGCTGGTTTGATCCCGTTTTTTATTTGATTAGACCACCATGATGATTACCTGGTTTTTTTGGGTATGTACATCCACACGGTTGAGGCTTGAGTTCTCGTTATTGGAAGGTTAGTTAGTTTGGTCAAATTCCACATGCTGAATGGTTAAACAATGTAATTTTCATAATCCGATATGGCTGCGTCTGAAAATGGTATATACCCCGCGACCTCCCCAATAGCCATGTAAATGTGGAAAGAGATGGAAAACCATTGGGCAAAGCCATATGTTTTTTGTGTTCCACATTATTAGAGGTTGATATAATTCCTGAAATCCACATGTTTCATAGTGAAATTCAAGTTTCCACTGGATTTACTTACAACATGTTTGATGTTTAAATCGAATGTGTTGATGTTTAAAACTCTATGTTATCCAATGTTTTGATCTTAAAATCACCCAGTTATGGCCCAACTAACAGCTACTTATTAGCGGGATGAAACATATAACTCCTACTGTCCTAGTCGATGAAATAATTTTTCAGAATCCCAGTTATAGATTACTGTATATGATTTAACTATCCCGGTTTGGGGATTTCTATGTCACTCCATAGTTACACATAACTCTGGAAAATCACAATTTTATAGCTGGGTAAATCAACTATTTCTATGGTAATAGCAAACCGTTAGTTTACCAGAGGGTATATCACCAGACAGTTCCATTAAATCCCATTAAATCTCATTAAATCCTATGAAATCACCATAATTGGTCACACTCCGGTGTTTTAGCCCAGGCTCATCTGCGCCTGCGAGCTGATGCCATCACGTTCTCCTCGGCCATCAGCGCGATGGCCACGGGGGAGCAGCACCGCGGACGGTCGAATTTTTCGGGTTGTTGAAAGGGGAGCCTTCAAAGATATGTGATATGAGATAAGTTGAGATGATATGGGGATACCTTAACTATGTTTTTTAACCATGAACATGATGGAGATCATTGAATCATTGTGGATCTATAACTGATGAATGTTGGCTGATGATGAGTTTGTGATTTAATGGGAAGTTAAGCATCATTGGGGTCTTAAAGAGGATTGAACCATCAAACATGTGGGGATGTAATTGAACAAAAACTTCTGGTTGATGAATAGTCGGTGATTTCATGGGGTTTTCAACCGTCAAAATATGGTGAAGTTGGTTGATGATCAGTTATATAGTTCGTGGATTATGCAAACTATTATACTCGGAATTATCAGAATCCATGAATGGGCAATCCCATCCTCAACCAGCCAGTAAAAGAGTTGACACGCATTTTTGCTTGTTGATTTTGTTTCACCAATCTACACAAGTATAGTTACAGCATGGTATACCTACCATAATTCACAGTTATCTTTGTGAAGCTACCAAATTTCCTATCTTCGGGGTTTCCTCCTTGCAGAACAATCTAGATATATAAGCGGTTTCCGCGTTGGTTATAGTTGAAACAACCTCTCAACGGATGGGGATGTCTTGGGATTCTTGCAACATCTATAACATCTTTACATGTTGTATATATATATATTTAAAAAAAAAACATTTTTTATACAAAAGTAGCAATTGAGGGCTGACAATCTTGAGGAAGTGGAACTAGCACAACATCACCAGAAACTAAAAGGTATTGAGAGGTGTAGAAAATATCAAAGTATGTTTAACAGTAAAAGAAAACCTGCAAGCTGAAACCAACATGAAACTTCAAAAACTGAAAGTTCAGTGCAAAAAAATCCTTGATGTTTTGCAATAAAAGAATGAATTGAAGCCGAAATGGAGGTCTAAGCAACCAAGACATGGATTGAAACGGCAGCAGGTGCTCCTTGGATGCCTCTTGGCCGGAGCTAGGCATTTTCCCACATACCCTGCGGTGTCATCAAACTTGGCAATGGGTTTATAGCTGGGAAAATGATCTATAATTAGTGGATTTTCCATTGCGCCGTTTTATTACCCAGAGGGTAAGCGAATCAACAACTATGATTGAACATTGAGGAAATTGAGGAGTATGAATGAACATGGGATTGAACAGTCATGATTAGTCATGATGTTTTGAGGCTATGTGCAGGCCACCAATATTTTTTTCTAAGGGGATTTGGCAGTTCCGGCAGGACCGTGGGGTGGTACAGGTGACCCTCGACCTTCAGTACCTTAGACATTTGAGAGCCCCCCCTCCAGCATGTTCGAAACTTGAGGATCCGCGCCACATTTGTAGTATTTAATGTGAGGAAACCATTCTGTGATTTCTACGTTTGATATGTTAGCCTTACATTTGCAAAACCGGAAGAGTTCTTGTAGGCAGTATAAAACCCCCGCAGCTGAGAGTGGTCACTGGTCCCATCATCGCACAGCTCCCACCCTGTTTTGAGGTGGGCCATTGCAGTTGATCTTTTGCACAGCCTTCGGTTGTCAGAGGTCGGATATGGGGCCTGAAGTCATACAGCCATCCTTTCAGAGACCCAGGGCGCAACATGAGATGACATGACGTGACGTGACGTGACAACACACACACATATATATATATATACATATTACAGGTTTACTCTACCCTATGTAACAATATGAATGTGTACACTTCTTATGTTCTCTCTCTTTCTACATACATACATATATATATATTATATTAATTATATTTTACATATTTGCAGTATACGTAAATGCATACATTGGCATTACATACATACGCATGTGTTTTTGTGATCTGTGTTTGTGTTGTGATATTTTGCTATACTACAGTTAGCCCCGCTAGCTCCATAGTAATCAGGCTCGTTTCAGCCGTCCCGGGCATTGGGCCCTGCGCCATTGTATGTTGGGCCGGCAGGCCCGTCCGAATCTCATCATTTACAATGCGGAGTCTTGGATTAAGAGACTGAGATTATTGAGGAGTCTGGAAGTCTGAGATGTGTGTGTGTGTTCTTTTGAAAGCTGTGCCAAGCAAGTTATTGGTTAGTTCATGAACCCGTGAACGCATACATGTACATAGTATCTACCATTATCTACCATAACCCCCAGTGACTTGTGAAGTAGCGGATCAGGATTGGAAATCATTATTTATCTAATCTAATTGTGGCACTAACCACCCTAATCCAAGCAGTAGATTCTGGCATGTGTGCAGGCAAGGGGATCAGAATCAATGAGCTAAAGTGTCACTTGATTTTGTATGACCATGTTGCCTGTAGTCTTGTGATGTCAACCTGAAATTCATATCATCTTGCCTGCCCACGGCGTTTGCATTGTTCAAGGGATGGATGTTCACCCGCGGCATTCAGCGGTAATATGCCGATCTAGTTCTAGTGACACAGATGTCTACCACAAAATTTGTCAACAATAATTTGATTTCATGCATTCTTGTCCAAAGACCCATGAAGAAAATTGGTTTGTGGTTTGAATTTGTTGGTTTGCGTACTTTTTTTGGGATGGTGGTCCAGCAACCAAACAGACATGGTTCAAACCTTGTAGGGCGTACGGAATATGACAAAATCCATCAACCCCAGACTGTCCCAGACTTGGGTCAAGAGAAACTTGACGTTGCGAAATGTCGGCTTTATCTTCTGGAGGCTACAAACGTAAAATTATTGTTGAACAAATAACTTTATAATCTTAATATATGTACATAAATGTGTGTTCTTTGTTTCATGAGGATTCCTAAACTGGGGGCCCGAAACATCATTAATTATATACGTTTCGTTTTTTTTAATGTAAATTACCAACAACTTGAATAACTTGGCTTCCCCCGTTTTATGAACCAAAGGGGTAGCTTACCTAAAATGACCACAGAACGTTTGGGTTGCGCCGCAGCCGAGGCTCTTTGTGCCTGTGGTGCTGCAGCTCAAAACGCCTGGGCGCTGCGACTGTTTGGACTGCTGCAGGAGGATTCGCTGCAGCCAGATGTGGCATGGCGATCAGTTGGTCCCGATTTTGTGGGTTTATCGCACTTCAAGTAGGGTTAGGCTATAAGGTTTCAGGCTTTGATTTACCGATCTATGATTAGTTCTTGATCTTTATTGCTTGATCAACTTGATCTACTTGATTAGTCCCCGCCTTGAACAACTGGATGGGAATGGCGCGAGGCCAGCAACTTCTGAGCTAATTGCACTAACTGCTTTGGTGGCCAGCTGGTGAAAATATGTGAAAATTCATGTGATGTTGGGGTGGCTCAACTCATGCCTGTGCTGGATTTGTTTCATTATGAGGCACTCATGTTTGTTTGTTTCAAGTTCATGTGAATGACTGTGCAAGGTGTCAGTCATATAATAGGGTTGTCCAAAGATGAAAAACACACCTTGAAGGCACAGTATGCGTATGGCCACTGGCCCTAAAATAGGGGTAGACCATATTCGAGTTTCAGATATACCCGCCAAATGTCACATGCAATAATAAAGATTCTATCTTATCGAGTTATCACCCGTATATCTCATTATATACTTATGATATTTCCACTATTCCATTAAATACTATTGTCCCATTATTTAATATCCTCCGTTTTTTATCACCATTTTATGCCCCCATAAATAGAATAGATATTATTACATTTACTTTTTTCATGTGCATTTACATTTACATTTGCATTCCTACCTGCATCATACCTAGAGACCTAGAGACCTAGAGACCTAGATACCTACATACCTAGATACCTAGATACCTAGATACCTAGATACCTATCTACATACCTAACTACCTACATGCATACATCCATCCGTACATGCATACATACATGCATTACACACATACATCCATTCGTACATACATGCATGCATGCATGCATGCATGCATGCATGCATCCTGCATACCTGCATACCTGCATACCTGCATACCTACATACCTACACACCTACATAACTACATACCTACATACATACCTACAGACCTGCATACCTACATACATACCTACATACATACCTACATACCTGCATACCTACATACCTACATACCTACACACCTACATACCTACATACCTACATACCTACATACCTACATACCTACATACCTACACCTACATACCTACATACCTACATACCTACATACCTACATACCTACGTACCTACGTACCTACCGACGTACCGACATACCTACATACCTACATACCTACATACACCTATAGATACCTACGTACCTACATACCTACATAGCTGCATACCTACATAGCTGCATACCTACATACCTATGTGCCTACGTACCTACGTACCTACCTACATATGGTACATACATACAGACAGACAGCCAGACAGACAGACAGACAGGCGGACGTACATACATACATGTGTATACATCCCCAATCTATATCCCCAGTAAAATACCCCAAATTATCCATGTTCATTTCTGATTTCGAACCTCCACCGTCTCCGGAAGGTGGTCACCTACTGTTCCACCGTGCTGGCCACGACGCTTCCGGCCATGCTCCTGCAGCGCTTGGCGACGGTGCAGGGCCTGAGTCTCCAGGAATTGCGCGAGACGAAAAAAAGGAGGACATTGTTTCCTCAGGAGTCCTGACGAGTCAGTAAGGCCAGGCGTACATGGGATTTCTTGCTTGGAGTTACTCCGCAAGGTCATGCACCAGTTACATCAAGTTAGCCTTAAACCAAAATTCAAACGCCCATGTGAACCAGATATGTCAATCACGAAAGGAAGTGAGGTACCTGAGGTTTCCGGCTTTCATGAAGGGATTCTTCACTTTGGGTCCGGGGCTGTTCACCTTGGATCGAACAAGTTGTTGCAGGATTTTCCAGGCAATCTTCCGGCAGGCCCTTGCCTTGCATGGGTTTTATTTCGGGGGCATTGTTTTGTATGAATTGTAGCCATAGACCTCATCCTGTTCATTTTCATTTTCTTAATGTCGCCAAATCCTCGTCCTGCATCCTTTCCTCGCACTCTTTGTTATTTTTGCGCACCACCACCACCACCGCCACCACCACCACCATCATCATCATCATCATCATCACCCTCAACATCACCATCGCCATCATTGTCATCCTCATAACCAGTGCCATCAGCATCATCATCGTCATCACCATTACAGTATATATCCTTATCATGCGCCGCTTTATTTTGCTTGAGTATCATCCACAAATCACATCAGCTAGAGGCAATGAATGTTGCACCTGCTCGTTCAAGATGCGACTGGCCTACCCCGATACGAACCACCCCCCAATCGGATGCCATCAGCATACCCCTACTGTAGTTGGAACTATTGTTGTGACCTTATTGCAGTAGCCCCAAATGGTTGGCCTCAATCCTGGGTTCAAATCCCAATTCTTTATCATATATAGTGTGCCCCATCACATTTATGACATTTTGTGCCAAGGTGGACCCCCCCGCAGGTTAGAAGTTGGTTTATAAGCTATAGTTCTAGCTACCAGAAACCCCAGTTATCCAAAGTTATCTTAGTTTTAAACCAACTTAGTTATCTAGGGGGCCCCAGAATGTATTGGTTTTACAACCTGCCGTGAAAGACGCACCACTGCCTTGGTTCAGCGCTGACAGCTGCGCATCGCCAGCAGCTTTTCCCGAGCCGTCCTGCTCTTTGGATGCAGTATATGTATATTCATGTGTCTATATTTGAATAACTTGCACAACAGCATGTAGCATATTATGATATGTTATGCTTATAGCCATATATTTTGATTATCGATTTGTTTTCTTTCCGGTTTAGACGATGAGTTCGCTTCGTGCTGAAATCTTGCACATCAATATAAAAAAATACATTTTTTTGAGGGTGGCTGAATTGATGATGAGGGAAGGCTTGTAAAGATTTGTGTTAGTTGGCGTGCTTCTGTCTTGCCCGGACATTTTACCATGAATGGAAAGTGTTCGGAAACCCCTCAAGGCCAGACGTGCCTCTTCCTCATTTTTCTTTTGATGAAAGCTCCCTTTTTTTGGTGGCTGGCGGTGATAGGCAGGGAAAGAATTGGGTTCAGGAAACCGTTGGATTAGACTGATTGGACCAACAATGACGTTCACCATTGTGGGGTTGGAAGGTCGGGGTACGCCAAGATGAAAGGATGGTGAAAAGTCGAATACATAGTTTCAGGCTTAGGTGCATATTTTCTTCCGACAAAGCAGTATGGGGAGCCTACCAAAGCTTTCAGTGCAAGCAGTCTATGACTAATTAAGTAGCTGGTGTAAAAGCAAGATTATCACCAAACATTCTGGTGATTTGGAGCATTGTGGGGTTAATTTCCACTTGGATATAGTTATATAGATTATATAGGTTAGATCATGTTAGAACCAGAAAGAGGAAGGGTTCCAGGCTGCAACTTCCAAGTGCACTGGCTGCTCCATCTTCAGGTCTTGCGGAACAGCCCCACTAGAGGTGAAGTCAAGAAGTGCTGCACCTTGGTTGAAGTGAACAGTGAAAGGATCCTGGTGGTCATGAGCCAAAAAAAACATGGTTTAGTTGGTTGTTTGGTGACTAAGGTTTTCAGCTATCAGCTATCAGTATACCTTCCCAATATGTCCCCTCACTTCCATTTGCCTGATTACCGCTGAACAACCCATACCCCGTTTTTTGAGCCGTATCCATTTCACCTTTTGCTTAGAAATCAATCCTCAAACACTGCGGCATCTTCTTGAATCAGGCTCAAATTCTGCCAAGGCAACATCTGGTTTTTGGACCAGAAGGCGTTTTGTTCCTGATCAGGCTGCATGGTGATTTCACTCCCTGGGGCCACAAACTGTCCCAAATTCAAAATTATATAGCATCATAGTTGCCATGGCATGTGGCTGTGCCCCTTCCTCCACACCCTTGGCCGAGTACGCAAGATCACTGAGGACGCTTGATGACGGTGAAAGGCTGTCCATGTTTTTTCCTCTGTACACGGTACCTTTAGGCACCCTTTTGGAGATGACCAAAATCGAGCCACATGAGGCACTGAAGGCCAGAAATGTGTGGGTGGAGTTCCAAAGGAATATGGGCAATGCAGCGTTTGTTTCACACCAGTGGGTTACCACCAACCACCCCGACCCAGACTGCAAGCAGATAAGGGTCTTGCAGGATGCTCTGAAGGAAATGATGGGCAACTTGAAAAGCATACCTGTAGACTTAATTTCCGAAGGGCAAAATATAAATTTCAAGCCTTTGCCCACATCGAAGATTCTGTCAGAACCGCTGTTCTTTTGGTATGATTATTTCTCGTGCCCACAGAAGCAAGGGCTTTGTGAAGCTGCCATCAACAGCATACCGGCATATGTGGACGAGTGTTCTTTCTTTTTTGCCCTTGTACCAGCCTTGGAGAATCGGAATGAAACCAATCTGATCACTCCATTCACCTGGAATAGTAGGGGCTGGTGCAGGTTGGAGAGATCTTGCCGAGAACTCTCCCAAAACGAGTCCTGGATTCAGGTGAAAGGCCCCAATGATCTTCAGCTCGTATTAGGCGCCATTGCATCCATTCGTGCTGGGTCTGGGCCAGTGGGTGAAGGAGCTTTCACAGTGCCGGAGGATCGCTTGAAACTCGGGCAGGTTCTCATGAAAGCTCTGAAGCGCAAGCTGCTTTGGCTTCTCAAAGCCCAAGATCTGCCAGGTTTTCGCTTTTTGCTGAACCAGCAAGCTTTTGTTTTCAGAGGTTTGGATTGCAAACTGTTCGAGCCTCTTCCGGGTTTTGAGAACAACCATGTGGATTTGGATGTTTCTCCCCTTGTCGCGAAGTTCTTCTATCAGAATGGTTTCCGCAGCATTTGGGAGGTGGACAGTGCTGGATTTTCGCCCCTTCACTACGCGGCCCTGAACGGCGACCCATCACTGGTTCAAGGCTTGCTTATGCTTCAGGCAGATCCAAACCAAGGCACCAGGAAAGCCCACCCGGGCCTTGGATTTGAACCGGGGATTTTACCTGTTTCCATTTGCTGCACCTTCAAGAACAATGAGGCTGTCCGTGTTTTGATCTCTGCCAGAGGCAAGGTCACCAGCAGCGCACTTGTTCACAGACCTCTTCAGTGTGCGACAGTAGTGAACAATGCAGAAGCAGTCTATATTCTCCTCCGTGCGAAGTGCCGGCCCGAGCAGAATTCTTTCGGCTTCACTCCGCTTGACACTGCTGCCAGCACGGGATCTCTTGAAGCCCTAGAGGAACTCCTCACAAACACCAAGGTAAGTGCCCTGGATGCCACCCACGCCCTTCACAGTGCAGCAGCTGGCAGTGGAGGTGCACAGGTGGTGCAGCGACTAGTGGAAATGAGGGCAGATGTGAATGCTCCGATCGAAGACATTTACAAGCGGACGCTCCTCATGCGAGTTCTGTACACCTTGAAGGTCTTGCAGCACCGCTTTCACAAGGTCACGATACTCAGTGAGGTTCTGTACCAGGCCAAAGGCGCAACACCTTTGATGATTGCCTTGCTGCTTGGGGAGGATGACTTTGCTGCAGCTTTGATTGCTGCAGGGGCAGAGCTGAATCTGCGGAACGCCCGGGGCTTGACTGCCGCAGATTTGATAAGAAGGCGTTCGGGGCCAGAATTCCTGCTTGAGGCTGTAGAAGGAAAGATCCAAGCATGCCAGGAGGTTTCCTTACTTGCATGTGGCTGGACCGAGGTGCAGTTCTGATACTAGATACGTTTTGATGTACAGATATATGTACAATTGTATAATTTATATAACGTACGTAGATTTTATTTGGAGTTGGCTGTGCACTCTGAAGGGTCACACCAAAAGTATCACCCTAATTCACCCTATATGCAGAAGAATAGGAGAACAAGGAGCATTGGGTGCGGCTGGTGCGGCTGGTGTGCTGGGATCACTTGACATCGCCCATAGGGCGTCATAGATATGAGGGGTAGAGTAACAGCAGTGATGCGATTGAGCAACAGATTGCCGAGGTTCCCAAACCTTGACAATTTCGGACTAACTATTGAACTAGAATGAACTGTGCCTCCTGATTTGTTATGTGCCATGCCATCGACGCCACACTCAGGTGGCCACCTATTCCTCCAACGCGAGCCGCGTGGAATGAAAAGGATCCAATCCAAGTTGCCGTTTTGTACCATGGATAGCTTTGTCCAAAAATATGCAGTTCTGGCTGAGTTATAGTGACCTCACTGTGACCTCACTGGAATCATTGGTGAGTACTTGTAAGGGGAATCATCCCCAAATGGTAGAAACATGCATGCATTTAATATGATATGTATATATATATATATATGCACACAGCATTACACACCAAAATTGTCATTCAAGTGTGATCATGATGATAAACCTCATGATTGGGCAGTGCCCTATTTTCAGACGAAACCAGGTCAGGCGTCCTATTTTCTACATATATGTCTGTATGTATATGCACATATGTCGTTGGTTGATGATTCGGAGTTTCAGCCGTTCAGCCCATGTTTCACCACCAGTAGGCATCGGCAAAGTGACACATATGAGATGCCACACGCCCCAATGGTACAGCCAGAACACCATTGTGGTGGCGGCTTTATCTGAAGGCCCCTGAGGTGATGCAGCTATCAAGCCATCCCTGTCAGGATCACCAATCTGATGAACGGATATGAACGTTAAATTACTATCGTTAGTAACCGTTACTATATGTCTATTTCTTTTCAAAAAATCATTGTTACCTCCCCGCAGGTATCAAGCCTTTTTTTGTAAAGCCATCGCCAGCGCCAAGCCAAGATGGTTCGTTGGAAAATCATCCCAGTTCGATGATTCTTCCATTAAAACCTCCACTTATATTATATATATATATTTATAGGGTATGTCCAATAGATATATATATATATTTATTTATAGGGTATTTCCAGTTGACTGTGATATTTCATGTCATGGTTACTAAAAGTACTATGTGGGATGATACCAAATACCTCCCATCTCCAGATGATTTTTCGAGCTATAATCGTTTAGCTCGGGGATTTTCGGGGATTTTCCAGCCACGTTTGAGGACATGGGTATTTTATCTGAAATCATTGGAAATCCACAAAAAAAAAAAGCAAATATTTCAGGCTGAATCGGGCTGAATCCTTGGCCAGTATCCATGATATCCATGGCATATATAGGCAAGGCGCCGAACTTGGCGTGGCGCCGTTTAGGTTGTGCCATGGGTCCCATGAGCTGCCCAGTGGATGTCATGTGCCAAGAGGCCGGAGGCTCTGAGATGTAACTTGGCCGATGGCTGAAGGGTGGGTTGAATATGGTTGAATGATGAGATTGGTTGTATGGGTTTGTTAGTATATGTTAATATGTTAACATCAACTTGTGTGATGGTCGTTTTAAGTTTTAGGAAGGTTTTTATTGGTTTCTAGCATGGTATGCTTAAGTTTTAGAAATGAACGCATGGGATTTTCAACACAGGAAAGAATTCCTGAATGTGTGGTTCCTTCGAAGAAAAGTCTTTTGTCAAGGAATATTCACGTTTCAGCCATGGCCGGAATCTATGGATCAAAAGGCTTCAGAAGGTCGCTGAAAAATGGATAACAGCTTCTATGGTTATTACTATTACATTTCTTTATAACACTCCTCTAGATCAATGAGTCTATTGTAATTGAGCTAGAACATGTTCCAACAATGCGTGAGCCATGGGCGGTTTATGGGATGGTTGCAGCTGTGACCAGCGACCAGGCAGCCGGCAGCTGTCAGAATGCCGCAGACAGGCGAACTGGCAGGCTGGACGCTCAAAATGTGTATGTCACATGGTTTTCCGCAATGATAATATGTGATAGTATGTGTCATTACCTTGTTGGATTGCCAAACTGTATCCCAATATTATGCAGTGTTTGGATGGTTGTGGTGTTTTTCATGCTTTTTGACATGTCCCCATCAGTTGGGCATGCAACGGGCCGCGGCCGGGGCCATTTTTCTAATTTCTGCCAAGTTTTGTGTCGTGAGCTACCACTATCATATGATAACTGTATATGTATACTGTTTCTGTGTGGGTGATAGGGTGTTTACTTGTTCGTTCTGGTATTATATTTATTCCACACGTAAGCAGCATAAGAATAGTACCCCCAGTTGGGCGATTGTTTATGCAAGCCATGGAAGCTATCTCTTGGATGGTTCATTGGTGGCTTTGCATTTCATCCCTTGTCTCTGATTTGAATATCGCCCCTAGAAACCAGGGTTTCGTTTGGTGGTATTTCATATTGGGACGCATTGGGGGGGAGGGATTATTCACCTATACTGCCATTATAGCTTATTATATTCCCATTTGATCTTATCATATCCCCCCCAAAAAAAACTATAATAGCCTATAATATTAATCCACTTATTCCCAAATTTGGTGGGCGATCCCTTCCATTATATGAATATGATACCATTGTAATCACTATACCCCAAAAATATTGCATAACTGCTATGGGATCTATTCATTTTGGGTGTTCATTTTGGTTTCTAGCAAAGGCGCCAAAGGGCGCGCTCTCCGGACCCAACACCAGGCAGCCTTGGGCCTGTTCCGCAGCTTTCGTGCACGAGGAATGGGACCTTTCTGAACCGACGAAGTTGGTGAAGCGGGGGGCATGGCAAGTAACATTATCATCGGGTGTCATCAAACATGGCTGGCAAATCCACAAACTCGTATGGGAAAACTTATAATCAGTATGGTATATCTGGTTGGTGGTTTGGAACATGGCTTTTATTTTTCCATATATTGGGAATAATCATCATCCCAACTGACGAACTCCATCATTTTTCAGAGGGGTAGGTCAACCACCAACCAGGAATTTATATGAATTTATAGGGATATATGTGATAAATATGATATAACCAACCTGATATGATATGGGATAATCATATGCACTTAGAACTAGTACTGGATGGGCATTCAAATGGGAAAACCATCCACACATTCAAATGGGTTTCCCCCAGGCAGCCGCGACAGACTAGTGACAGACTAGTAACCCCGAAAAAGATGCAGAAAAGTTGGGGACGAAATCAAGGGGGAAATATAATCTATACCATCTTGGAAACACAATTCTTTCTGTCTAGGGGGTTGCTGTAAGGGGCATTTATAGTCAAACAATGTCAAATATTATAAAAAGATATAAAGATATATAAGTGTGTGTGTGTGTATCCAAAACATGGGACATTGCGATTATGAGCCAGTTACCCATACATATCTTTGACATCATGGAAATTGTTGATATTGTGCTTTTTGGATGGTCCCATGTGGCCGGACTAATAGTCCTTGTCCACATTGACACATTCAAGTGGCAAACCCTCAAAATTAATAGATGAATACTAACCCATTGGTCTACTAAAAACATTCAGAATTCCATTTTCAATAGGATCCATAGGATCTCTACTGTACTATCTAATCTTTTTCATTAAGGCAGCCCATTATTAATCATACTTTATCAATCCATGGTTGACAGTTTGGAACATACAAGTGCAGGCGATCCCAGGGGATCCCTTACGGAGTTTCCCGCATACTTGGATTTTTTCAGAAGCAACTGATCAGAAAATCCTATATCAACTACTGGTACTGAAAATATCTTGAGCATACCCTTCCTATCCTTCCTATCCATTTCAGTAGCTTCAACGCCGGCAGTCGCGGAAATTTCGGCGAGGAGGCGAAGTCAACGTGATTCTGCACCGTGCCGGTTGCGGGGCGAGGGGCCGAAGGGGCGATCAGCGAGGCGGTCAAGTCAACGGGTCAATGTTGGTTAGATACTTTAGTATACCCCATGGGATCCATGTATGCCATATATGGTAACATTTACCATCAATATACCCCAAATGTTAGCATATATACCATACATGGATAGTATTGGGTAGTGGTAAAATGTACTAGTACTGGTATCTAACCAATAGATACTGGTACCAGTATACTCAGTATACCTTAATATGATCTGACTGATAGTATACAGGTACTTTAATAATCTATTGCCATTGCTATCACTGGTAAAATTTACTGGTACTTTAATCTATTGCTATCAATGGATAGCAATGATGTAAAATGTACATTCACCAGCTAACAAATTGGATTTATTGTTGGCAGGCATCCAAGATTCACCATGAAGAAACCAATCTTGTATGGTAACTCAATCAATGTTTTTTCATATAAAGCATAATATGACATTGTTTTAAATAAAAAAACGCGAGTGATCGATTCCTATAAGATCTTATGAACACTTCGGAACTTCCTATCACTAAGTTCTATAAGCACAAGTCGAGACAAAGGTCAGTTCCTGCTCAAATGATTGATCAAAAAATTAATGTTAGTGTATATTTGTTTGGGGGTTTACTATGCTGGATCCATCTATGGAGTTGTTTACGTCCGAGAAGCCAACTCACCTGGGGCAGAAAGCTGCGGTATGCTGCGGTTCAACCAGCTCCATGCGGCTGAAACTTGCTACCTTGAACTTATTGCAGTGCCCCAGGTATACCACCTTGGTCACTTGCATTGAGAAAAGTTCAAGATGGGACTGGACTTTGGCTTTGTTGGTGGAAGTCATGCAGACGGGGATGCAGAGTGACGTTATGTTTCTGAGAGCTGGTTTCAGCAACCTTGTTTGTGCTTGCGTTTTTGCAGTGTACAGCTTAGTGTTAAGATTTGTTCGAAAAGAAACACGCGATTCCTTTGATTTTGTCGCCGCACGTTTGATATTGCTGAGTTAGTTTCTGCGAGTGCCAAATTTTGCATACTTTTGCACTGATGTGTTAACAACTTGAGGTTCTACAACACGGTTTTGAGCGCTTGCGCAAAAGCTTCGCAGTGGCAACATGCAGTGTGTTTGCTGCGCTCGATGGCTTCCGAATCGCTGCCGGCAACTGTGGTCAGCTACAATGCTGCCCCTCGGCCTTGGAGGTGGTACTTAAGAAGCCTAAGCACTTGGGGGCTCTGTTGACAGCGGTGAAGTTCACCGCAAACAGCATGGCTCTGAAAAGACTACAGATGAAGCAAGACTTGGATGCATCCTTGTTTGTATTTTGTTCACCAGTAAGCTTGCATTAATAACCGTGTTTGGTAGTGTATAAGTATGGGTTAGATACAGAATCATGATGCAGTTCCACTCAGGTATGTATAAATACTCGAATTTTCAATTTCCAACTGCGTGTCGCTGTATACTTGATTATCTTGTTTTGGCTCTATGAAATAAACAAACGCGCACATGCACTCATATTATATATATATATTTATACTGTATATACATATATAGATATGAATGCTACATACATTTAATTTTGACAAATGGGAAGGGCCGAAGAGCCCCCAAGTGATGATTGTTCGAATTTGACGGTTCAAGGCTCTACCAAGACACTCCAAGTATCAAAAGAAATTGTAAGATAGTCAACATCTCGAAATAATGCAGTAACAAAACAGTTTTCCCGGTATGCCACCCTCCCAATGACCATAGAGCCTGCCAAATAGGGGAATGGAAGCTTATTCTCCTCTGAACATGTACGATCCGTAGGGTCTATAGTCTATGTCAGTTGAGGGATGGTAAACCCTATTTCTAGTGGTAAAATCCAAATTATATTTTGATGATCTAATTCCATCGAACACCTTTAAACAGCATATAGCCATGTAAAACTTTCAAACAGCCGTTGCATAACTATGAAATTTCCATCAAGACTTTCAAATTACCATTGAAACCCACAGAATTTCCCATGTTTCAACCATGAAAACCGTTGAACAAAATACCCTTTCCCGCCGACTTGGCTTCCAGGTCCTCGTCCGCTGTCCTTGGCGCATGGCTGTGCTGCAAGAGGAAGCGGAACGCTTTGGAGACCTCACAGTGGTCCCTGGGCCATGGCTGGGCCATGGCGGGATATCCCAACGTTTTCCCCATGGATTTAATGAGATTTACCTTCTGGATCCTTCTGGTAATTTGTTACATATGTTGAAAATGGTGAAGTACGCAATCTTGCAAGTTAACATAAATTAAGTTTGGGATTCACCCAGTAAACTACGGATTTGTTTTACCCTTTTATAGCTGATTTACTGATTTACCTAAAAGACATGGTGATTTTCCACAAGCAATGTTCAATTCCCAGAGACTGGGTTTGTTAAAAAAATGGGGATTGAATTCGGCTACTTTCATGCAAACCCATCTGTGCAAAAATTGGAAATTAGATGTAAATGAATGTAAATGATGGATTCATATGGTTTTGCCACAAAACTGGATGGTTTCATGTTCTTTTCAAATGAATCAAAGTGGACATTTCAGCAGCGAAGATTGCAAACATCGGGTTGCCTGAAGTCAGGGGAAACCTACAGCAAAAAAAGACCATGTTGTTTGCTGGCTGATTGAAAAGAGGATGAGATGTCCCATGAGTTTCCGAATCCCACCAAATCCAGGATGCAATGAACAAAAATGCCCGTCGGAATCTCGAAATCAGATGGCTTGTCATCGTTGCCGTGTTTTTTTTTACCACAGGATAGCAGGTTTTTGATGTTGTCAACACATGTGTTCAAAAAAAAATCCAGGCCAGCTTGAACTCCAGATGGGTGACTGGTATTGACCTGGTGCCAAGTTCCAAGTGATTCCATGTTTGAGATCAAATATTTTAAATATATTACCCTCTGGTTATTTAACGGAGCCATTGGAAATCAACATTTTTGTATAGGTAAATAAAATTAGTAAATCATCTATAAATGGGCCATTTACAATAGCTATGTTAAATAGCCAGGGGGTATTTCATATTGCCCTTATACAATATACACAAGGTTCGGAAATGAGGGAACCCGTGGCAAACCTCATTGCTCCCATGGGGCTGCAAATTGGGGTTGCTCAGCTCAATTGCCCCGAAGAGACTTGCTCCAGTCCAACAACGAGAGACGATGGACGATGCGGAGAGAGAGAGAGAGAGAGAGAGAGAGATGGATTTTTTTTTATCTAGATCCCTTTTATCCATCCATAAATGACGTTTCCACACAGGTTTTTTTTGCTACATTGCTATAGTTGATCGCTGCTGGGTATTGTGGGTCAAGTGGGGTGTCCGAACGGCATAAAGCAACTGTTCACCAAGCCAAGGTGACATACAACTCGTTGATGAGCCTTTTTTCAGATGAAGGTCGGTGGCAAAGGGCCTTGCTTTGCTTTAGGGATGTTGAGTTCACAGGCTGGGTTCAGTTCTCCAACGGTGCGGTGACTACCATTCAGAACCCACTCGTAGCATGCAAGGCCACAATGAGTGTGTATTGAGTAGGCAAGGTTTGGAGGAAATGCTTGGTGATATTGGCTCATATATATATATATTATATTTTATATATATATATATGCATATATGTATTTAATTAGTGTGTATATATATATACATGTGTGTTTACAGTACATATGTACGTATATTTAGAGACATGAACTGATGATCCTCACAGAAGAGACGAAGGTCCTGCGCTTCATGTCTCCTTGATGTTTCAAGAAGTGATGAAACCCCCAAATTCTAGGGCCTTGGGTGGGCATTTCCACTATTTTGGAGAAATTTGCCCTAAATGGTTGGTATTTTTTTCGGGGGAGGCATGGTATTGAAGATTGGCTAATTCGCATTCGCATTGATTTGCCACAATTTGTTCCTGTTTTCCTTCAGAAAAGGAGGCTTTACAATGCTTTACATGTGTTCCTCAAATCAACCCATTATTCAACGATACTTTTTTTCTCGTGTATCATGACCCATAGGACTTCAGCTGGATGTGATTTCCTTCAATGCTGCCATCAATGCCTGCTCGTACCTGGGCTGAAAACAGCCGAGCCGTGGCTGAATTCCAAGCGGATCATGATTGGCCCAACATGGGGTTTCATTTGGAGTGGAAAATCATAGGAATTTCATGTAATTTCCCCCCGATGGTTGAGCTATGTTGAGCCGACTCCCAGTTTTGCAGCCAGAAGGTTCGTCTCTTGCAGTCCTTTCAAGACATGTAGAACCAGTTTGACAACACTTTAAGTTTGGGGGACCAGTGGGGGCTCATATCTATCAACAAGAGTCAACAAGTGGATTTGATGTGTGAAATTGGGGAATCATTTGCAGTTGTGCTTCTATGATTGTTTACGGTATATCTTCCTAGCTATATCTTAATTTTGATTCCCCGAATGCAGAAAAGGAATAGTTCTTCAATGGAAGACATACTGAAAAAAACAGTGCAAAACCCTAGGTTATTTTTGTTGCAGTTTTCATAATTACCTGCGGGCATCGCAGTGACCTTCAGGCAACCCTCTCTTTGGCAGAGCACAGTCTCTTTGCTTGTACGTCTTCAGAAGAAGCAGATCCAGGCAACGATACCACTGCTTCGGCTGGATCTGAAACATACCCAGAAATCCAACAGAAAAAAAAATCAGGGATCCCGTTTATGGGCTCTGAAATCAGACCTCGCATGTTTATGTTTAAGGCAAACATCGGCTATATGGAAAAAGTGATGTTTTTTTGTCTAGCAAGCGCGGCTGCCACATGAAGGATCAATAAGCCATAGTTCCCCACATCACTGTGTGGGGTTCTTGTTTTTCGCTTATCTAAGTTCAAGATAGGTGCTTGATATCCAGCTATAAGATAGGTACGCTACGCTTGGTACGCTTGGTGCGCTTGGTACGGTACGCTTGGTGCGCTTGGTACGCTTTGGGTAGGTACGCTTGGTACGCTTAGTAAGGTACGTTTGGTACGCTTACCAACCGTACCGACCGTACCGACCGTACCAGTGAACCGTACATAACCGTACCACCGTACCGTACCAGATTAAGGGGGGGGTCAAGGGGGGGGCGTTTTACGGTTCATGGTACGGTCGGTACGGTTGGTAAGCGTACCTTACTAAGCGTACCAACCGTACCAACCGTAGAGTACCACATGTACCAACCGTACCGTACCAAGAAAACCAAACCTACCAGCCGTACGTACCAGACATGTTTGGATCTTACTTAAGGCCTCTACCACCTATCTTGAACCTAGCTAATTTTTCGCTTGGATCCCGCCGCTTCTCCTCCGTCCGTCCGCCGCGCCGCCTTCACAACTCATCACAGGCCCACTTCTCACACCTCACTTATCACAGCACAACTCATCAACATCAATCACCTCACTTATCACAGCACAACTCATCACAGCTCCACTTCTCACACCTCACTTATCACATCTTCACTTCTCACATCACTTATCACATCACCACTCCTCACAGCTCCACTTCTCACACCTCTCTTCTCACACCTCACTTATCACATCCTCACCTCTCACATCACTTATCACATCACCACTCATCACAGCTCCACTTCTCACACCTCACTCATCATATTATCACAGCACAACTCATCACAGCTCCGTGGTCAGCAGATTGCCTTTCTCGTGCCAGGTGCAGTGCGGCTGCCTTTCGCGTGGCAGGCGCAGCACACAGAGCTGCCCGGCGGAGCTGCGAAGCGCTTTGCGGCGCGCGTGGTCGCCGTTGGGCCGCGGCTGCCTTTCGCGTGGCAGGCGCAGCACGCAGAGCTGCCAGGCGGAGCTGCGGCGCGCGTGGCAGGCGCAGTACACAGAGCCTCCTGGAGGAGCTGCGGGGCGCGTGGTCGCCGTTGGGCCGCGGCTGCCTCTCGCGTGGCAGGCGGAGTACACAGAGCCTCCTGGAAGAGCTGCGGCGCGCCTCTCGCGTGGCAGGCGCAGAGCCTCCTGGAGGAGCTGCGGTGTGCATGGTCGCCGTTGGGCCGCGGCTGCCTTTCGCGTGGCAGGCGCAGCACACAGAGCCTCCTGGAGGAGCTGCGGCGCGCGTGGTCGCCGTTGGGCCACGCCTCCTTTCGCGTGGCAGGCGCGGCACACAGCCCCACCTATCACATCACAACTCCACTTCTCACACTCATCACAGCTCCACTTATCACATCACAACTTCTCATCACAACTCATCACAACTTATCACATACCAACTCATCACAGCTCGACTTCTCACACCTCACTCGTCACAGCTCCACTGCTCATCACATCTCATCACAGCTCCACTTCTCACAGGTCCACTTCTCATCACTTCTCACTGGTCCACTTCTCATCACAACTCATCACAACTTATCACATCCCAACTCATCACAGCTCCACTTCTCAAAACACTTCTCACACCTCACTTATCACATCAGAACTCATCACAGCTCCACTTCTCACACCTGACATCACAAGTCCACTTCTCACACCTCACTTCTCACACCTCCCCGAAGTTCACATTAAGCTTAGATACATAAAGGCTTGACATGTGGGGTTATCCGGTCCTTTTATTTACTAATTAGGGGGGGTGCTTCCCCAATAGTCATAATCTGATATATACTTAAATGGTACCCCCCAATTAAACAGCTTAAGGGTTTATTGATCCAGGGTTGACATTATCACCAAGCTACATCATAGAGAGACGTCCTGGTCCTAGAATCCCATAGGATGTTGTCTATCCTATCAGTCATGGGACTTCACCCCGCCCAAGGTGACACCCACTAAATTCCACTAAGGGTTTCATGGGGAGCCAGTTGGAGAAGCAAATTGAGTTTCCCAACGACATTACATATATATATATATATGTATATAAAAGGGTATTAAGATAATTATCCCATGATATCTAATGGTTATCCACAATTATCCACATAGTTACCCATAATTATCCCATACTTATTTTTGAATATTCCTATATCATCATTTCAGCATATTATGGAATTTCTATAGACATATAACTTTATTTCCAGGTTCTCATGGTTATTCACAATGGATTTCCACAGATTTCTGTATATCATTATTTCAGAAAATTCCATACTTATATTCCATAAGTAGTTATTCCATAATATTCGTATATCTATAGGATAACTATGGGAAGTCTTGGCCAGAATTATTCTCATGGAATTATCCATCATAATTCTTGATTCCCTACATCGTTCCAACCACGTGCCATACACATTAAAGTAGATTGAAGTAGTCATCCCAACTAATTATTCCTTCATATCTTCCAACAAAATCACCGAGATCTTCCATCATATTTTAATATCTTCCATCGATATCCACAATTATCATCACATGATTATTCCGTCATATCTTCCAAAGAATATCATAAATGTCCATAATTGTTCCATAGCTTCCGGAATCTTGGCCAGGCCGATTCCATCACCCTGGGAGCTGCCGCAGATGTCTTGCCCTGGGCCTGGGCTGTCCAGTACCTGGACGCCGGCGACGCCGGCGTCAACGTGGTGGCGGCCAATGCGGCCATGGGTGTTTGGGATGCACCGTTAGGGGACCCCGGATGGGGGATGGGGGGAGGTCTTGAACCATTCAGAAATGGTGAGTTACTAGGACATCTAGGGAATTTATAGGGATATATACACAAAAAATGCGGGTTTAAGAAGGAATTTATAGGGATGGACCCATCAACAATAGGGACTCAACTCATGTTTTTGGGAGTTTCTGAGTCGATAACCTTTTTTTTCAACGGGAAATTTACTACTTGGAGAATCTATAGTTTTTTGTTGGGGGAGGTGTCCCTTCAGTAAATCCAAGTGAAGAATCGATGGTTTTATCAAAACCCATCCTTGATTTAGCACTGAGCAAGCATAGCACTGAGCCAGCATTGGCTCCAAGATGATTCAAGGATTCGAGACTTCACGATGGGCAATTATTTTGAGGTGTTGAGGGGGATAGCTAGGAACATGTCATGATTATGGCTGTAAAACGAGGAAACATGAGGTATCGTGCAGGTTTAATCGTGATAAATATGGTGAGATAATGTCGATGTATATGGTGATCTAATTTGGGATATGATGGGGAGGTTTGCATTGTTTGGGGATGCATGGGGACAACCAAACTCATGTTTATATTATTTGGGTGTGTCTGAAAATGGGAAATACCATGTTTTTTGCTATGTTTAACAAGTTTCTAGGCTTAATGATGATTACAGTAGCCACTGGATTCGGTGCTGGAAGATGCTTCCAGCAGGTTCTAATTACCTGAGAATTGCGAGAACTGCATCCGTATACACAGCAGGACGGCTGCTTTTAATATATACTTAAAAACATACCAACAACTGGCACTAATTCCAACAATTTGGAAGTTGATCGGGGTTATGTGGCTCAGTGGCCCGGGGCCCATCGCGGTATAAAGTATAAACCAACGATTATTATTTTGTTCATTTGTTTGTTCTGAGACTTGAATTGGAATGTGATACTTTGCCAGACTGCCTGTTTTCACCCTACAGGAGAGGCATCCAAAATCTGGGGGGCAGCTGCTTTCGGTCAGGTTCCTGTGACCACTGGGAAATGGTCCCTTGGAGCTGAGAGGCTTTGGGGTAGCTGGATCCCCGCAAAATTCTGTCCTTGGGAAGATCTGAAGTACAAAATCTGTCGGATATTTTGCAACTAAAGGCAAAGGAAGGGTCAGAGTTTATGGCACGCATGTGGTTGATTATGTTTGCAAATGTCCTGGAATGTAGATTGAACGTACATTGATGTATATTGTAAATAGCGGGCCCCCAAAAGTAGAAAAGTAACTTGCCGCAGGCCGCAGCACTGTTTTACCATGTTTTACCGTTATTAATCAAACAGGGCAATGGGAATACCAAGGCATGGATGTTTTAGTGAGAAAACCATCGGACTAAACGGGTGGATTTTCTCAACAAGCCATGTAGGTGAGTTACCCAAACAATAGCTATAAGGTTACATATAACATCATATAACTTATAACTTGGTTAACTACAAGGTTTATGGGGGACAACCGGGACAACCTATATATACTTAATGACCTCATGGGTTTGTACATAGATCATTTATAGCTGGCCGTCTCAAAATCTGGCCGAGGCCAACGAGTTCCTGACCCTGGCCTCGCGAGGCGATTCATGAGAGTGGGTAAAAGCGTTTTCCAGACATACCTACATATATCTGGGTAAATTATAACGACCTCACTGCGACCTCACTGGAAATCATGGTTAGTAAGGGAGATCATCCCCAAATGGCCTTAATTCAGGTTAGTAAAATATTATAATTTACCAATATATATATATATATTGACGGACTGAAACTTAGAACCTCGTCTTGGAAATTTTCCATACCCCGAAAAAGTACCCGGAACTACCCGCTCAGATATGGGTAAAATTGATAAAAAAAATTACGGTATTTTTACGTTTTGCGAAACTGTTCACGGTAATCAGAACTTAGAACCACTACGAAAAATGGTGCTCGGAGAGCCAAAAATGACTACCCTCTCGCAGTTTTTTACCCGAAAAGTACCCGTAAAACTAGCTGAGTAATATGATGTGTTGTTTGATGGATTGAACGAAAGATTCTACCTAAAATCATCATAAATGGGTGGTACATGTCACTGTATAAAGCATCCCCAAATGATAGGTTTATTCTTGGGTTTGCCATGGTTTGCCACATGAATGTGCTTGTTTGCCACATATGCTTGTTCACATGAAATCCGATTAGTGGTTGAATCCCATTATAATTTTGGGGAACTGCTTGGAATATATTATATATGAGTATATATATATATATGTATATGTAAGGTGCATTTGGAAATATAGAAACTTGGAACCATTGGCATATACCAGAATAGGAGGGTAAGATCTGGAAATTTAAAGGTGCCCCTAAAAACAATGTCTTCTTTGAAAAGGGTTTGAATAGACATGCATATATATATATATATAAATATATCCATTGTCTTACAGAAATCGGGAGCTGAAATAGAACACAAAACAAATGTTTGGTGGGAAAACATTGCATTGCGTGCATCCACTGGTGTTCCAGGAGCTACATGAAATCCCATTGGCAATTGAGCTACCCATAAAATGTGGGGAAATGGTTGGAAATAATTGACATATATACATATATATATATATACACATGTTTTTTCTCAACTCCTGGAATCCAAAAAAGGGGAAAATTGACTAGTTTTGGTGTTGACATGTTTTTTCCTCAACTCCTGGAATGCAAAATATTGGCAAAATTGACTAGTTTTGGTGTTGACGGACTGAAACTTAGAACCACTACCCTCCAAATATAGCAAAATTATGTAATATGTATATACATATATACATATTATATATATATACATATTATATATATATACATGTTTTTTCTCAACTCCCGGAATCCAAAAAATGTGGAAAATTGACTATTTTTGGTGTTGACATGTTTTTTTCTCAGCTCCTGGACTCCAAAAAATGGGCAAAATTGATTAGTTTTGGTGTTGACGGACTGAAATTTAGAACCACTACCCTTCAAATATAGCAAAATCATGTAATATGTATATACATATATACATATTATATATATATATAAAAAATATATACATACATGTTTTTTCTCAACTCCTGGAATCCAAAAAATGTGGAAAATTGACCAGTTTTGGTGTTGACATGTTTTTTCTCAACTCCTGGAATCCAAAAAATGGGGAAAATTGATTAGCTTTGGTGTTGACATGTTTTTTTCTCAACTCCTGGAATCCAAAAAATGGGGAAAATTGACTAGTTTTGGTGTTGACATGTTTCTTTCTCAACTCCTGGAATCCAAAAAATGGTGAAAATTGACTAGTTTTGGTGTTGACGTGTTTTTTTCTCAACTCCTGGAATTTCAAAAATGAGGAAAATTGACTAGTTTTGGTGTTGACATGTTTCTTTCTCAACTCCTGGAATCCAAAAAATGGTGAAAATTGACTCGTTTTGGTGTTGACGTGTTTTTTTCTCAACTCCTGGAATCCAAAAAATGTGGAAAATTGACTAGTTTTGGTGTTGACATGTTTCTTTCTCAACTCCTGGAATCCAAAAAATTTGCAAAATTGACTAGTTTTGGTGTTGACGGACTGAAACTTAGAACCACTACCCTCCAAATATAGCAAAATCATGTAATATACATATGGACATATATATATATATATACATGTTTTTTCTCAACTCCCGGAATCCAAAAAATGTGGAAAATTGACTATTTTTGGTGTTGACATGTTTTTTCCTCAACTCCTGGACTCCAAAAAATTGGCAAAATTGACTAGTTTTGGTGTTGACGGACTGAAACTTAGAACCACTACCCTCCAAATATAGCAAAATCATGTAATATACATATGTACATATTTATATGTATATATTGTTAATCTCAAACCCTTTGAGATGCCAAATGAAGTCCTGTGATTCCGCCAAGGATCCCTGTCCTAGGTCTCTTTTGTTCTGCCGCGCCTTGTGACTCCTCGAACCCTCCCTCCACTGCGGTGGACGGCGAGAGAAAAAGGGACCAATATGGAAAGACAACTTGGGAGTTTCACACACCCTCTTTTTGACCAAAATTCTTTCACTTTTCTCCATACTGGTCTCTCAAGAAGAAGGACGTTGATCCCGTCCAAAGAAACCCGGTACGTTGATAAGCATGTGTGCCAACCCAGAAATCAGTTTCAGTCCTATTCTTCCCCAAACAAGTGACTCTACGGGAACTCAGATCACGGATGTCAACTGGACAATCAACCCCAATAGGCGTGAATTTGTTCTCTCTGGGTTTTCGATGCACACGAATCAGCTCACCATTGGTACCCCATTTCCAACAGTCATGCATTGACGAAGATATGGTATCCGCTGAAGCTATGTTACAGGAACTTGAATTTTCCGGAGCTTCTCCAGATGCTTGTTGCTTGACCCATTCTAAACGCTGGCGCCTATCCAAACGATCCCTCAAAACATGCCCCTCATCTCTCAAAACATACTTCCCCGATCTCAAACACTGTCGAAGCACCTGTGAGTCCATGGTTTTCGTAAGGCAGTCCGCCAACATGGCTTGTGACGCTACCCATCTCACCTTGCAGTTTTCTCGCAATCTCTCTCGAATCAGCAAACACTCTATTGTCGTACGGTGTTCAGCACACTGTGGTAGTGCAGTTCGTGTCAGAAGGTCATATGCCGATTTACAATCTGTAACCAAAGCTGCAGGTGTTTCTTGTGGTAGCAGCTTCTCTGGATGTGTCCACTCACATTTTGGATTTTGTGTCCAAGCCCAGAGAATTCTCAGCCACATGAGCCGGTCAACGGTGTTACTGAGAGCAGCTGCCTCAGCACCTAGGGTACTTCTGACTACCCGTGGAACACGCTTGCTTGTCCAAGCCACTGGTGCTACAATTGATCTTTTGTTTTCCAACAACTCTGGTGTTGTCACAAAAATAAGGGTAGCCTGATGAGCACTATGTTGCTTATTGGACATAAAAGAGGCATCAGAAAAAGCACAAAAAGTAACACTTCCAGGAGAAATAGGCAAAACCATCAAAGAAATAGGATTTTGTTTTGCTTCTGCAAGCACCTTATTGGCAGTGACCAGATCGGAAATCGTGGCTCGGTTGATGGCTGACTGTAACTCACCCACCTTTGCCGCCAAATCTGGCCTGGTGTGGACGGCCGCGTATTGGAGGGCGCCGACAATGCTTCTCAGTGAGCTTTTCTCGGTCTCATTAAGGGACGCTGACAACTGGGATCGACGACCTTTATCGATGGTTACAGGGGAAATCTTCTCCACATAGGAAATCTGATCATACTCAATGCTGAAATCATCCCACTGCTTGAAGTTTATCCCAGTATACTTAAATTCCCGTCTCTCAAAAGCTCCAAACTTGAACCGGGCCTCCACTCTTTTCAGCATATTGTGAAAAACATGATCTCCACCAGCAATGCCATCATCTACGTGGATGCCCAAACAGCCATGACACTTCGACTTGGAAGCTCTGAGTACAGACCGAAGACCAGGGATCCAATGGACACTGCATGCACCCTTGACGAATCAATTCATCCCTGAATTCACAAAACCAAAGATATGGAGCATCAATCCTACCATAAGCTCCACCGTCCAATGCACACTGGTCTGTGCCAGACATTTGAAGGGCTTCCTTGAGTTCAGGTGGTGCATGGATTCCTAAGGTGCGTCCATCTCCTTTTCCATGTAAGAATGCCGTGCTAATGTCGAATGACAACAGTTCCCAGCCATGACTTGCCACATTTTGTAAAACAGTAATCCTACCATCCTTTGTCAAAGTAGGTGCATCGTTTGTCACGACATCAATACCAGGGTCCTCAAAACCGATAATGATCAAACGAGCTTTGGCTTTCAAACCCTGGCTGGAAAGTTCACCTGGATTTTCGTTTCCGGAAGCAGGTTTCCAGTTTAAAATCCATCGACATCGCATCAGGGCATTTTCAGGGATTCTACCCTTGCTCACCTTTCTGACAGTCTTGTGGTGAAGCCATGCACGGATCTCTTTGTCTTTTGCCGCTGCAAACAATCTCTGATCATGTTCCCCCAAATCCTTCAGTTTGACTTCTACCCTTTTCTTTCTTTGTTCAGTGGCCAAAAGAGCAACTTCATCCCAGGTACAGGTTGTATGTGAAAACACATCCCATTCAAGGTTACCGGAATTCCCAAATTCAGAACCAGGGGTAATGTCAATCTCCCAAACTTGATTCCCCAAACCACTCGGACAATCAATACAATCCCCAAACAATGCATCCCCTTCTGAAAGCTCTCCTTCTAAGGGTTCCGGTACCGGGACATGTAGACCCCCAGTTTCAGACGAGGGTACCGCTTCCACATCACCGGAGTGAACACTGGGCGCCTGCTCTGGTTCAGGAAGGCTGTCACTTTCAGTATTGTCTCCAACCAAAGGACTCCCCTCGACCACATCAGACAGATCAGGTAAATCATCCCCTAGATCAAAGAAGTCCTGATGACCTGCCTTCTTCAACCATTCCGCCGGGGTTACCTTGTTTTCATCCAAATCTTGGACAGACTTCCATTCCCGAAACGATGCTGGCCGCAATTGCTCCGGGCTTGCCCGAATTAATTTATTTGCATGGGTGACCCAAACCACTTTGTGACCTTCAACCATGGCTACCCTTGCAGGTCCGTGCCAACGTCCCCTTTCCCGTCTCATGTTACCCCCCTTCCTCTTCCAGTACAAAACCCAATCCCCAATTTCATAAGGGTCTCTAAGGGGGCGACTTCGACGCAGCAATGCCTTACGCAAACTACTGCAATTATCGGCCTCAACAAACGCCTGACGGGCTGAGGTTCGAAGGCGCAGTGCCTCTCGAAATTTTTCGCCCTCCGTGCACTCGCTTTCAGCAAGGGCATGGCTGGCAATGTCCCGGTCGGAGCAAACAGATGCTGGAAGACGGCGAGCTACACCTAATACAGCCTGTTCGGGTGTGAATCCCTGTACACGAGACATCGCATTTTTGGCATTGAAGACTTGTCTCAAAGCAGCTTGAAAACCCTCATTGTCCAAAATTGGTCTCTCAGAGTTCATACGGTCCAACATCCTTTTCACAACAGAACCATGTGCTTCCACCCGTCCCAATTGCCAATGCGAATCTGTCGCCGACATTTTCAGTTTGATATCTTCTTCCTGCATCTTTGCTATCCACCGATCTCCAGTATATTCTTTGGCCGGATCTAGGTATACCTCTTTGGGGGGTCCTGCCCATGACAACCAAACCGTCTCAAAACATCGAACCTGTGAATCAGCATCCTCAAAACAATGACTCCCCAAATGAAACAAGGTCCCCTCATCCAAAAAATGAAGAAAAGCAAACTCTTTACCAACATCATTTTTCCAGTAGGCTACATCTAGTCCGACCACATCATTGAAATTCAAATTGGAGTGGATGGCAGCTGGTCTTGACAAAGCGTAACCCTTGCTGTCTTCGCAACAAGCATCACACTGGAAATCAAACGCGCCAGCTACGATCTTCGGATCGGCATGGGTGTCCTTAAGGAACTTGCAGAAACGGACTGGATCAGGGTGTCCCATGCGGTGATGAACCCTGCGAATCCACTCTCTTTCATCCTTTTCCAAACCGAGAAAATGGGGCCCATGTACAGCTACTTTTTTCGGGGGAAAACCCTCAGAATACTCCCCAACTTCCTTCCCCTCCAAACCTTTCTCTATGAAAGTGGAAACACTTGGCTCATCCTTCTTGAACCGTTTCTCCACGTCCATGTCTGAGTCAGACACTTCTCTTTTCCGGGAACCTAAAGAAGAAGTGGCTTGTGAACTAGTCATTGACGCCGTCGGAGGTTTCTCACTGGGCACCACAGCTGCAGACCGGGAACTGGATTCCCAAACATTCCCAAAAACCGTCACACACAACTTGGCTGGCTTTGACTTCAAGGTCCTTCGAGTTTTGGGAAGCTCCAACCAACTTTCGGGTTTGCCTAGTTCCATTACTTTTCCAGTATGCCGGTGCAAAATGATGGTGTGCCGCAGTGGAATTTCCGACTCTGAAATTTGAGTCTTTGGCAAACGAAATCGATCAGTACCTCTACATACCTCAGCTGCCTTGACATCGATAGTGGTGAGAGTTGACTTGATGTCTTGGAAAAGTTTCTCAGCAGGTTCCAAAACAACAGTTCCGGCCCGAGGGGCCCGCTGTTCTATGCTCTTAAAGATTTCTTTCCAACGTTTCTCCCAAGACAACTTGCGTGACCCGTCTTCGGATTGAACGGCAGGAGAAGAAACTTTGACTTCCTCCTTGGAAAGTCTTCTCCGACGGGCACTCACCTCTGCGGCAAGGACAGCATGCTCTCCGAATTTTTGACAGTCGTCAATACACAGCTCGGCAATTTCCACAGGCAAATCACCAAAATCACGACTCCACAACAAATACCAAACCACATTTCGTGCAAAACCATTTGAATACCGAGCTGCATATTCCGACAAATTGATCCAGCGACCAAGATACTTGATTTTGCCTTCAATCGGCTGATGAGTGTGCCTTTGATTGCAGTACCGAGCGTCCAAACAGTTGTGGAGCTCACGTGAAGTTGTTCTGACTTGTGTTCTTTTTCTGAGAAAATTATTCCCCAGAGGAACCTTCAACTTCCCCACTTCACACATGTCAAAAACACTTTTGAGGGTACCCTTTGCTACGTTTTCCATTTCTGGTTGATCAAAAGCAATAGAACCCTGAGGTTGTTCCATGTGAAAATGGTTCCCATTCAGAACTTGGTAGTTATATACTTCATCGCACAATTTTAAGTGCAACCTTTGCTCTTCACGGTCATCCAAAACCTTTTGACATGTAGTTGAACTTCGGCACAAATTCAGTCGACTGAAGTTTCCCCATGGGCCGCATTCGGGAGCCATCCAAACATCACGTGGACATTCACGTTCCAGGAGTTCCCACAGAACGCGTTGTCCTTCAGCTGTGCGCAGATCTCCATCAGCCTTCGTGAATCTTCTAGCCTTCAAACCCATTTGCTGAGCCATGGCAGTTATTCTGGAATTTTCTCCACAGTAGATTTCAAGAACATCCAGTTGACTTTTTCTCCCAGGCTGTTTTGGAGACTTGCCGAACTTTTTCGGAAACTCCCAAGCAGATGCTGACAAGACGTTCAAGTCTTTCTCGAGTTGCACAACCAAAGTATCTAACTCCTGCTGAATGGACATCGTTTTAGCGTTCAGCATCTGAGTGGATTGTTTCAGTTGAGACTCGACGATATCTGCGGAACTCTCAGACAGCACCTCCTCAGGACCACATTCGAGTAGGTTCAGGCTTCTTCCGTGCCCTTCACCATCACCAGTTCCCTCTGGAGGATGGCGATCTTCGTCATGATCTCCTGTTCTTTCTCCGGATCCTTTTCTGTCATCATAGTTGGTGTAGCAGAGCTGGCTGCTCTCTTCGAGGGCATTTTCTTGCCCTGGTTCTCCTCGTCGATCATCAACTCCCAATCGGAGCCCTCCGATACTTTTGGTGCCCTGGTCACCGGTTTCTGATTGCCGGAACTTGTGTTGGCCATCAGCCCCGACTCCACCTTGGTCCTGGCTCTGACGTAGTTTTGGTAGCTCAGCGCCCAAGCTGAGGTAAGATGGCTGTGGTTCATCATCAGGGCCCGATAGCGAGCATCTTCTTGGTACACTTGGGCAAAGGTCATGCCCTGTTTCTTCCCCTCCGGAAAGACTTGTTGTCCCCATTGGCGCATGGTGTCCACACCTGGGGGCCTCTTGATCTGCACAGAACTCAGGTCGGTCATCTTCAGGGACTGATCCTCGGGAAACTCCAAGGGCTGATCTGGTAGAGGAAGATGACCATCGCTCTTCATCCACGGTGGGCACGCACGGTGAGCCATGATCACAAAGAGCGTTCTTTGGAACTTTGCCCTCGCAAATCACTGTAGAGCTCTTGGGAGATTGAGCCACGGGAACTGCAGCTTCAAGAAGTCGTTCGGCTTCTGCTTTGCTTCCAACTTTGGTTTTCACTATTGACTTCATTAAGTTTTCCACTGTTTTGACATGAGTAACAACTTCACAATTGTCGGCACACTCCGAATTCGTGCATTTTCCAACGGCTTTCAAGACATCAGCAAGTTCAACTGTATACAAGCCTTTGGAGTTGACATGAAGTGGTACTCGGATTCCACTTTCAGTGAAAAACAGTTCACACGAAGAAGAACAGACGTCAGCTGCAGTTGCTTTCAAAAATGCATTGGAGAGAAGAAATGGTGTTTCACCTTTGACCACCTCAAGCCTCATCCAACGTACACCAAAAGGAATGTACAAAGCTCCAACACTAGGCAACGTTCCATTATTCCCAAAACGAAAAACAGTGTTTGAACTTCCCCAATGCACTTGAGATTGAACTGCGGTTGGCAAACTGTGCAACAAGCTCTTGACCTTTTTCTGACCAATGATTGATTTACTGGCTCCTGTGTCTATGATTCCTGGACAGCTGGCTTCCGCACTCAAAACTGGAAAAGTCGGAGAAACAGTGCTATTCCTGGACAATCTCCCCTTCATCACCCCGGACAAACGACTTTCAAGGGTAGCCACTTTCAGATAATTGGTCAGTGCTTCAAATTTCTTTGACTCCGTCATAAAAATGAATTCCTCATTAACCCCGTGTTCGGTTTGTTGAACAACGGTAGACTCAAATGGAGGGAGAACCCCAAGGCAGTCCTGATCCCAGGTCTTGACCATGTCCTCCTAGCGGATGATCTTGCCCTTCTCCTTGTCCTGGGATGGAAGTTGCCACTGAAGTTCTTCATGAAAATCACCACTGGCCACCTCCAAGGCGAGGTTCACATCAGCATTCTGACTTGACGAAGCAGCTCCGCCCTTACGAGGGCACTCCCACTTCCAGTGACCTTTGACACCGCAAATGCGGCATGCCGATGAGGCAATTCGGTCTGCAAGGGTCTGGTTCTTCTTCTTGCCACCTCCCTTGAAACCTCCTCCTTTTCGACCACGGCCTTTTGACCCCTTGGAGGCAGGCCAGAAGCCACGGGCTCGAAGCTTGTCGCGAATCCTGGCTCTGGCATCGGCATAAGCCGAGAAACAGAGAGAAAGTTCGGAACTTTCTTGGCACACATCGATGAGTTGGTCTTCAAAATCGCTCACTGTTTGAGCATCTTCATCACCTTGTTCTACTAGAGACTGCAAAATCGTCTCTTCATCCCATCCATCATCATCACCTGCATGGTAGATCTCCTCGTGATCTTCATCCACGAAGTTGATTGGGTAAGTTTTCTTTTTCTGGTCTGTCTGCCCGCCCAGTACTTTTGTTGACAGGGAACGCATAGCTCCTTCCACCTTCTTGGCAGTGAGCTCCCCACCCGTAAGGGTGATGACCTTCTTCTTGTCCTCGGCCTGCAGTGCGCTCTGGCGCAAAAGTATGAAGGCTCTCATGTCAGCGATGTCAACTTGGCCCAACTCTGTGAAAGCAACGTTCAAACGATTGACATAGCTCAACGTTGTCTCATCATTTCGTTGAATCACCTTGTATAGAGCTCTTTCAAACTTGTCATAGGTCTGCAACTCTGAGTTTTCCTCCCAGGTAGCCACTGACGCCAGGAGAACATCTACTCCCTTTTCAGGGTCAGAAAGAAGAGCAGCATCGGATCCCTTGATCTGTGCCCATGCGGTACCTTTCATGAGCATGGCTAGACGGGGGGCAAGCATGCCCTTGTCTTTGACCGGGCATATGGCCCGAAGAAACTTCACTTTATCCACATATTCTCGTGGATCATCCACTGCAGGGTCAAACGAAGGCAGGATGCTCCATAGATTGCTGGTGCGCTCATCGGTCAAGGCACCAGCTGATCCCGCACCCTCCATGGCTCAGTAGCTGGTCTAGTGTGCCTTTTGTCCAAACCCTGTTGTTAGAAACACGTGCAAACAACAAAATTTAAGTGAATTCCCTGAGGATTTTGGGCCTTTCCTAATTACCCTCTTTTATTAGGGGACCAATGTGGGGTGTTCCTAAGGAGACCTCCGCAAATGGAGGCTCCGCTACCAATGTTAATCTCAAACCCTTTGAGATGCCAAATGAAGTCCTGTGATTCCGCCAAGGATCCCTGTCCTAGGTCTCTTTTGTTCTGCCGCGCCTTGTGACTCCTCGAACCCTCCCTCCACTGCGGTGGACGGCGAGAGAAAAAGGGACCAATATGGAAAGACAACTTGGGAGTTTCACAATATATAAATATATATATATATAAATACATGTTTTTTGTCAACTCCTGGAATCCAAAAAATGGGGAAAATTGACTAGCTTTGGTGTTGACATGTTCTTTTCCCAACTCCTGGAATCCAAAAAATGGGGAAAATTGACTCGTTTTGGTGTTGACATGTTTCTTTCTCAACTCCTGGAATCCAAAAAATGGTGAAAATTGACTAGTTTTGGTGTTGACATGTTTCTTTCTCAACTCCTGGAATCCAAAAAATGTGGAAAATTGACTAGCTTTGGTGTTGACATGTTTCTTTCTCAACTCCTGGAATCGAAAAAATGGGGAAAATTGACTAGTTTTGGTGTCGACATGTGTTTTCTCAACTGCTGGAATTCAAAAAATGGGAAAAATTGACTAGTTTTGGTGTTGACGGACTGAAACTTAGAACCACTACCCTCTAAATATAGCAAAATCATGTAATATACACATATATATATATTTATATATATATATATGTTTTTTCTCAACTCCTGAAATCCAAAAAATGGTGAAAATTGACTAGTTTTGGTTTTGACGGACTGAAACTTAGAACCACTACCCTCCAAATATAGCAAAATCATGTAATATACATATGTACAAATATACATATTTTTATTTATATATACCTGCTAAACCTGTTTTGCTACAATTCCGGGTGCGAATCAAAATACAGATTGTATCTGGGTAGTGCTACCTGAATTCAGATCATGCTGGCCAAAAACCCGTACATACGTGTAAAAACCCGTGGGCATCCGTTCGAAGCCGTTTTGGCCATTTTCACCACTTTTCAATGAATATGGAAGATCCATCCTTTCTTTGGGTTAAACAGTTGAAATATCATGAAGGTTAACTCCCCATACTTGCACTCACTACACCATGTTGTTTCAAATCCTCTTCAAGCACAGGGATTTCCAACCATCCAATTATTTTGAGACCTACTTTGAAAATCAAATGGTCACCCTCGCCTGTTGCCTGCTGACTCTGCGCGCCTTTTGCCCACTTGCACTTTCAGGCCAGGTCTCGGGACATGGTTGCTGGAGGAGTGTGGAAAGCCCCACAAATGAACACATATACATTTTTGGTTTCAACACCCCATTGTCAAGTCTTGGGGGTTATATTTTTTGATGATCCAATGTTGGTTGCCATAGCCAGCTGCATGTCGTAATGCCGCTCCTGCCGCAGAGCAGCGTCTTTGGCTGGTAGGGTGCTTCTGGGGTTCCATCGCCGCGTTTGGCCATGGAGGAGAGTTTGGAAGCGGCTAAGAAGGACTACAGCAAGGGAACCTCCAAAACTATTTTCGACATTTCTGGGCTTGCTCTCAAATGGGATGATTCCTCGGTGATTCGCCAAAGGATGAGGAATGACTTCAATCTTTGCGTTCACTATGACTCAAAAACTAAGAAAGAGACAAATTTTGCAGTTGCAAGGAATGTGAAGAATCTCAAAGCCAATCAGGCAGTGATGGTACCAGTCCTTCACATCATACGATCTTCGGGCTGCATCATTAACATAGACAGGCTCGCCATGGAAGTGACGAAGGTGTACAAATTGAATGACAAGGCCATCATCACTAAAACAGCCATGGACCAGGCTTGGTCAATTCGGCACCTGGTAGGTGTTCTCAGAAGAACCATCCGAACGGACAAGCATGACAAGTCCAAGAAAATCTTGCCTAAGGACTTTGGTTTTAAAAAAATGGTGAGGTCTAGTGTAGTCAGGGTCCCTTATGGTATTCGGGTTTTATACATGAATGTATTTTTCTACATAGCTCCAAAACGGTGGGTCCTTGGAACTCAAGCATCCCTTGAATCTCTGCCCCCCGCACTCCTCAGGACCCGAAGTTGCTTGAGATGTTGGAAGACCTTGGCGTCATCGAAAAGAAGGAGGGCTGTGTCAAGGAATGACAGTCGTGTTTCAGCACAGTGTCCCAGCAGAACTGTCCTTTAATCCTTTAGATTTTCTTCATCTTCAGTCCCACATGGATCGAAGAGATGAATCCAACATAATCTAACATTTCATGATGTCTTTCAGCAATCCTTATCATCTCTCAAAACTGAAAACCAGTTTCATTTTTCCTTGATAAGTGCCACATATCTACCATAGCCATAGTATAATTCAGAGTTGATTTCCATCCTATCTGAATCACTGCTGCAGGAGGATGGAACTTTTACCATTCTTTCTCAGCAGCTCGAGTTGCTTGAGGATATGGGCTAAATTGGGTTGCCATGGACATGGGAAAACATGTCAATCTGATATTTGTTGGGTCTTTACCATTCCAAATTGCGCAAAAAATGTTGCAGTAAGAAAATATTGCAATCTTTAAGATCCACCTAGGGTCTACTTGGATACCTTAACATGATTCCTTGGCGCTTGAGATTCCACAGAGTCTATGTTTCCATGACACCAAAACTTCAACTATAATTGTCAGGGCCTCAACCCATATGACTGCTCATGTCTCAGAAGGACCAGGAGGCCGACGAGAACAAGTCGCTCCCGCTGGAAGATGATGTGGAGACACCAAAGGAGACAGCTGGATTTGAATCTGAAATTTGTAGGTTCACCCTGAGGGACTGTCATCAAAGTATACATTTTACTTTGGTTCCTCTCCAGCTGTATGTCCTACTCCATCTTAGAAAAATGTTGACAAACCTGAGGCTGAAGTCAAATGATGATGATCATAAAATTACCCAGTACAATTATATACGTTTTTGTAGTGGGGCATGATACATGAGATCCCAAGCCTCCCAAGAACACTGGCACATCTTCTTGTCCTAAAGTTCATATCTGTGCTTTTGCGCAATACGCCCAGGAGGCATCCAGTGGTGCTGCGGCTGCATTGGAGGACTCAAAGTACAAGGGGGATCTAAACGTCAGGTTGGGCACTTCATGTTCCCAAGGATGTGCAAACAATCTCAACCTCATGAGAAATACCATTGTCCAAGTTGCTGCGTGTGGATTCTCCCTTCCACCAACTCTTCGATGATGATGTGGCCTCCCCGGAAAGCTTTCGAGACTGAGTTATCAGAAAGGTTTACAAGTTGGAAGAGTTGAATCTGCATAGTCCCCCTCCCCATTTCAGTGTCTTAAGTAGGAGTCTGTCCCATATATATTCTAGTCATGATTTATGATCATTCATGGTTCATATGCTGTATACATTTCATACTGCCCCCGCGGTTGCAGGACTGTCAGGTTCTGGGTTCTGATGATGATAGCCAGGAGGACTTGGCGTTTGAACTGGCTGGGCTAGTGATGGATCTGAAGAAGATCCCTGGTGGCCAGTTATGCTTCATTTCATGGGACTTTTGGACCAGTTGTTGGATGATCTATTAAAAAAAAAACTTTTGTTGCTTATGGGAAACAGGTTCTGGAACAGCGTGTGCTATCAATACAATTTCTGTAGGAGAGAATGGACACTGTTTTCAAACTTTCAAACCGTTTGGCACAAATGCCGAATCCCAGGAAAAATGCAGCCCTTGAATATGCACCAGCACTTTCGAAATTATTGAGGTTGCCTTCTGATCACGAGGGCCGAGTCTTGGCAGCGTGTTCAATCAGGGAACCTGTAAATTAGATTTTTGTTTGCTCATTAGGATCCCCATGTCTCCTGTGCTTCAATGTAAGGACTGATGCCTATCACCGTTTTGGAGTCCCTACCATTTGGTGAAGATCAAGATTCTACTTTAGTGCAATCGAATCCTGAAGATTGGATTACCTCACCTTTTATACTGGATCTCTTGGACAGAGAAGGTTCATCAGCTTCATCTTCTACAGCTTCCTCTGCCAAAGCTGATGTACCCCCCGCTTTGCCTCCACAAGAGCTCCCGAGTTCAGATCCTGTGCCAGCGCCAGAAGTGAAGGGGATCAACCAGAGTTTCAAAACAATGGTGGCACAACAAGCTTCTCCGGCAAAGGGCTTGTTGACCAATCAAGACACCCCAAAGATGGTTGAGACTACGGAAGCTACCAAACAAGTAGCGCATGTGGTTGAGGAATCTTCCACGGAGTTATCTTCAGCCATCATGGATGAGGTTTTTGGGTTCCAAAGTTTGCACATGGTTGTTTGGTAATGATATCTTTTCACCGGATCAACTCAGGGATACCGGATATTTGGGACCCTTTTGAATTTCAAGCATCATGGACAAATAAACTGAAACAATTGTTTATCTGTTTTGAAATGAAATGTCATCATTGTTTGCAAATGTTTGCCCAATAAATATGGTTCCAATCTATAGCTTCCAACCTGGATCTGCACAAGGATTACGGCATATTATGGCTAGAATTTTTAAAACGAAATGTTTCTTGGTTTTTTAGAGCTTCTTCCAATTAAACCCAGGTATAACCATCATGTCTTCAGCCCTGCAGGATCCGCAAGCTGTCCGTGAGAGCCAAGAGTTCCCAGAGGTGTCAGATGACTCTTATGTCACTAGACGGGACCAACTAGGACTGAAGGCAACAAAGAAAACAGAAGGGAAGGGGCAGGGAAAAGGCAAGAGCAATGGTCAGGGTTGTGGTGAGGGAGAAAATGAGAAGAAGCCAGCAACAGCTGCAAAGAGCAAGGTTCGCAAAGCACAGCCTGCAAATGAAGACAATACTGCAAAGGATGAACCAAGCACAGCACATGAAGAACTGACATGGAAAAGACTCCGACGTGCCCAGCCCCTCAGTGAAAATGATCTAGAAGACACACAGTACTACCTAGGAGAGGATCAAAACGGAGACAATGGAGAGCCAGCCGCAGCAGCACCCCCGAACAGAAGGAAAAGGAAGGCTCACAAGAAAAACGCAGGTGACAAGGCAAGCCATTCGAAACCGAAGCTCAAAGCAAAGAAGGTCCGAAAGGAAAACAAGAACAGCAAGGCCAGCAAAGCAAGCAAGGGCCGAAAGGCACACAAGGGAAGCAAAGCAAGCAAAGCAAACAGCTGTGCAGAGGCAGATGTTGTTGATGAACATGACATCACTCCTGCACCGGCAAGGAAACGACGCAGCAAAAAATCGAAAGCAGAAGCCACAGTTGACCCAGCTGACACAGCTGATGCACCTGCAGCTGAGGCTGAACCAAGCCAAGAAGCTGAACCCACATCAAAGCGGCCCCCCCGAGCCAAAGCCGCACCAAAGCGAGCCCCCAGAGCCAAAGCCGCACCAGAGCGAGCCCCCAAAGACAAGCCAGCCCCCAAAGCAAAGGCCAAGTCCCAAGCCAAGAAGCCCCGGGGAAGGCCCCGAAAGCAACAGGTTGAGGATGAGGGTGTTGAAGAGGTTGATGCAGACACGCCTAACGAGGCAAGCAATGCAGCAAGCAACACAGGTGGGAGGCAGGTTGCAATCCCTGAGCACCCCCAGCACCATGAGTTTGTCCAGAAGATCTTGGAATGCTTGCACGTTTGTGAGGAACATGGCTCTTGTGGTCATTCCGGCAAACATACCCACCCAGTTCCCCAGTTGGATCCGGATAGCAAGGAGAATTTCCAGTTCTCAGTTTACTGGACGCGCAACGCAGTAGGTGTCAAGACGAAGGTCAATGGAACGTTCTCGCAGCAGGTGGTCTATTTTGCCAAAAACACCCCTTGTTGTGCTACGAACATCCTCCTGGCCCAGCTCTGGGTCAGCCCCTTAGAGCGTGATGCAACCTAAACTATATCATTAAAAAATATTAAACATGATTAGAAGTGATTAGAAGATATTAGAGGATATTAGAATGATCAATTATAATACTGTATATTACTTAGAAAAAAGGAATATCTTTATGGGAATCTGCATGGTTGTTTGTGAGTAGGGAAATGCGGACCATCAGTTTGGCAACATTGCTTGACCGAACACAAAAATCAGTGATTGTGACCCAATGCAAACCAGCGATTGAAAACAACGACTGGATATATATAATATATCTGTGTTTTGAACTGAATCATTAGTGGTTCCCGTGTGACACCCCCTGCCTGATGAGGTGAAGCAATGCCAACATTGCCACGATCTTGCCTACGATTCGATGGAGCTTCAACAGTTCAAACTTGCTCTGACCCGGGCACATGAGGCTGCTATTGATATGTTTAACAATCAGTAGGGGCATAGCTGATGCGAAAGTGGCTTTTCCCTGGTTCATTGAAAAAACATTCTAACCCTCAAAGATCTGAGCTATATATTTCAATATATTTCAATCACATGCAGCCTCCCTTTGAATTTGTAATAATGTGTTTGGATTGATTGAAATGGATCAGCCACATACCTTTTCACCAATTTCTGTGGATGTGGATGTGGGGCCCGTGTGAATTCCCACGGATATTCCCCAGTGATTCCACGAGATCTTTACGGATCTAGGCCTTACGAAGTTGGAGGCCAAAGACTTTTCATTCTTCAAGGGGGGTGCCAAGCAAGCTTCTCTTGCGTGGCTGACATTGGATTCAAAGGATCATGCGAGAAAGCGAACAAGTAACGCTGAGTTCTGCATTCCGTTTTCTTCCAACCAAACATTACCCACAATGATCGTTTCAATGGGCTTGATGTGAATTTGACATGGTTTGCTTCTTAAGGATTCATTCCTAATTGTTGGATTTGTGTCATCAAAAACTCACAGTGGTGGATGCTGTCGAAATCGAACTTTATGAGTACCATGTTTGTGAAACACGAAGAACTGGTTTTGATATTTTAAGTACTGCCCCGAGAAAACCCATATCACAAAACCATCAATCAAGACCATTGGCCCATATTGACTTGGACAGGGATGGCGCGTGGCAAGCGGAAGCTTGGGGAGCCTATGGTTCTCGATCGTGATCCTGGCTCTCTTGAACCTGCCGGTGCCGAAACATTTTGGGAATCATCGTTCAGATTGTGGGAGAATGCTGAAGAATTGAAAATAAAGACTGACCTACTAGCATTGTGCATGAAAGTCTTCCATGATGAAGGATGTTTTTTT